AACCTTATATATAGAAAACCTTCGGTTAACTTATTGGCAGAAACATTTTGCATTTGAAATTTCACCATTGGCCAATAAATCTAGACTCTATATTTAAAAAATTTGTTCTCGCACCTTTGTTCGGTAAATTTGTAATTTTGGATTAAATAATAGAAAAACTTGACTCACGATGTCAATCCTTCGCATTTCGCCGATTTACTTGGGGACCTCAGGTTAACGGGTGATACTCGTAAAATATGTAAACCTACAAGACCTCAGGCTATTATGTTCATAAAAATCAAATTTTACAATCTAACCCAGCGCGCGGCTCCTGTAGCGTATACGTCACTTTTCTCCAATTGTTAGTTAGCTTGCACGTGCTTTTTCCGGGGCTACAATTGGTTTTGCTCTAACCAGAGCCCTCTCGCTTGCAGTAGCGCGCGACCGCCGTAGGCGGCAAAAGAGCCTATCTACTTGTGAAACAAGCGCGTCACGCAGTACGCGTAGACACATGGATATGTGAACAATTGGTTCTTAACGATCACGTGAATGCTGGTCACGCGCACACCAACTTCCAATGAGCATTCGCATTTTTTTCAGTGCGATGGAGGTTTTATTTCACTCAGCCCGAATAGAGATTCGGCGGAATGACAGGCTGAGTGCGGCCCAGTAATTATGTCCCCGTTACGGTATTTTTTCGGTATAGTTACGACAAAACTCTGACGAAGCCAAATGAATAAGGTTTTTCGAATTGGTTGGTGGTAAGTGGTTTAGTTTTATCATGGCCCCCTACATATGCAATATGATCCCTTGTAGCGCGATGCACTACTGGGCCGCGCCGCGCATCTTCTCGCAACCATATGCAGATCGGCGAGATGCGAAGGATTGACATTGTGAAGTAATTCGATCCTCCTCCGTAATAAAATCATTTTTTCCATCAATTTTTTTCTTGAAAAAAAGTATAAGATGGTTAGGAGGCCAGAGCTTTGCCGCTCTGGCCTTTAGGTTTCCAATTTCGCACAACCTTGCGGCTTGATAGTATTAAGTGCAGTCCGCAGATTTGTGATTTGGTCCACAAAAATGTATTATTTTGCGAATAGGAAATTATAGCGGATGAATTTGAATTCTATGGTAATTAATTTGAATAACAAGCACGAAGTGCGCGGCTCCCCCTTATCGTTGAAGACGATACAGGGTGAATACTATAGTGAAGTGAATACTATAGTGAAGCGACCGTGGGGGTCACCACGTGATACAAACAACATATTATTACTAACATATCGTTTTGTTGTAAGTGCTTAGTGCAACCATCGAGCTTGGCTCCCGATAATGACATTAGTAATCCGTTATATTGTTGAACAAATTATGTTGGTGTAGCGTGATGCACTACTGGGCTGCGCCGCGCATCTTCTCGCAACCGTATGCAAATCGGCGAGATGCGAAGGATTGGTATCGTGAATCAAATTTTGATGCTGATATCATGTTGAACATGATTTTCGAGTGATTGATTTGTTATACGAAATGCCCAAAAAACCTTACCACCTGCTGGGCTCGCTAGAGGTGATAGATTTTCAACAGCACGTTTGTGGCCTCGCGCGTCACATCAAGTTCACCTTTCGCACGCTGCATTTAGCCTAGTTTTAAATTAGCCTAATTTTAAATTTACGAGACGGAAATCTTGTTGAAAACCGGAAGGTTCTATCTATTTTACTTTTGAATATAGATATTCTCAGAACAACAGTGATTTCTCTCCGTGGAGACAGAGGTGCGAGAAAAAACATTGTTGATATAAACAGTTGCAGTCTAGATCTTAACTTGGAGCCACAAGGCCAAGGGTAATTTTTAATTGTTAAGGGAATTTTTTGAATTCCTAAAGGGTTGATTTTATATAGGGTCATTGCTATATTATTATGTGTATATAAAGCAAAGATAAAAAATTATGTGTATATTGTTTGAATAATTTTATAATATAAAAAAAATATAGATATAGACCCCAGCCGGTAGGGTTTGCTGGGTGGACCATAAATGTTATTATGAGTTACATTGTCATTACATTAAGTAAAACAAAATTTGGCCTCTGGTGCCATTCCTCCTGTAGTGGTAAATAAAAGGGGGACGAATGACCCTTTCTACGATGAACTTAGTTTGGCTGAATTTAGTTTGGCTGAACTTAGTTTGGCTGAACACATAGTAAAAGCCACGATAACGTTGTAATTTTCAGATTCAAAAATTTTATTGACTTGGATTATGTCTCTCAAGAGTCACAAACATGTGAGAGGAAGTATTGAAATAAAACATAGCCACTCAGATATTCAAATCTTATTCTAAGCAGGTGCCACCCTCCAAGTCCAATCTAAATTTCATTTATTAGAAGTCTCATGAGCTCCTATAATACAGTAGATCATGTTTTTTGAAACTTGTATATATTTGATTGTTAAAATTTTAAACAGAAATACTGGTAGTAATGTATTGTGCTCTGCCAATTGCAACACTTGATTGAATTGAATATGTATACATTGTTTTAATAACCTTTTACATGAGGATAGGAGTGCTTGGGAGTTTGAAAAAATACATGATGGCAGCAATTTATAATTCTGTGCTCATAGCCCACTGAATCAGTGATCACAGGACCACTGAGAACATACATTTGATTGACCAAACACCAATCAGATTATGGACGTTTATGTCAAGTACTTTTATATCTCCGCATGTACAGACACTGTAATATTTTACAGGTAATTTTATTCAAAATCTTGGTTATAACATCATAATCTAACAGATAACGTTGCAGGTATCAACAAAATATGATTTGTTGCCAATGATTTCATTACATGGTCATGGAAGCTAAAAGAATCATCTTAAACTTTGAGGAGCAAGTCTACTGTGACGAAAGTCGAGTATGGTATATCCTTGATTATCAGGTGACCCCTTTTGTCAGAGATGTTATATCTGATGTTGTTAAAAACCTCAAATGCCGTGAGGGCTGGAATCTTTATGTTAACGATGTCCTTGCACCAGAATGGACCCTCTCATCTGTGATATATTCTGAGAATGATATTGTAAAATTAATTCGCACTGAGAACCCCATACCCAATAAAGACTCTACTACTCAGTCAACTGAACAAGATATCACTGTTAAAGATACACATCTAGTAGAAGCTAAAGTTGTCAATGAAAGTACAGCAACCACTGAAACACTTACCAATGAACAGAAGCCTCTGAAAATCAACAATAACTTCAAAAGAAAGTATTTGGACACTACCCCTACACACAAAGACCGATATACCAATAGGAGCAAGGTTTATGTAAGTCCGGTGCAAGTGTTGCCAAAGAATCTCCCAGTTGCTAATGCCCTAAAAACAGCTGTTAAGGAGACTTTAACATATAGTTCACCCATTAAATCAAATATAGAGAGAAGTTCTAATTGTAAAATAGTCACAGATTCTTTTCATAAAGCCACAATGTTTCTGGATAAGGTTACTACTATCTTAAATAGGAATAGCACAAATCCACAAGTTGACTCTGATTGTGATTCATCCATGACATCCTCCAGTTCAGAAAATGATTCCAGCAAAAGAGTTGTCAAAAAACTTAAAATGGATCCAAAATCAAATCTCAGTAATTCTCTATCTCTACCTGCTGCCACAGGTAAAATTTTTACTAAGCCTGCACCATCAAGTTCAAGTGATTCAGAGTCCAAGCCTGAGACAAATGGGAACCAGCCCTTAAATGACAAAAAAGAGAGCTCTAGTAGTGATAGTGAAGACGATACCCAAAACCAAAGCCAAAGTATACATGAAACAAAACCTTCTTTTCCTTCTAAAAAAGAGTCCTCGGATGATTCTACTGAAGATGAATCCGATGAAGAATCCAATGAAGAAGACAGTAAAGAAAAAAACGTCATAAAGAAAAATATTCAGCCAAAGAAAATGGAAAGTGACAGTTCTAGTGAAAGTGACAGTGACAAAGACAAAAAAAGTAAAACAATTGCCTCAAAGATTTGTGTCATAAAAAAAGATTCTGATGAATCCTCTGAGTTTAGTGAGGAAGATACAAAGTCTACATTTCATCCCAAGACACTTTCAGAGGTGGTCGAACAGAAAAGTGTTATAAAGGATTACAATAATTGCGCTAATCTGGAAGGAACTCCTCGGGTGGCTGACAAGCTGGCATTCAAAATGTTAGATTTGAACGAGTCGTACTGTCCCGTTATATCAGAATATAAAGAGGGCGTCATCACAGAATACAATTGCCTCTCTCAAAGGATTGTTGTAAAGCTTTTACCTCAGTTTCAGAACGCAATGCAAAAAAGTGGAAAATTTGAAATGGATGACAGTTATACCAGTGATGTCATAGAACTGAATCTTAAACAGTTAATTGAGCCAAAGCTGATATGATAACATAATGTCATTTATTTGAACCCAGAACCTGAGTGGTTTTTAAACTTAAGAGGTCCAGGACTAATTTAAACAATGAATTACTAATTTATTACATTATTTGGAGATTTTCTTTTAAATTGTCTAGGAAATAGACGAATATTTTAGAGTTTAATGTTTATAATTCTATAAAGTGCACTGAACTGGTTGATACATACCATTCGCTGATGTTTTTGATTGTCACTAGCTCACCTGTTAACAATTCATGCCAGCAGTGTTGACTGTTTCAAACGCTTTTCATATGGACTGCAGGACAATTTTTTAAGCTTTTTAAACTTTTAGATTGACCTTAATAAGTTTTATGATGATTTACAAACCTTCATATTTATATGATTGCAGTTATAATTATTATTTATATTTTTCTGTATCCATATCCGTGCTTTTTAAAAAGGAATAGCTATAAATCAAGAAAAACATTTTCTGCCATTTTACTCAGATAAAAATGTTACCAATTAAAAAAAGCCTTGTATGGCAGACAGTGTGTAGGTACTACTAATTTAATAATGTATTATATTTGACTTTAAATATAATAAGATTACCCTGATGTTATGGGTTTTAAGTGTTTAATAACACTTTTATTATAAGATGGCTGCTGCTGACAACAAACGACAATTGAAGATCAGAACTGGGGTGGTTAAAAGGTAATATTATTGCAGGTTATTAATATTCTTGAATAATAGTTGATTTGTCTCTATTTACTACAAAATTTGTTAAACTGATTTAGAAACAATGATATGCAATTCTTAGACTTATAATAACTGAGTTTTTATTTTCAAAAACTCAAATACACAGGTTAAGTAAAGAGTTGGTAATGTACGAACAGGAAGTGACTGATGGGGAGGCGAAGCTGGTAGAAATGAAGGAGGCTAACAAGGATGAATACGACATCAGGAAATATGTGAGCAACGCTTCAAAAAAATTGTACGATCGTCAATAAACAGAATTGCAACAAGTGCATTTGAAATTGCTGAAAATCATACGTTTTTGTTCAAAAGTAAATGAAATGATAAATGTAACCGTTTAAAATCAATAAATTTATCATCTTGAAATAAAATTATCCCAGACTGAGGTAGTAGCAGAGAGCAAAGCTATGGTCCCAGATTGCAGAAACAGACTAAGAAAGGCAGTGCAAGATCTTGATATTCTTTTGGTAAGTAAATTAATTATTAATTTCATTTAATTTTAGCTAATTAACATATCCTTTAGTGGATAGCATAATTTGCCTGACACTGTATTGAGTGTAAAGTAAAAGGTGATTATTTACAGGAAGATAATACCAGTATGAGTGGGGAGGCTGAGTACAAAGCAGCTCAGGAGATGCGAGACACTGTTTCAATTTAAAAGTGTACTCACTCTATCTATAGTATTATCCAATTAGTATTACTATACTGCACTCTGGCTGGGTCACCAGATTTGAGTGCGAATTTTACAATGCAAAGTTTGATTACTTTATATAATGTACATTTTGTAGTATTTACTATTTGTCACATTTATGCACAGGTTTTTCGTAACAATTTGAAAACAAGCACCGTTAGTAGGTGGAACCGTTTAATTTGTATTATGTATGATATAATTTATGTTTTGTATTATACATAGTCTATTTGTCTGCCTCCCATGACCAGTGAACACAAATATATCCATTTAAAAAAGAACTAAGGAAAATGCAGGCCGTTTCCAACTGATGCTTTAAATTAATCTAAGTTAGATACATAAATTAGGAGTTTAAAAAAATTAATTTTTTCAGACTATAATCAAGATTCTCTATTTATTCCCAAGCAGCCTGTATATAATAATAAAGATATTATTGACAGGATGGAAATAGAATCAACATTAAGTGTTGTATGTGGAGACCTGACTGGACTACTACTTCTGGACAACTTCTCCTCTCGCAGAGAGTGTGTGTCTTGTGAGCATGGTTTGGTTAAACCATCTACCTTTGAGAGGCTAGCTGGTAAGGGTCACTGCAAGAGTTGGAAGAAAACTGTGCGTTGTTCTGAAACCGGGAGGGACATATCATCTCTGATTAAGGCAGGGAAAATTCAACTCCTTGATGAACCTGAGTGGATCGTCAAAAGAAGGGAGAGCGTCGAAATAACCAAATCAATAACTGTGGTTGATGGGATTGTGCCAACAAAACGAAAACGGGGCCGCCCAAAAAAGAGTGAGAGTCTGGTCAGTATCAATAAATTTTCTCCTTTGGACAAAAGCCGAGAAATAGTCAATCAAACTTCTGCTCTTAGTATTGCTGACAGTGGTTCCGAGAGTGGCTGCCTGGACCAACAAAAACATAAAGGGAAATTAGGAAATGGTCTTATTCGCAAACGCAAGAAGCTGAAGTGTGGCACTGATCTACCAAAAACTGTAATCACTAACAAGAGCATTACCAAAGAAAATGGATTTGTAAATGGTAGCAACGGGTTTTCTTCACAATTAAATGGGCTTGAGCAATCAGGACCGGGATTTGAAGTTTACAAACGAGCTCCTAGACATGGCAAATGTAAACGTAAAAGAGTTCGCCGCAATGATTTTGAACGATCAGTAAATGCTATAATCAGAACAAGGAAAACTCCTACAATGAAACTGCGCTTAGCATGCCCAGTTTGCCACACTCAAGTTCAAGATTCAGATGCTTTAAAGTGTCACGATCTAATGTTTCATTCGTCAGTTTCTAGCAAAGTTTTCGTAAAACCTGAAGACTGTGTAACCAACCATGCTCATAGTGAAGCTGATAGTACATTAGGTACCTCGGATAATTCTTTTTTTGAGCTAGGGTCTTCAGACAATGAACCAACTAAAGAGCCCATGATATGTTTACCCTCTCTGGAATTCTTCAAAGATAAGTTGACAAGAGGCACTGTAGCCAGACTAACGAGTATTGGGATGGACAGTTCAGTGAAGGGTTCGTGTGAAGGTGCGTCCTCGTCTAAGGAAAGTGCTGACATTAGTCAGATGTCTGTTTTATCTACGATAGCAGCACAATATCAAGAGATACTCGCAATTTCTAAGGACACTTTGCAGCAGACAAGTTCTCTACGAGACCGCGTGGAAGCGTTGGCTAACTCAGTGGAGGAGGTTAAATCAGATGTTAAAGACATTTCTAAAACATTAGCCCTTTCCAACATGGCTACAAGTGCTGTCAGAGACGACATTACTGCAGGCGACTATCAAACATTTTTCAACATTTTAGAAAAGTTTCTGAATAGTAACGGATTTGGAAATGGGCGGTGATATAGACTCAAATAGAAATCTGAATATTTCCTGTTGAATTTCTGCCGTTGTGTTCGCAATTGCACTGATGTAAGATGAAGAAGTTACTGTATAACGGACTACACTACTACACTGTTATTATCTATATAAAGCTCATCACATTTATACAAATCTATATTTTATATCTAAATTATTAAACCAGTCTATATATATTTTAATTGACATTTTCATAAGTTTATTTTTATTAATGACCTTTGAAGTTTGACATGAATTTTATGGTAAAATTTGTAACTCTTTAACGAAGTAGTTAGTTAGTAATAGGGCCCTCTTAGCTTTAATAATTATGACTTTTGACATATCCCAGAAATTGTAGTTCTCATTTCTCAGATTTAATTTGTGATGTTAAGTTGTATGCTCTTAATTATTTGAACCTCATCTTCGTCACATATATATTATCAGGTATCTTACTGAAACTTATGTACACTGTACAGGTATAAGGTGTAAAGTATCTGGAATACTGCAGAAGAAATCATATTATATGGTGTGTTAGTGTGTACTTGGTATTTATTAATTTTTATGATTATTAGTTTTGTGAACTATTTTCATTTTGACAGTGCAGCTACTCCACCACACAACAAGGTTGTGTTCTTACTCGAAACCTTATATGAAGTTCAGAGTTTTAATTAAAATTTGTAATCTTTTATCCTGTGTCATTGAGTGCAGCAACTTGTTGGTTATTTTTGACGTTTCTTGTACTCTGACATATGAAATGCAGCTTAATCTAATGTTACTGACACTTATGTAATATGTTGTTTAAATGAATCTTGGTAATCAGTAATGACATTCCAATCTTGGCAATCAAATCACAAGTAAATCTCAGCTCCTGACAAAATAGATTACCTTACTCGGGATTATTATGACCGGGATAAAGTGGCGGGTTTAGGGTAATTTCGCCATATTTTCCCCGAACCACATTTTCACCGGTCGTTAATAAACCCGCCGACTCAGCTTTTGGGTTCCCAAGGGGTATGGGTGCTCATATTTTAATCGTTGTCTTATATTCACTAAAGAAGACTATTGGGACACTTGTTGTAGGTTTTTCGACTTCATTTGGCTAAAATTGCAAAAAATTCACCTTTTTGCCCAATTCTTGTCATATATCCTTATTGTCAAAGTTGATTTAAATAGGCCAATTTTTAATTTCTTAGGTATTGATTATCTCTACATAATGAAATAGGACTCGAAACTTCGAGTAACTACTTGTAAAAGTAACAGTTAAATTAACACTTGAATTAATTAAAACTGTCAATAACATGAATCAGTTTCATCAGTCATTTATTCATAATTCTAAACAATGTGAACGATGCATTCTTTCGAAGTTTGATTAACCACGAATCATTATTTCTGTCTACTTTCAACAATTATTGATAATTCGACTTGTTTCACAAGTTTTAGCAATGCGAAAATTTCTAAACTTGCTTATCTCTAATAAGGAAATTTACATCTGAGACAAAATTTTTGAATCTAAAATTGAAAGGTTGGACACCGGTAAAATGGCGACCGGGAAAATGTGGTGGGTTTTGAGCAATTTCGCCATATTTTTCCCGAACCATATTTTAACTGGTCGTTAATAAACCCGTCGTAATAATCCCGAGTAAGGTATTCAAACTTTGTAAATATCTAAAAATATTTAGTAGCAGTGTATATTATATCTACAGTGTATATTATCAGTTCATACTAACAATAACCGATTTCAGAATGGGTAAGATAAAACTAGAGAAGAAGTTCCATTCAAAGAACCTAGGTGGTCAGATTGAAGAACACGAGAGTAGTACTGTTCAGCCCAAACTGTATTCCAAACCTCCAAAGAAGAAGAAATCAGAAGACAAAGACGAATCTATTGATGACGGTCTCTCCAAGAAAATTCTTAGTGAAGCCCGCCTTCAGCAACGAGAACTGGCTGAAAATGAAGCGCCACTGGCTACACATAATCTGATGAAAAAGAAGAAAGGAAAGGATCCAGTCGACGATTCAGATGACGATAGTGAAAATGAAAGTGAAAATGAAAATGAGGTTTATGAACCTGTAGTTGTTGACGAAGGCGAGGACAAGCTCTTTAACAAGTTCCTCAACCCATCATCCCAGCCCACCAGAACGCTAGCAGACATCATCATGGAGAAGATAAAAGAGAAAGAGACCGAGATTGGCACCAACGTGGGGACAGAAGGGGTCCAGGGGTTTGATGCACGGGTAGAAAACTTGTTTAAAAGTGTTGGAGAAGTGCTCAACAAATATCGATCGGGAAAACTACCCAAGGCTTTCAAAGCAATCCCAAATCTTGGTGATCGTTGGGAAGAGGCCCTCTTTCTGACAGAACCAGAAACATGGAGTGCTGCTGCAGTGTTTCAAGGTACTCGCATATTTGCTTCCAATCTCAAATCAGATCAAGCCCAAACGTTCTACAATCTTGTCTTACTTCCAAGGATTAGGGACGATATCGCAGAATACAAGAGACTTAATTTCCATCTATATCAAGCTATCAAGAAATCCCTTTTTAAACCAGCAGCTTTTTTCAAAGGTTTTCTGTTGCCCTTGCTGGAGAGTGGGACATGTTCACTGAGGGAGGCGGTTATCATCGGGAGTGTTCTTTCTAAAATATCAGTTCCAGTACTGCACAGCTCTGCAGCGCTGCTTAGAATAGCTGAGATGGATTACTCGGGCGCTAACAGTTTGTTTTTAAGAGTATTGCTCGAGAAGAGGTATGCTTTACCCTACAGAGTTATTGATGCCCTTGTGGCTCACTTCTGTAATTTCTCAATGGACAAGCGAGAACTGCCGGTTTTATTCCATCAATGTCTTTTGACTTTAGCTCAGAGGTACAAAGAGGACCTCTCCCCAGAACAGAAACAGCATTTGTTTATCTTGATGCAAAATCAGAGTCACCCCAAAATCACACCTGAGATAAGGCGCGAGCTTGCTAATTCTAAGTGTAGGGGTGATGATGATATGGCAGTCGAACCACCCTCGTTGGAACCACTGTCAGTAGGTTGATCTAATATAATTTTACAAGGGCGTGGGCCTTGAGAGGCTATCTATCGTACTATAGTGTTTTAAAACCTCCGTTATCAAGGATTTTTACCTAATTTATTGTAATGTATGGTAATTTATTTCTGACTACATTTTGCTCAGTCTCTATAGATGAACTGTAATATTCATTGATTTTGTGCCTTACCACTGCATTGAATGTAGTATCAATCAGAATGATATTGAATGGCATTATGGTTAAAATTTGTGTCTTTAGTTAAAGTTGAATCGATAAATTGTTGATAGCTAAAATGAAGTATTTATAACGAAGTAGTGTAACCGAGCATTCCGTCCCTAGTAAGGATGATAAGGAGAGCGAGGCGGGGAGGGGATAAGAGGGATGCAGACTCTAACACTCTCGAGCTGGAATGTAGCCTTTGTAAGGTGAGGTAGGTAAAATCTGATGTTTTTAGAGACATTATCTGAGCTTTTCTTCTAGTTTTCGTTGAAACTGAAGCTATGATTCAAATAAACTGTTAAACTGCTTAAAAATAAGTAAAGATGGTAAGTGAACTTATGCAATGGTGGTTACTCATGTTAGTTACCCAAGTTTACGGTTGCAGAAAACCAGCAATTAGAAAAATAAAAGTCTCTGTAGATTGTAGTTGTTATTATAATATTATTATAATTTGAATGCCTGTGTTGCAGGCGTGGGGGAGTTATACGAGACAGGGTATTATAATATGTATAATGTATAATAATGTATAATGTATAATGTATAATTTATAATGTATTGCAGGCGTGGGGGGAGCTATACGAGACAGGGCTGCACAGCGACATAACCTTCACAGTAGGCCGGTCTGGTAAGCAGTTTAACGCACACAAGCTGGTCCTCTCCACCCACAGCTCTACATTCCGGGCAATGCTCTACAATGGAATGGAGGAGAGCAGTCAGAGTGTTATCCAGCTCCCCGAACAGGACAGCAACGTGTTCGAGCTGCTCCTCAAGTTCATGTACACCGGCCAAGTCAAGCTTCACAAGGATGTGGTGAGGAATCTGATGATTCTAGCTGATTATTATGCAGTGGAGGTGTTGAAGGAGAGTATTGGAGAGTGGATAGGGAAAACGCTAATAGACAGGAACAATGTGTGTGATTATATTGTGTTCGCTTCAAACCACAATGTACACAGTCTTTACAAACACTGTTATAGGTTCATGCTGGGAAATGCTAAGGACATTTTCTTCTCAGCAGAGTTTAGGAACTCTATACCATACGAGATATTGGAGAAGATGGTAGCATCAGACGATTTAAATCTGACAGAACTAGAACTGTTTAACAGTTTGATATTATGGGGGGAGAGCAGAGTAGAGTTAAGTCCGCATTGTCGCACCGCATTGTCGCATAACATGGCAGACCATACCACACCACCTTATGTGAGTCTGAGTGAGTCTAGTGATGATGAGAGACCACGTGCTAATAAAACAGAGGCACCACCCCAGCAGCCGAGTAATACAGGTGATACACACGATTCAGTAATGTCGCCTGAGGGATCACAAGCTCTCAGGTTAGCAATTCTGCTATTAAATATTAATATTATAATACACAATAATTGGAATAATTAGTATGCTAAAAGTTCATGTATTAATTGATATGTTAATGTAAGTTTAGTTCTTCTAGGTTGTAGGTACCAAAATATCAAGCTTGCAGTTTTATTCTTATTTGTTCCGAAAGAGTTCCCTACTCTTCTATATTACTCTTCTATATTACTCTTGCTCTACTGATATTAATGAAGCAGTCTGTACTGTAAACCTGTTATTAGTGGTTACAGTGGTTAGTAGTTAGTTGTTAGTGGTTAGTGTCCTAATATTACATTACTCAGGACATTACTAGAGCCGCTAATATCACACATTACTCAGGACATTACTAGAGCCGCTAATATCACACATTACTCAGGACAATACTAGAGCCGCTAATATCACACATTACTCAGGACAATATTAGAGCCGCTAATATCACACATTACTCAGGACAATACTAGAGCCGCTAATATCACACATTACACTTAGGACAATATTAGAGCCGCTAATATCACACATTACTCAGGACAATACTAGAGCCGCTAATATCACACATTACTCAGGACAATATTAGAGCCGCTAATATCACACATTACTCAGGACAATACTAGAGCCGCTAATATCACACATTACTCAGGACAATACTAGAGCCGCTAATATCACACATTACTCAGGACAATACTAGAGCCGCTAATATCACACATTACTCAGGACAATACTAGAGCCGCTAATATCACACATTACTCAGGACAATATTAGAGCCGCTAATATCACACGTTACTCAGGACAATACTAGAGCCGCTAATATCACACATTACTCAGGACAATACTAGAGCCGCTAATATCACACATTACTCAGGACAATATTAGAGCCGCTAATATCACACATTACTCAGGACAATATTAGAGCCGCTAATATCACACGTTACTCAGGACAATACTAGAGCCGCTAATATCACACATTACTCAGGACAATACTAGAGCCGCTAATATCACACATTACTCAGGACAATACTAGAGCCGCTAATATCACACATTACACTCAGGACAATACTAGAGCCGCTAATATCACACATTACTCAGGACAATACTAGAGCCGCTAATATCACACATTACTCAGGACAATATTAGAGCCGCTAATATCACACATTACTCAGGACAATACTAGAGCCGCTAATATCACACATTACTCAGGACAATACTAGAGCCGCTAATATCACACATTACTCAGGACAATACTAGAGCCGCTAATATCACACATTACTCAGGACAATACTAGAGCCGCTAATATCACACATTACTCAGGACAATATTAGAGCCGCTAATATCACACGTTACTCAGGACAATACTAGAGCCGCTAATATCACACATTACTCAGGACAATACTAGAGCCGCTAATATCACACATTACTCAGGACAATATTAGAGCCGCTAATATCACACATTACTCAGGACAATATTAGAGCCGCTAATATCACACGTTACTCAGGACAATACTAGAGCCGCTAATATCACACATTACTCAGGACAATACTAGAGCCGCTAATATCACACATTACTCAGGACAATACTAGAGCCGCTAATATCACACGTTACTCAGGACAATATTAGAGCCGCTAATATCACACATTACTCAGGACAATATTAGAGCCGCTAATATCACACGTTACTCAGGACAATACTAGAGCCGCTAATATCACACATTACTCAGGACAATACTAGAGCCGCTAATATCACACATTACTCAGGACAATACTAGAGCCGCTAATATCACACATTACTCAGGACAATACTAGAGCCGCTAATATCACACGTTACTCAGGACAATATTAGAGCCGCTAATATCACACATTACTCAGGACAATATTAGAGCCGCTAATATCACACGTTACTCAGGACAATATTAGAGCCGCTAATATCACACATTACTCAGGACATTACTAGAGCCGCTAATATCACACGTTACTCAGGACAATACTAGAGCCGCTAATATCACACATTACTCAGGACAATACTAGAGCCGCTAATATCACACATTACTCAGGACAATACTAGAGCCGCTAATATCACACATTGCTCAGGACAATACTAGAGCCGCTAATATCACACATTACTCAGGACAATACTAGAGCCGCTAATATCACACATTGCTCAGGACAATACTAGAGCCGCTAATATCACACATTGCTCAGGACAATACTAGAGCCGCTAATATCACACATTACTCAGGACAATACTAGAGCCGCTAATATCACACATTACTCAGGACAATACTAGAGCCGCTAATATCACACATTACTCAGGACAATACTAGAGCCGCTAATATCACACATTACTCAGGACAATACTAGAGCCGCTAATATCACACGTTACTCAGGACAATATTAGAGCCGCTAATATCACACATTACTCAGGACAATACTAGAGCCGCTAATATCACACATTACTCAGGACAATACTAGAGCCGCTAATATCACACATTACTCAGGACAATACTAGAGCCGCTAATATCACACATTACTCAGGACAATACTAGAGCCGCTAATATCACACATTACACTCAGGACAATATTAGAGCCGCTAATATCACACGTTACTCAGGACAATACTAGAGCCGCTAATATCACACATTACTCAGGACAATACTAGAGCCGCTAATATCACACATTACTCAGGACAATACTAGAGCCGCTAATATCACACATTACTCAGGACAATATTAGAGCCGCTAATATCACACGTTACTCAGGACAATACTAGAGCCGCTAATATCACACATTACTCAGGACAATACTAGAGCCGCTAATATCACACATTACTCAGGACAATATTAGAGCCGCTAATATCACACATTACTCAGGACAATATTAGAGCCGCTAATATCACACGTTACTCAGGACAATACTAGAGCCGCTAATATCACACATTACTCAGGACAATACTAGAGCCGCTAATATCACACATTACTCAGGACAATACTAGAGCCGCTAATATCACACGTTACTCAGGACAATATTAGAGCCGCTAATATCACACATTACTCAGGACAATATTAGAGCCGCTAATATCACACGTTACTCAGGACAATACTAGAGCCGCTAATATCACACATTACTCAGGACAATACTAGAGCCGCTAATATCACACATTACTCAGGACAATACTAGAGCCGCTAATATCACACATTACTCAGGACAATACTAGAGCCGCTAATATCACACGTTACTCAGGACAATATTAGAGCCGCTAATATCACACATTACTCAGGACAATATTAGAGCCGCTAATATCACACGTTACTCAGGACAATATTAGAGCCGCTAATATCACACATTACTCAGGACATTACTAGAGCCGCTAATATCACACGTTACTCAGGACAATACTAGAGCCGCTAATATCACACATTACTCAGGACAATACTAGAGCCGCTAATATCACACATTACTCAGGACAATACTAGAGCCGCTAATATCACACATTGCTCAGGACAATACTAGAGCCGCTAATATCACACATTACTCAGGACAATACTAGAGCCGCTAATATCACACATTGCTCAGGACAATACTAGAGCCGCTAATATCACACATTGCTAAGGACAATACTAGAGCCGCTAATATCACACATTACTCAGGACAATACTAGAGCCGCTAATATCACACATTACTCAGGACAATACTAGAGCCGCTAATATCACACATTACTCAGGACAATACTAGAGCCGCTAATATCACACATTACTCAGGACAATACTAGAGCCGCTAATATCACACGTTACTCAGGACAATATTAGAGCCGCTAATATCACACATTACTCAGGACAATACTAGAGCCGCTAATATCACACATTACTCAGGACAATACTAGAGCCGCTAATATCACACATTACTCAGGACAATATTAGAGCCGCTAATATCACACATTACTCAGGACAATACTAGAGCCGCTAATATCACACATTACTCAGGACAATACTAGAGCCGCTAATATCACACATTACTCAGGACAATACTAGAGCCGCTAATATCACACATTACTCAGGACAATACTAGAGCCGCTAATATCACACATTACTCAGGACAATACTAGAGCCGCTAATATCACACATTACTCAGGACAATACTAGAGCCGCTAATATCACACATTACTCAGGACAATACTAGAGCCGCTAATATCACACATTACTCAGGACAATATTAGAGCCGCTAATATCACACATTACTCAGGACAATACTAGAGCCGCTAATATCACACGTGAGACTCCCCTTCATCGACCCTGAACAGCTGATTGAGTGTGTTAAACCTACTGGAGTGATAGATCACTCCAATATACTGCAGGCTATCTCTTATCACATCAGTAAGAAACCTGTATACCCTCCTCATCATGTTCAGGTTAAGTTATAAATATTGTTTACTATTTATAAATTAGTTTGATTTTGGTGCCTCTTGTAGTTTATGCCAAATTGTATGTACGTATTATATACGTATTATATACGTATTGTATACGAATCACGATGTTTTAGTTGTTATACAGCTGCTGTTATACTGACTGTTGCCTCCCCCCAGATACGGCCACGAAAGAACACAATAGAAACACGTTACACCCTGATGAAGAACAGAGAACCACACAAATCTCAACCTTTCTTACACAGCGAGACAGCTGGCGGTGAGGATGATTCATCGTCCTGGTGATATCACCATGGTGATTACCATCTGTAAAGGTGACTGATCAGATTTATCAAAACATGGGGGGGGGGGGGGGGGGGGGGGGCCAACCATATTAAAGTATAAAAAGGATATCCCCGGGTCAAAATCGGAAAAAATCCTACATTTTAATATACTTTAATATACCTACAATTAGAAGATTTATATTCTTCGTTAAGATTTACATGATGAACTATATTTTTCACTCAGATTCGCAAGATAAGCCTGTTTTAGGACTAGTACATGAATTTCCATCCAGATTGGTCAAAAATTGGCTGAGCTATGAGCTTTAAAAAATATGCCCATATTTGGGCATACGCTTTTGCCCAAATTCGCTTTTGCCCAAATTCGATAAAATTTCAATATTTTTTAATGAGACTAACTCTATGTGAAAGATATAACTCAGTGTTTGTTGAATATAGTGGATACTAAGTAAAAAGACCTTCATGAACAAAATTGGGAAAATTGCACATAATATCTCTGTTCGGAATACTAGCCAAAATGACGTCATTAAAATTGAAATAACTCCATCAGTTTTCAATATTTTTTCAAGAACTTTTTGGAATCGATTAAGAATTGCATTTCAAGCTTATTTTGGGTAACAATTTTCGATGTAGGCCTCCAAGGATAGGGATATATTAAAGTATATTGTAGGTATATTAAAGTATATTAAAGTATATCCCCGGGTCAAAATCGGGAAAAATCCTACATTTTAATATACTTTAATATGGTTGGCCCCCCCCCCCCCCCCCCAAACATCCTTGCACGCATTATCAGAGACACGAAGAACTGTAGTGTTTTTATTTGTTGCAACTTGTTCATTATAGTGAGGATTTGTTTAATGACTAGGGGAATGGTGCTATGTGGGGATTTCAAGAAATTTAGTTATACCAGTTTGTAATATGAGTTACAATCACCCTCATTTTTCAAAGTTAGCGTGATTTTTCACTTAAATAATGAATTCATGCGTTGTCATTGTAAATTCATCATTGAGTTTTTATAAAGATACCGTTGCGTTGTACTTATTCCTTTTAGTCAGAACGACCCTAGGTGTAGCTAACTAGCTGTAGCATGCTTCTAAACTCTGTTATATTTAAGGATGTTGTGCAGTCTTTAAACTTCTGAAATATTTTTAGGCTTATAGAAATGAAGAATCTCTGATAAAACATGTTGAGAGGTATTGGAAAACGCAGGCTGCTAACTACCCTCTCCCAAATTCGAGCACATTCTACAACTCTCGATCCGGAATGGGAGAAACTGGCTCGAAAACAGCTGAAAGGAAAAGATCCTGCAGAGACACTGACCTGGCACACTCTGGAGGGACTGAAGGTAAAGCCTGTGTACACTGAGCAGGACAGGGAGGGAAAGGAGCCGGAGATACCGGGCAAGTACCCCTTTACTCGCGGTCCAAATGCCACCATGTACGCTGGCAGACCCTGGACTATACGCCAATATGCTGGGTTCAGTACGGTCGAGGAAAGCAACAAGTTCTACAAGAAGAACTTGGCAGCGGGCCAGCAAGGGCTGAGTGTAGCATTCGACCTGGCAACCCACAGAGGGTACGACTCAGATAACCCCCGTGTAATGGGAGATGTGGGTATGGCTGGTGTAGCTGTGGACACTGTTGAGGATATGAAGGCTTGTTCGAGGGAATCCCCTGGAAAAGATATCCGTGTCTATGACAATGAATGGGGCTGTGCTGCCTGTATTAGCCATGTTCATTGTAGGCGGGTGAGGAGCAAGGTGTTCCTGTCAGTAAACTTACAGGAACTATACAGAATGATATTCTCAAGGAGTTCATGGTGCGGAATACGTACATTTACCCTCCCAAAGCTTCCATGCAGATCATAGCTGACATATTTGCATATTGTGCAGAACATATGCCAAAGTATAACAGTATCTCGATATCCGGATACCACATGCAGGAGGCAGGAGCAGACACTGTCACAGAGCTGGCCTACACTATCGCTGATGGGCTGGAATATTGCCGAGCTGGCGTCAAGTCTGGACTTGATATCGATGCCTTTTGCCCCCAGACTAAGTTTCTTCTGGTGTATTGGAATGAACTTCTACCTGGAAATAGCCAAGTTTAGAGCAGGTCGTAGACTCTGGGCACATCTTGTAAAGGAGAAGTTTGGAGCAAAATCAGAGAAAAGTTTGTTGTTAAGATGCCATTCTCAAACAAGTGGCTGGTCATTGAGAGAGCAAGATCCCTACAACAATGTTATGAGAACATGTATTGAAGCAATGGCAGCAGTGTTTGGGGGCACTCAATCCCTTCACACAAACTCTTTTGATGAAGCTCTGGGACTCCCAACACCTTTCTCAGCTAGAATAGCTAGGAACACGCAACTGATAATACAGGAAGAGACAGGCATTACAAAAGTAGCTGATCCTTGGGGAGGGAGCTACATGATGGAACAACTCACTAATGACATGTACGACGCTGCAATGGAGCTGATTAAAGAGGTAGAGGATCTGGGTGGTATGACAGAAGCGCTGAGTGCTGGCATTCCCAAGATGAGGATCGAGGAATGTGCTGCAAAGAAGCAGGCAAGGTTTGACTCGGGGAAGGATGTAGTGGTGGGGGTTAACAAGTACAAACCAGAGATCATAGAGGAAGTGGATGTTTTGAGCATTGATAACACTGACGTGAGAACCAAACAGATTGCAAAGTTAGAAAAGATAAAGGCAGCTAGAGACGATGCTCTTGTTAAAGAATCTTTAGCAAAGATAACTGATATTTGTGGTGGTGGTGAGGGTAATCTACTGGGTGTAGCTGTTGAAGCAGCTCGAGCTCGTGCTACAGTGGGCGAGATATCTGATGCTATGGAGGTGGTGTTCCAGAGGTACACAGCTTCAATCAGGATGATATCAGGAGTATATAGCTCCGAATACGGAGAACACGATGATATAACCATAGCCAAACAGAGGACCTTACAGTTCCTTGAAGCTAACGGTAGGAGACCTCGTATACTAGTCGCTAAAGCTGGACAGGATGGTCATGATCAAGGACAAAAAATAATCGCCACAGGATTTTCAGACATCGGATACGATGTGGACATCGGCCCTCTGTTCCAAACTCCCCGAGAAGTAGCCCAGCAAGCTATAGATGCAGATGTGCATGTTGTGGGGGTGAGCTCCCTTGCTGCTGGACACAGGACCCTGGTACCAGAGCTCATCTGTGAGCTGAAGGAGATGGGGCGGCCCGATATAGTAGTGATAGTGGGGGGTGTCATCCCTCCGCAGGACTATAACGATCTCCACAAAGCTGGAGTTGCTAAAGTGTTCGGTCCGGGAACCAGACTCCCTCTAGCTGCTGCTGAGACTCTGGATGTTGTGGAGAGCAGAGCTTTCCCTGACAAAGTCTCCGCGGAAAATAAGTGATTTTAGAGTTTTTAAAAACATTGGACTGCTGAAATGATTTTTGCGGCTCTACAGTATTAGATCTTCCCATTTCCACCCTCTTTTTGTCAACAAACTATGTAGCTACCCTTGGAAATCGTGACCCGTTTTTACTTTTTTACTGATTCAGAAATAATGTTTAGAAAGATGCTAGGAATTAGGATGTTAATAACTTTGTTATCTAGTCCTAGACGGCTTTGTTTGTATAATTTGCTTTTATTGTGCTATGTAGTTAACGAGATTATTTATTACGTTTGTGTCGTCAATTAACGTAAGCAAGTAAACACAACAAACCACTGCCACCAAACTAATGTTTCGTTATACAATATACAAAATATCTTACAATAGTTGTACGATACACTTCATAACTGTCTCCAACTGCCCAGTTAGAATGGAGAAAGCAGCAGTGCCCGCTAAGAAGCTAGTAGGGGCCTCCTACATAGAACAGGGCTGCAGTAGCTTGAGATCAGCTGATAACGCCACTAAGCACCTTATTGAGCAGCGCCGCCTACCGCAGCGCGGCTGGTCCGACCTGAACATCAAGCGGTGTATCAACGAGATGGCGCTCATGGACTCTAACAACTTCGATGGTAAGGGTGGTGTATAGACAGTTACCATAGCTGATAGCAACAGTTACCCTAGCAACAGTTACTCTAGCAAACCCAAAAGTCTATCCAATTTCATTGACCATTTTCATTTGTTCTAATATACCTGGGTTCCTAAAAATTTGTGCATCGTTTTTGTCTCTCTTTCGGAAATATGCTTGGACCTCCAAGTATAATGCTCTGCAACATGAGCCCCCCCCCCCACTCCAACATGAGCCCCCCCCCCCCCCCCCCCCACTGCACGGGCAAACGAACGTCATTTATCAGGTGGAGAGAAGTGGCGGACCATTATACCTATTTGAGAAAGTAGCCGCACATAAGACCTGCAGTCCTCTCATTAGTTAATGATATACGGGCCCTTTATAAAGGTCGAGCGTGGCTAGTGGAGGAGCTCTTTTTGTTATTACAAACGTGCAAAAATAAGCAAAAATATTGAAAGAGTTTATAATAGCTTTGCAAAGAAGCTGCACCCTTAACCATGCTACTTCAGGAAATGTAGGAGCAGGAGAGCATGAAGGTAGAGTAGCTGCACCCTTAACCATGCTACTTCAGGAAACGTAGGAGCAGGAGAGCATGAAGGTAGAGTAGCTGCACCCTTAACCATGCTACTTCAGGAAACGTAGGAGCAGGAGAGCGTGAAGGTAGAGTAGCTGCACCCTTAACCATGCTACTTCAGGAAACGTAGGAGCAGGAGAGCGTGAAGGTAGAGTAGCTGCACCCTTAACCATGCTACTTCAGGAAACGTAGGAGCAGGAGAGCATGAAGGTAGAGTAGCTGCACCCTTAACCATGCTACTTCAGGAAACGTAGGAGCAGGAGAGCGTGAAGGTAGAGTAGCTGCACCCTTAACCATGCTACTTCAGGAAATGTAGGAGCAGGAGAGCGTGAAGGTAGAGTAGCTGCACCCTTAACCATGCTACTTCAGGAAATGTAGGAGCAGGAGAGCGTGAAGGTAGAGTAGCTGCACCCTTAACCATGCTACTTCAGGAAACGTAGGAGCAGGAGAGCATGAAGGTAGAGTAGCTGCACCCTTAACCATGCTACTTCAGGAAACGTAGGAGCAGGAGAGCGTGAAGGTAGAGTAGCTGCACCCTTAACCATGCTACTTCAGGAAATGTAGGAGCAGGAGAGCGTGAAGGTAGAGTAGCTGCACCCTTAACCATGCTACTTCAGGAAATGTAGGAGCAGGAGAGCGTGAAGGTAGAGTAGCTGCACCCTTAACCATGCTACTTCAGGAAATGTAGGAGCAGGAGAGCGTGAAGGTAGAGTAGCTGCACCCTTAACCATGCTACTTCAGGAAACGTAGGAGCAGGAGAGCATGAAGGTAGAGTAGCTGCACCCTTAACCATGCTACTTCAGGAAACGTAGGAGCAGGAGAGCGTGAAGGTAGAGTAGCTGCACCCTTAACCATGCTACTTCAGGAAATGTAGGAGCAGGAGAGCATGAAGGTAGAGTAGCTGCACCCTTAACCATGCTACTTCAGGAAATGTAGGAGCAGGAGAGCGTGAAGGTAGAGTAGCTGCACCCTTAACCATGCTACTTCAGGAAACGTAGGAGCAGGAGAGCATGAAGGTAGAGTAGCTGCACCCTTAACCATGCTACTTCAGGAAATGTAGGAGCAGGAGAGCATGAAGGTAGAGTAGCTGCACCCTTAACCATGCTACTTCAGGAAACGTAGGAGCAGGAGAGCGTGAAGGTAGAGTAGCTGCACCCTTAACCATGCTACTTCAGGAAATGTAGGAGCAGGAGAGCATGAAGGTAGAGTAGCTGCACCCTTAACCATGCTACTTCAGGAAATGTAGGAGCAGGAGAGCGTGAAGGTAGAGTAGCTGCACCCTTAACCATGCTACTTCAGGAAATGTAGGAGCAGGAGAGCGTGAAGGTAGAGTAGCTGCACCCTTAACCATGCTACTTCAGGAAATGTAGGAGCAGGAGAGCGTGAAGGTAGAGTAGCTGCACCCTTAACCATGCTACTTCAGGAAATGTAGGAGCAGGAGAGCGTGAAGGTAGAGTAGCTGCACCCTTAACCATGCTACTTCAGGAAACGTAGGAGCAGGAGAGCGTGAAGGTAGAGTAGCTGCACCCTTAACCATGCTACTTCAGGAAATGTAGGAGCAGGAGAGCGTGAAGGTAGAGTAGCTGCACCCTTAACCATGCTACTTCAGGAAATGTAGGAGCAGGAGAGCGTGAAGGTAGAGTAGCTGCACCCTTAACCATGCTACTTCAGGAAATGTAGGAGCAGGAGAGCGTGAAGGTAGAGTAGCTGCACCCTTAACCATGCTACTTCAGGAAATGTAGGAGCAGGAGAGCGTGAAGGTAGAGTAGCTGCACCCTTAACCATGCTACTTCAGGAAACGTAGGAGCAGGAGAGCGTGAAGGTAGAGTAGCTGCACCCTTAACCATGCTACTTCAGGAAACGTAGGAGCAGGAGAGCGTGAAGGTAGAGTAGCTGCACCCTTAACCATGCTACTTCAGGAAACGTAGGAGCAGGAGAGCATGAAGGTAGAGTAGCTGCACCCTTAACCATGCTACTTCAGGAAATGTAGGAGCAGGAGAGCGTGAAGGTAGAGTAGCTGCACCCTTAACCATGCTACTTCAGGAAACGTAGGAGCAGGAGAGCGTGAAGGTAGAGTAGCTGCACCCTTAACCATGCTACTTCAGGAAACGTAGGAGCAGGAGAGCGTGAAGGTAGAGTAGCTGCACCCTTAACCATGCTACTTCAGGAAACGTAGGAGCAGGAGAGCGTGAAGGTAGAGTAGCTGCACCCTTAACCATGCTACTTCAGGAAATGTAGGAGCAGGAGAGCGTGAAGGTAGAGTAGCTGCACCCTTAACCATGCTACTTCAGGAAACGTAGGAGCAGGAGAGCGTGAAGGTAGAGTAGCTGCACCCTTAACCATGCTACTTCAGGAAATGTAGGAGCAGGAGAGCATGAAGGTAGAGTAGCTGCACCCTTAACCATGCTACTTCAGGAAATGTAGGAGCAGGAGAGCGTGAAGGTAGAGTAGCTGCACCCTTAACCATGCTACTTCAGGAAATGTAGGAGCAGGAGAGCATGAAGGTAGAGTAGCTGCACCCTTAACCGTGCTACTTCAGGAAACGTAGGAGCAGGAGAGCATGAAGGTAGAGTAGCTGCACCCTTAACCATGCTACTTCAGGAAATGTAGGAGCAGGAGAGCGTGAAGGTAGAGTAGCTGCACCCTTAACCATGCTACTTCAGGAAATGTAGGAGCAGGAGAGCGTGAAGGTAGAGTAGCTGCACCCTTAACCATGCTACTTCAGGAAATGTAGGAGCAGGAGAGCATGAAGGTAGAGTAGCTGCACCCTTAACCATGCTACTTCAGGAAATGTAGGAGCAGGAGAGCATGAAGGTAGAGTAGCTGCACCCTTAACCATGCTACTTCAGGAAATGTAGGAGCAGGAGAGCATGAAGGTAGAGTAGCTGCACCCTTAACCATGCTACTTCAGGAAATGTAGGAGCAGGAGAGCATGAAGGTAGAGTAGCTGCACCCTTAACCATGCTACTTCAGGAAATGTAGGAGCAGGAGAGCATGAAGGTAGAGTAGCTGCACCCTTAACCATGCTACTTCAGGAAACGTAGGAGCAGGAGAGCATGAAGGTAGAGTAGCTGCACCCTTAACCATGCTACTTCAGGAAACGTAGGAGCAGGAGAGCATGAAGGTAGAGTAGCTGCACCCTTAACCATGCTACTTCAGGAAATGTAGGAGCAGGAGAGCATGAAGGTAGAGTAGCTGCACCCTTAACCATGCTACTTCAGGAAATGTAGGAGCAGGAGAGCATGAAGGTAGAGTAGCTGCACCCTTAACCATGCTACTTCAGGAAATGTAGGAGCAGGAGAGCGTGAAGGTAGAGTAGCTGCACCCTTAACCATGCTACTTCAGGAAATGTAGGAGCAGGAGAGCGTGAAGGTAGAGTAGCTGCACCCTTAACCATGCTACTTCAGGAAATGTAGGAGCAGGAGAGCGTGAAGGTAGAGTAGCTGCACCCTTAACCATGCTACTTCAGGAAATGTAGGAGCAGGAGAGCGTGAAGGTAGAGTAGCTGCACCCTTAACCATGCTACTTCAGGAAATGTAGGAGCAGGAGAGCATGAAGGTAGAGTAGCTGCACCCTTAACCATGCTACTTCAGGAAATGTAGGAGCAGGAGAGCATGAAGGTAGAGTAGCTGCACCCTTAACCATGCTACTTCAGGAAATGTAGGAGCAGGAGAGCATGAAGGTAGAGTAGCTGCACCCTTAACCATGCTACTTCAGGAAATGTAGGAGCAGGAGAGCGTGAAGGTAGAGTAGCTGCACCCTTAACCATGCTACTTCAGGAAATGTAGGAGCAGGAGAGCGTGAAGGTAGAGTAGCTGCACCCTTAACCATGCTACTTCAGGAAATGTAGGAGCAGGAGAGCGTGAAGGTAGAGTAGCTGCACCCTTAACCATGCTACTTCAGGAAACGTAGGAGCAGGAGAGCGTGAAGGTAGAGTAGCTGCACCCTTAACCATGCTACTTCAGGAAACGTAGGAGCAGAAGAGCATGAAGGTAGAGTAGCTGCACCCTTAACCATGCTACTTCAGGAAACGTAGGAGCAGAAGAGCATGAAGGTAGAGTAGCTGCACCCTTAACCATGCTACTTCAGGAAATGTAGGAGCAGGAGAGCGTGAAGGTAGAGTAGCTGCACCCTTAACCATGCTACTTCAGGAAATGTAGGAGCAGGAGAGCGTGAAGGTAGAGTAGCTGCACCCTTAACCATGCTACTTCAGGAAACGTAGGAGCAGGAGAGCATGAAGGTAGAGTAGCTGCACCCTTAACCATGCTACTTCAGGAAATGTAGGAGCAGGAGAGCATGAAGGTAGAGTAGCTGCACCCTTAACCATGCTACCTCAGGAAATGTAGGAGCAGGAGAGCGTGAAGGTAGAGTAGCTGCACCCTTAACCATGCTACTTCAGGAAATGTAGGAGCAGGAGAGCGTGAAGGTAGAGTAGCTGCACCCTTAACCATGCTACTTCAGGAAATGTAGGAGCAGGAGAGCGTGAAGGTAGAGTAGCTGCACCCTTAACCATGCTACTTCAGGAAATGTAGGAGCAGGAGAGCATGAAGGTAGAGTAGCTGCACCCTTAACCATGCTACTTCAGGAAATGTAGGAGCAGGAGAGCATGAAGGTAGAGTAGCTGCACCCTTAACCATGCTACTTCAGGAAATGTAGGAGCAGGAGAGCGTGAAGGTAGAGTAGCTGCACCCTTAACCATGCTACTTCAGGAAATGTAGGAGCAGGAGAGCATGAAGGTAGAGTAGCTGCACCCTTAACCATGCTACTTCAGGAAATGTAGGAGCAGGAGAGCATGAAGGTAGAGTAGCTGCACCCTTAACCATGCTACTTCAGGAAATGTAGGAGCAGGAGAGCATGAAGGTAGAGTAGCTGCACCCTTAACCATGCTACTTCAGGAAACGTAGGAGCAGGAGAGCGTGAAGGTAGAGTAGCTGCACCCTTAACCATGCTACTTCAGGAAATGTAGGAGCAGGAGAGCGTGAAGGTAGAGTAGCTGCACCCTTAACCATGCTACTTCAGGAAATGTAGGAGCAGGAGAGCGTGAAGGTAGAGTAGCTGCACCCTTAACCATGCTACTTCAGGAAATGTAGGAGCAGGAGAGCGTGAAGGTAGAGTAGCTGCACCCTTAACCATGCTACTTCAGGAAACGTAGGAGCAGGAGAGCGTGAAGGTAGAGTGTACTCAGAGTTAGTGAAACAGAAGAACTGCTATCTATCTCACGGGATGGGAAGGAGTGGGGACATCGCTGCAAACCAGCCCAAGGTAGAGCAAGGTTCGTTACTTAACTGCCCAAATATCTACACGCCTTATCACGTGACTTATTCAATTACCTGTTACCTGTTACAATTCGCTATATTTTGAGAAAATGTTCTTGAACTGCAAAAAACATGTTTAAGCCATTTTAACCCCTATTTTCCCAGGCAGCAGGGTCTGCACTGATGTGTAGAATTACTGAAGGACTGGTTCTTGATGTGCTGAAGAGTTCAGGCTGCACTAACACTAAAAGTTGTGTAGTTTTACCTGTAGCTACTGGCATGGCACTTCTTACTTCCTTACTATATCTCCGACAGTGCAACCCCAATGGAAGGTGAGTGTGTGCAGTGCACGAGACTTTGCTCGTGCACATATTGGTAGGGTTTAGGTAGGGATGTAAAACCAGGAACAAAGCTTTGTGCATGATGTGAGCTGCACTTTGCATTGCTCATGATGTCTTCAGCAGGTCCTACTATCAGTTCACCAATTAATTAACCAATTAATTAACCAAAGAACCAATTTACACTCTCTTATAACAGTGTAGTTACTAATTAATTAACCAATTAACACTCTCTTATAATAGTGTAGTTATCTGGCCCCGTATAGACCAGGGGACGTGTGTAAAGACTCCGCAAACTGCCGGCTGTCAGTTGGAGGTAGTAGAGCCGTTATTGGAGGGAGACAGTCTGGTGACAGATGTGGGGAGGATAGAAGAGTTGTTACGTCACCATGGTGACAAGGTGCTGTGCGTGATGAGCACCACTTCCTGCTTCGCTCCTCGCACTCCAGACAAGTTAGTTATCTGTTGTTTAAATAGCTGTATAGTATTTATAGTGAGAGTTAACTACTTTTCTGATTGCCTTGTTATTATTGTAATTACTACTCTCCCTCGGGTGGGCGACATTTGACCCCCGACAATTGACCCCCGACAATTAACCCCCGACAATTGACTCCCGACAATTGACCCCCGACAATTGACTACCGACAATTGACCCCCCCCCCCCACAATTGACCCCCGACAATTGACCCCCGACAATTGACCCCCGACAATTGACCCCCGACAATTGACCCCCGACAATTGACCCCCCCCCCCCCCCCCCCCCCGACAATATAATTTAATACAATTACCCCTAACCCTAACCCTAACCCGATCAATTGACCCCAGTGTAATTACATAGGGGGTCAATTGTCGGGGGTCAATTGTCGCGGTACCTCTCTCTCCCTCTAAACTGATAACTACCAGGTTAGTCCACATTGCGGAGCTGTGTAAACGGTACAACACTGCGCACCTTGTTAACAATGCGTACGGTATACAGTGTACCAGATGTATGGGTCTCCTCAACACTGCTTCTCTTAACGGTACCAGCTTTATTATTAGTTAATTAGTATCGATGAAAACAAATTGTCTGAATTTAAAAATTTAATAATGCTAGATTTATAATTGAGCCTAGTGTCCTAACCCGCTGTCTCCATGCTAGGCAGGGTAGACCTAGTACCCCCCACTAACCCGCTGTCTCCATCTCTCCATGCTAGGCAGGGTAACCCCCTAACCCGCTGTCTCCATGCTAGGCAGGGTAGACCTAATACCCCCCGGCCCCCCCACTAACCCGCTGTCTCCATGCTAGGGAAGGTAGACCTAGTACTCCCTCCCCCCCCACTAACCCGCTGTCTCCATGCTAGGCAGGGTAGACCTGTACCCCCCCCCCACTACCCCGCTGTCTCCATGCTAGGCAGGTTAGACCTGTACCCCCCCACTAACCCGCTGTCTCCATGCTAGGCAGGGTAGACCTAGTACCCCCCCCCCCCCACTAACCCGCTGTCTCCATGCTAGGCAGGGTAGACCTGTACCCCCCCCCCACTAACCCGCTGTCTCCATGCTAGGCAGGGTAGACCTGTACCCCCCCCCCCCCCCACTAACCCGCTGTCTCCATGCTAGGCAGGGTAGACCTAGTACCCCCCTCCCCCTAACCCGCTGTCTCCATGCTAGGTAGGGTAGACCTGTACCCCCCCTCCCCCTAACCCGCTGTCTCCATTCTAGGTAGGGTAGACCTGTACCCCCCCCCCCCCCCCCACTAACCCGCTGTCTCCATGCTAGGCAGGGTAGACCTAGTACCCCCCCCCCCCTAACCCGCTGTCTCCATGCTAGGCAGGGTAGACCTGTACGTGCAGAGTCTAGATAAGAACTTCATGGTGCCGGTGGGAGGAAGTATAGTGGCGGGGTTCACTAAAGAGATAATATCCAGCTTATCTCAGTCGTATCCTGGTAGAGGGAGCAGTGCACCTATTCTGGACCTGTTTATCACTCTCCTGTCTATGGGCAGAGAGGGGTTCTTTCAGCTACTTGAGGAACGGAACAAGGTAGGAATTGTATCTCGTTACTAACCATGTACCAGGTAACCTATTGGTTACTAACCATGTACCTATATATTGGTTACTAACCATGTACCAGGTAACCTATTGGTTACTAACCATGTACCTATATATTGGTTACTAACCATGTACCAGGTAACCTATTAGTTAGGTATATACATGTATATACAGGTGTTATAAGTCAGGTACTGTCTTTAGGTAAAGGGGGAGGGGGGATGAGATTAGTTTAAAATGGAACTACAGGAGGTGGTAACCTCTGCAGATGGTAGATATGACACCCTGCAGTCTGCACACTGCACACTGCACAGTTATTAAGCAATACAGTAAGCACAGCACTGTGACCATAACTGCAGTTAAACACTAACATATTGAATATGGAAACGCGCTTAAAATATCCAATGATATGAACGATAGTAAAGCATACATGAATACATGACAGGCGCAGTGCAAATCATTCATGTTGTGTAACTGTTATGTAACTCCAAAAACTTATTTTAAAGTTTTGCGTTTTACTCGCGTTCGTTGGAATGCGTTTCTCACAATGCTACTACTACTAATGCTGTGTTATATTTCTGCATATAAGTATGCTGAGTATGCTGAATATTCTGATTTCTGAATTTGCTGATTTTGCTGAATAGTGAACACGGTTTGCTGACCCCCTGCCTCAACAGGGGAGGGGGAGGTAGCAAGACTAAACGAGGGTTTATGTTTTGCAGGTGTACACGAAGCTGAAGAGGAAGTTAGAGGAAGTAGCCAGTGTGTATGGGGAGAGAGTCCTGGAGACACCCAACAATCAGATATCTCTAGCTTTTACTCTAACACCCTCTAATTACAAGGTTTATTAAAACACTCAGCAAACTTCAATTTACTTAAATGACAGCCATCTTTAGGGCTCGGATAGATAGAAATCTAAAAGCAGTAAACATATCTTTATAGTATTTTATCTGCGATAACGGAATGTAAAGCTAATAAATGTACAGGAGAACTGCAAGCTGACAGAAATAGGGAGCAAACTGTTTACTCGCAACGTGACGGGGGCGCGTGTGGTGACCTGCTCGGGATCTAAAACAGTCGGCAAGATAACACTACAGAAGTGGGGATCACACAGCAACAATTACCCTACTCCCTACATCACATTCGCTGCTGCAGTAGGCATGACTGAGGCTGACGTGGATAAACTGGTCGACAAATTCGGGCAGATACTCGCGAAACTGTCGTGTGTAGTATCACAGGGAAATACTGATTAAGCCATATTGAACAAATAGGTGCTTTTAAGTTAGATTTATTTAGCAGGGGTGATTTTCATTTCATTTATTTAATTGTTTAACGGACACACATAAATGGGTTGATGTATTTTAATTGTATTAATAAGTGTTGATTGTTATTTTATGATTGCAATTGTAATTATTTAATTTATCAAACTTCTTATCTACCTCTAGTTGAAGTAAGATGATAAGAAAGGGTATAAGTTTGCTAGTGAAACTCAATGCCACACTTGTTATCATGTTTAAGGAGGCGGATCAACATACCGCAATATTTCAACATTTCTTTACATAACATTTTATATAATATTGTATGTCATCTGCGTCCGGTATTAGATGACTTGCTGCAATTTGTTCCTAGTTTACGTTTCTTTGCTGGTATGTTCTTTGTTGATTACCTAGAAAATGTACATTTGCTACTATATTTTAGTATTTTGTGTAAATTATATAACATGTAGTTGTAGTGCTAACAATTGAACATTGCACTAGCCACTGCCACACACCAGTATGGATGAGGAGTATGACGCTATAATCCTGGGTACAGGGCTTAAGGAATGTGTACTGAGCGGGTTGCTCTCAGTATCCGGCAAGAGAGTTCTACACATGGATAGGAACGGTTACTATGGTGCTGCCTGTGCCAGCATGTACCTCGAACAGGTACTGCTTTACTTTACTTTACTTTACTTTACTTTACTTTACTTTACTTTACTTTACTTTACTTTACTTTACTTTACTTTACTTTACTTTACTTTACTTTACTTTACTTTACTTTACTTTACTTTACTCAGTAATCGACCGGGATTCCCGGCGCCGTGAAATCCCGGCACCGGGGGAGCTATTTCTTCCCGGCCCCGGCCCCGGCCGATTTTCAATTTTTGCCGGGAATTTGGCCGGGAATTTTTGATCGAAATCGGCCTAAAACTTTCATATAAATCTTAAAATGGATTTTCAATTTTGAAAGGATGATGTCCAGAGTGCCAACTTTCAAGAGCAGTCCTTTGTTTTTGTAACTATTTTACCAAAATATATATGAAATCTAATTACCTTCTAAACTGTTCAATTGATACGAACATTATATTGTCATGTAAAAATAAGTTCAGATCCTAAGTCCTGAAAAGTTCTAACTTGGCCGTGGATTTATTAAATTCACGGCCCCGGCCCCGGCCAAATTCCAGAACGGCCAATTCCCGGCCCCGGCAAAATTTGAACATTCCCGGCCCCGGCCCCGGCCAAATCCTACCCCCGGTCGTTTACTGACTTTACTTTACTTTACTTTACTTTACTTTATTTTACTTTACTTTACTTTACTTTACTTTACTTTACTTTACTTTACTTTACTTTACTTTACTTTACTTTACTTTACTTTACTTTACTTTACTTTACTTTACTTTACTTTACTTTACTTTACTTTACTTTACTTTACTTTACTTTACTTTACTTTACTTTACTTTACTTTACTTTACTTTACGGTTACTATGGTGCTGCCTGTGCCAGCATGTACCTCGAACAGGTACCAAACTTGCATTTATAAGATTATGTGAAATTTGGTAGCATTCTTTATCTTTTTATAGAACTCTTTGCTTTTCTATCACACATTACATTTTCAGTTGTTTGAGCACTTTGGAAAGAAGGATTGCGACGTTTCTAGCTACGGCAAATCTAGAAATTGGAACGTGGATCTTATCCCCAAATTCCTCATGGCCGATGGTAATTAATGTCAAGTTTATCTGTTTTAATTTGAAATCAGTTATTTCTCAATATTTAATAACTTAAACCACATATTTGCATACATTATTGAACAGTTTTTAATTAACCTATTTTTATCAGGTGTGTTGGTTAAGCTTCTAATCTACACTGGAGTGACTAGATATCTGGAATTTAAACAAGTTGATGGCAGCTACGTATATAAAGCCGGTAAAGTACACAAAGTACCCGGGACTGAGACTGAGGCACTCAGCTCAAGTCTTATGGGATTCTTCGAGAAGAAACGGTTCCGAAATCTCCTACAATTCGCTTTTAAATACGAAGAAAGCGAAAAATCTACCCATGAAGGTTTGTGATTTAAAATGGAAATTTTTTATGTTATAGTCCCAGTCAGTTAATATTTGTCTGATAAACAAGGTAAATATAATAACTTAATATAATTGCCTATTTCTCAAGGTTTGGATCTCACTAAAGTACCAATGAGTCAGCTTTATGAGAAGTACAATCTAGATACAAATGTGAGGGACTTTGTGGGCCACTCAATCGCTCTTCATAGGAATGACAAGTAAGTATTCTAATTTATTTCATTAATTATTGTTTCCCACCGCATCCTCGTTCAGCTGTGAAATCTAGATCTTATGCGAAACGTACTGTCGTGCGCGCGCCAAAAATTTAGCAACAAGCAATGAAAAGTCGTCAATGACAAAGCTTGCTGCACGACCGAACCGCCGCGTTGTAAAAGGCACTCATTGCCCTGAACTTATTAAATCGGAAATGGAAAGCGCGACCCCCAATATATGGATCGAAGAAGGGGCCGCTGCTCTTGCTGGGTCCGATAAAAGCAATCCAATCATGTTGTCGAGCATGTATGTTTGTCAATAATTACTAATTTATCTGAAATTAGTAATGACTGACAAACAAACATGCTCGTCAGTCATCCGAGGTGTAGTGCTCAAAAAGATAAACACAATCCACTACAATTTGAACCGGTCATTCATACAAGATGCGAAAACTTAAAACTATGAACGTCTCACATTAAATCATTTCTAGCAACCTCTTTATCTGAAATTAGTAATGTATTTTCAGCTACATCAACGAACCGGCCCTAGCTACAATCAACCGGATGAAACTGTACTTCAACTCCATTGCTAAGTATCAGAAGTCTCCTTATCTTTATCCCCTCTATGGTCTCGGAGAACTTCCACAAGGATTTGCCAGGTGAACGTCTGATACTCGCATGACAAGACCTTCGTCTTACATATTTACATCACATCCTTGCATCGCTTACCGACTCCTAGATGCACTTCAAATAATTGTTACCAAGAAATGATGTATGAAAGACAATAATCCCTTCAGATTGTCCGCTATTTACGGTGGTACCTACATGCTGAACAAGCCATTTGAGGGAGTCACATATGGAGAGGACGGCAAGGTAACCGGAGTAACTTCTGAAGGAGAGACTGCCAAGTGTAAAATAGTAGTGGCAGATCCGTCTTACTTTCCGGAAAAGTGCACTAAAGCGGGCCAAGTTGTCAGGGCTATCTGTTTACTGAAGAACCCTGTCCCGAACACAAACAACAACCAGTCCTCCCAGATCATTATTCCTCAAAACCAGGTAACATTTTCCAAATCTGACATCTGTTGAGTTGGGGGAAGGTTTCGGAGGAAAAGTCAAACAAAACCTGGACATGCCTTTAATCGCTTAGCTAACCGTAAAACTCTCTCAGGTTGGTCGCAAGAGTGACATCTACGTGCTGTGTGTCTCCTTCACACACAATGTGACCGCTAAGGACTGGTATGTAGCGCTGGTCAGCACCACTGTGGAGACTGCCAACCCTGAAGCTGAGTTGGAACCTGGCATGAGACTCCTCGGACCTGTCTCTGAGAAGTTTGTCAGTGTGTCGGATCTATATGTTCCTACTGAAAACGGGAAGAAAGATAATGTGAGTTATTTCAGTTAACTTTATTCAAATAAGTAGTGTAAGTAATGTAAATTAACCATGTTTACTCCTTACTAAGTCAAGTGAAATAATCTTAAACCATTTCAGATCTTCATTTCTGAATCATTCGATGCGACAACCCACTTTGAAACGACGTGTGAGGACATCATTAAAATCTACGAGAACATCACGGGAGAGCCGTTCGACTTCACCACGCTGGACAAGAAACTGGAGGAGTTCAAAAACCTGACGGAGGGATAGAAAAACTGGTTGTGTAATGTTACCTAGGTTACACTTGTTTTTAAGACGCGCAATCACCACGTTAGTGTTCTGTACTACGATTGTGTGTCTTAGCAGTGGGCGGTAACCATGGTTACAGTTTTGTGTGGTTTCTCTTTTTGTAGGACAATACTCGCCTTATTACTGTCAAGCGCATGTTTACTCTATAGATTTATGTTTGTTGTAATTGTAAAATGTAATTAAATCAATCATCGGTTTTCTTGGACGAGAGCTATAAAATATGTTTCTTGAATCTTTTTGGATTTGCAATAAATTTCAACATTGTATGGAGACTATTTGTCTCAACTAGCTCTTGAAATGTTTTGAAGATATTCCGTGTCATTAATTTAGGATCAAATGATGATTATTAGATGTTTTATAGTGTGGGTTTACAGTTCTAGCTGGTTCTAGAAAATGGATTCGTGTGCAACAACATGTGATTTTCATGCCGCTGCCTTAAACGATTTCCTAGCCAATTTCCATTATTTTATAACTAATGTAAAAACTACGGCAGGCTAGAAGTATATGTCGTCATCTGTTAGATTTAATATTATATCTGCTGTAACATATTTCACTAACTTTCTCGCAATTTACCTTATGTTTGATAATACTTGGAAAAGTCACCTTGTAAAACTTGTTAACGTGAAAATGATGTGAGTTCTTTTCACTTGTTTTAAATATTCGATGATCGTTAAATATCACTTCTTTTACTTCTTAAAAACATACATTTAAATATAGTACTTTCAAAATTGGGCACTTTGTGGTACCGGCCCCTCCCCTAGATGATCGCATGATCAAATTTTAGACTTCCAATTGCGACAAACTTGGAGTCAAAATAAGATGTATGCGACGGTTACCTAGATATCGACAATTATTTGTTAAAAGTGTTGAAAGACAACATTAGCTGTCATTTAGAATAGAATTCAGACTGAACTCCGCAGATTAATGCAAATGTAGGAAAGCAAGGTAACTCATGTAAGAAAGCAGGGTGTAACCCTGAGCTCTGGTTACCCGGATGTCTACACACCGAACAACATGACCGTCTGTCAGGCGGTCTGTTTACATGTCAAGTTTCTACTTCTGTTTTATGATAATCTGGTCTTAGTCTGAGGACTCTGTTGCTCAATTGTTATAGAAAACTTTGTATTCAGTGATGAGCATTGCACGCTTCCTGGCTATTGCAACCTTTGCAGGTCAGTACCTCCATAGACTATTATAATTTCATAAAAATAAACCTACGCCTAGTCAGAGAATACTCAAGTAGTATTGACCAAATATGGTAGAGAAGCAGAGGTGATCACATCTTAATTTTTGCCTTCCCCTTTATTCCTAACAGCCCCCTCCCCCATATATAAGGTTAAAAATTTTGAAACTTTAACGATATAGTAAGAAGTACTGCTAGAAGTGAAAGTAGTATTTTAAATCATGCAGTGTAACTGCTAGGGTCGAATATGGAATAATGAAAGACTTATTCGCTAGAAATAAAGATCAAATTAGATGAAAAATGGCGCTCCTACTAAATGCTAAATCATAAATCGCTCGCCCAAATTTTAAGAAAATTCTTGTGAAAAGGCCCTTTGGGCATGAAAGTGATCTGGATCGGTGTATTTTTGGACGCTGATTCCGAATCACCCCCCATGACGTAGGTATAGGGTTAAAATGCTTCCCTGGAGAGTTATGGGCAAAAAACCGTTTTGGTCACGTGACAGGCTAGTAAACAGAAAAATACGAATTCGATTGTTTATGGCCCGGGTTAGGGTTAGGGTTGTGGTAAGGGTTATGGTTAGCTTCGGGGTTATGGTTAGGGTTGGGATTAGGGTTCATGTAAAACCGTTTTGTACGGCTGCAAAACCATAAAAACCAAAGTCACGTGAAATTTTTGGGCGAGCGAATTAGTAAAAGCCGAAAAATGGTTCTAATCGTGTGCATTTTTTTAAACTGTGAAAAGATTGAGAAGAATGTATTAATTAATTTATGTTGAAAATTGATAACTTTTATGTAAACTCTCTCGTCACTAACTAGCTTACCTGACACGCCATAACTTTAACTTCAATATGAGGTAATTAATACTAATATTTTGCAACGTTCAGGGCTGGTCTGGGTGGTACCTGCTGACGAAAAGTTTATAAACTGTGACATTCTCACGAACCGTAATAACATAGATACTGAGGTGAGACCATTTCCGGGGGGGGGGGGGGGGGGGGAAGTAATACTAATACCATAGATACTGAGGTGAGACCATTTCCAGGGGGGGGGGGGGGGGCAATACCATAGATACTGAGGTGAGACCATTTCGATCCTTGTAGCGCGATGCGTTACTGTGCCGCGCCGCGCACTCAATGAGGCTTCTCACGGCGAGATGCGCTACTGTGCCGCGCCGAGCTGCCATGAATTGACATCGTCAATTAATTCGATCCCTTCTAAAGATAAGTTGGGGGGGGAGAGGAAGGGGCTTCGTGTGTTTCCTAATTCCTATTTGCTTTATGACACCATGTTTGCCAAATTCTAGTTGGGGTACATAGACCTGGCTGGAGAGGTTGCTACGATACCCGAGGAACTAACTGAGGAGATGAGTATGATCCATGTCCGATGTAAAAAAGACAGCCAAACGTTCACCAACAAAATCAGGCTTCTCTCCTATATGTTAGTTTGTTACTTCTACTACCTCTACTTTTACCATCTACTTAGGACGTCCGGCAAATAAAGAGTGGGTGGTTTTGGGTGGTTTCTGAAAATCCTGAAATTTTGGCAGAATTAGCAAAACAGTCCCATTTATTTCACATTTCAACTCTTTCAAAATTAGGACACAGCCGGACAGGGGAAGGCCGGGAGGGGGTGGTCTGAAAATCTGCGATTTTGGCGGACGTCGTCGTCCTAAGTAAATGGCTCCTTACTCTTAGCGACTAATAAAGGAGGCTAGCAGTTAATTTGTACGATTGTAGCGCGATGCACTACTGGGCCGCGCCGCGCATCCAATAATGCTTTTCGCAACCACAGATCGGCGAGATGCGAAGGATTGACATCGTGAATCAAGCAGTTAATGTGAACTTTAACTGCATCCCTCGTTCAATGTATACCTTTAGGCTGTTATAATAGTAGTTTAGTATAATCCAACTTTATCATATTAATCAGTGACGAAAGTATTATTGACACGAAGAACGGAAGTGCACAAAACAACTTTATAGCAGTGACCTGTTCAGGTAATATATCAATGGTCGGTTCTACAATTTGATAATTAGGCATGAAATTTGAAAACACTTACTTAACTTTATTGAAGCATTCGACGTGGACAGAAAAATGTAACTTTTTCGTGGAAAGAAGGTTCACTGAGTCCCAGTATCCTGACCTCCCAAACAACCTGGTGTGGTACAGGATGTCCCCTCCTCCCCAATGATTGTGGTTATAAGTGTGTCTCCTACAGGAGGTTCACTGAGTCCCAGTATCCTGACCTCCCAAACAACCTGGTGTGGTACAGGATGTCCCCTCCTCCCCAATGATTGTGGTTATAAGTGTGTCTCCTACAGGAGGTTCACTGAGTCCCAGTATCCTGACCTCCCAAACAACCTGGTGTGGTACAGGATGTCCCCTCCTCCCCAATGATTGTGGTTATAAGTGTGTCCCCTACAGGAGGTTCACTGAGTCCCAGTATCCTGACCTCCCAAACAACCTGGTGTGGTACAGGATGTCCCCTCCTCCCCACGGATCCGTCTACGAACTGGAAAGTGATTTATCCACTACCTCTTCTTTCCACTCAAGAAACAGATGCTCCAGTTCTCCAGAACGCAGAGCTTGCTATCAGTCTCACATGCAGAACTGGTTCTGCAAAGGTAAGTGGATAAAACCTTTATAAGAGATATAATTACTTAGTAATGTCCGTTGGATCAATTAATAAATTTGTTATCCAACTGATTCATTGCAATGTCGGTTCAGTAAATACCATATTTGAAAATGGGGCAAAAACGGAAGTGTATACTGTACAATGTACTAGCAATAGTATTAAGGTTGATAACAATATGTCTAGGCTAACGAAGGAACAAGTGTGACATTAACAAAATGCTCTGACTCTGGTTACACTCCGGACCTAGGCCAGCTCATATCTTGTGTTCGTAAGTTCTTTTCTGATCATACAGTGACAAGTTAGCTGAAGTTAGGGTAGAAAAAGTTAACGACCAGAAAACAATCCGGTCATGTAAATGTTTATATCTTTTCAATTCAATTGTAAACTTAGCAAATCTTAATCGAGTCAAATGTAATATAATTATAATAATAATATAGAGTTAAGACGAAAAATTAAAATTTTGCAGATTTCTAAAATAAGAAAATATCTCTTTTCGCCTTTTTTTTGGGATTTAGTGGTCGATTCTTTCAATTGAAAATTGCACAATTTCAAGAAATTGATTTGTATATTATACCAGATGGATGTACTGACCTCCCTGCAATAGGAAATGTCTCCGCTGCTCCCTCTCCATCCACCGTGAGTACCGTGTTTTGTTATCTAAAAACAGAAATAACCTTCCCTCCTTCCCTCCTTCCCTCCTTCCCTCCTTCCCTCCTTCCCTCGTTCCCTCCTTCCCTCCTTCCCTCGTTCCTCGTTCCTCGTTCCTCGTTCCTCGTTCCCTCGTTCCCTCGTTCCCTCGTTCCCTCGTTCCCTCGTTCCCTCGTTCCCTCGTTCCCTCGTTCCCTCGTTCCCTCGTTCCCTCGTTCCCTCGTTCCCTCGTTCCCTCGTTCCCTCGTTCCCTCGTTCCCTCGTTCCCTCGTTCCCTCGTTCCCTCGTTCCCTCGTTCCTCGTTCCCTCGTTCCCTCGTTCCTCGTTCCCTCGTTCCCTCGTTCCCTCGTTCCCTTGTTCCCTCGTTCCCTCGTTCCTTCGTTCCCTCGTTCCCTCCCTCGTCCCTCGTTCCCCCTTCCCTCGTTCCCTCGTTACCTCGTTCCCTCGTTACCTCGTTCCCTCGTTCCCTCGTTCCCTCGTTCCCCCTTCCCTCGTTCCCTTGTTCCCTCCTTCTCTTCTTCCCTCCTAGTTCTTACCTCCTCCCCTCGTTCCCTCGTTCCCTCGTTCCCTCGTTCCCTCGTTCCCTCGTTCCCTCGTTCCCTCGTTCCCTCGTTCCCTCGTTCCCTCGTTCCCTCGTTCCCTCGTTCCCTCGTTCCCTCGTTCCCTCGTTCCCTTTCCCTCGTTCCCTCGTTCCCTCGTTCCCTTTCCCTCGTTCCCTCGTTCCCTCCTAGTTCTTCCCTCCTCCCCTCCTTCCTTCGTTCCCTTGTTCCCTTGTTCCCTTGTTCCCTCGTTCCCTTGTTCCCTTGTTCCCTTGTTCCCTTGTTCCCTCGTTCCCTCCTAGTTCTTCCCTCCTCCCCTCCTTCCTTCGTTCCCTCCTTCCCTCCTTCCCTCCTAGTTCTTCCCTCCTCCCCTCCTTCCTTCGTTCCCTCGTTCCCTCGTTCCCTTGTTCCCTTGTTCCCTTGTTCCCTTGTTCCCTTGTTCCCTTGTTCCCTTGTTCCCTCCTTCCCTCCTTCCCTCCTTCCCTCCTTCCCTCCTTCCCTCGACGAACCCACTAGGAAGGACCAAAACATCCTTGACCTGATCCTATCCAACAACACCGACTTAATCCACGGTTTATCAGTGTCAAAGACGGAGAAATCAGACCACGACATAGTGACCTGTACTCTCCTCCACCCGCAGTTCCTACTTGAGCAACCAGCAAGGAAACAGTACAGTCCTGCCACAGCACTTGATGACATCAACTTCAATGCTGCTGACTGGGCCTTGATCAACAAGGAACTCACTACTGTAGACTGGTCGACAGTAACCAACCCTTCAACTAGCCAAGATGCTGCATGGGATATGTTTGAAGGGATCCTTGTGCAGATCTGCAAGAAACACGCACCTTCTCATAGCCACAAAGCTACTTGTCTATGTTACTGAAGGAAGTTGGGACAAACTCTAAAGAGGAACTGCGAACCCTGATGCGGGACAGGGATATATGGAGGGGGTTTTCTGGCGTAGATCGGACTTAGCTCCGACATAGTAGTAGTAGTCATAGCCACAATCGTCAAGCCGCAGCATCTTCAAAAATCCCAAGGTCAGGGGTGGCTCTCCTTAGAAAGAAAAAGCGCCTTAATGCCAGGATCAACTGTATTAAATACAGATTTTGTGGCCCTTCTCCGCCTCGCAATAATGTCAAGCTTCGCAAGCTGGATATAGAGAGGGCTGCTGTCGAGATGCTCCTTAAAGCGGACATTAAACAGCAGCGAGCCAGAGAAGAACTTGTTGCTCTTAGTAAGATCAAGACTAATCCTAAGCCGTTTTATACCTTCGCAAAGAGGTTTAAAACCCCTGCTGCATCTGTCGGACCCCTATTGGATAGTGATGACAAGCTCCAGTCTGATCCAGCCACTATGGGTAATATCTTACAGGATCAATATGCGAGTGCTTTCAGTGACCCCAAAAAGGCAAATCTAGCCGAAGTCCGGACGTCCAAGGTCATTGAGCAACCTCATTCTATCACAGACATCGACTTTAATGAGCAAGATATCCTCGACGCCATCAAAGCGATGAATCGTTTCTCAGCAGTCGGACCTGACAAGTTCCCAGTCCTAATCCTCAAGGAATGTGGAATTGTCCTAGCTCCTGTGATAACCAAGCTTTGGAAAGCTTCGCTAAGCTCTGGTGAAATAGCTACAAAATTCAAGAACCAGAGTATTATCCCCCTTTTTAAAAAGGGGAAAAGGTCGATTGCTGCCAACTATCGACCGGTATCTCTAACATCCAACCTCATAAAGATGTTCGAGAGGGTCGTCCGCGCTAAGCTGGTTGACTACATTGTAGCTCAAGATATCATCAACCACGATCAACACGGCTTTCAAGCTGGAAGAAGCTGTCTTACTCAACTTCTTCACCACGTCCAAGACATCATGGATGACTTAGATGGTGACGAAAATGCTGATATTCTGTATCTTGATTTCAGCAAAGCCTTCGATAAGGTAGATCACGCTATACTATTGAAGAAGCTCCATATGTACGGTATCCAGGGCAACGCCCACCGCTGGCTGGAAAGCTTCCTCAGTGGAAGAACCCAACATGTCGTTGTCGATGGTATTGAATCTCTCGTCATAATGGTGCTAAGTGGGGTACCACAGGGCACTGTGTTAGGCCCACTGCTATTTATTTTGTACATCAACGACCTGTTCCTAGTTGTTAAACATTGCAAAGTAAAAGTGTTTGCTGATGACTCCAAGCTCCACAAAAAAATCAGCTCCCCGTCCGACTGCAAATGTCTCCAGGAAGATCTCTGTGCAGTAGTGCGATGGGCAGTAGCAAACAACATGGAGCTAAACGAAAGTAAGTTCCAACTTCTCCAGCATGGTAAGAACCCTGAGCTAAAGAAACCCTACATTTTACCATCTGGTGCATCGATATCTTCTGATGATGTCGTGAAAGATCTCGGTGTGTATGTTGACAGTGATCTCTCCTGGCGTCAACACATCACAAGAAAGTCCTCTGAGGCAGCGAGCAAAGCTGGATGGGTACTGAGAACTTTCTCTACCAGAGACAAAGACACGATGATGATGCTCTTCAAGACATACGTCCGCTCTATTACCGAGTATTGTTGTGCTCTCTGGTCGCCTCACCTGCAGTGTGACATAATTATGATTGAGTCGATCCAACGCTCATTCACTGCGAAAATAGCAGGATACAAGCATCTTAGCTACTGGGAGCGCCTGAAGCAGCTTGATCTCTACTCCCTACAGCGCCGCCGCGAGAGGTACATGATCATCCTTGTCTGGAAAATTTACTGCGGTGAGATTCCCAACAGTGTAAACATTTCTTTCCAACACTCTCAAAGAAGAGGAGTTACATGTCTTCGTCCTCTTAGCGGATCAAAATACAAAAGCATCAACACCATGAGGTTCCATTCTTTCCCTTCAGTGGCCTCTGCTTTGTATAACGTTGTGCCTCACGACATCAAGTCTATCCCAACCTTGCCAAAATTCAAGGCAGCACTTGATCGCTTTCTCCATACCGTCCCCGACACCCCTCCTACCCCTGGATATACAGGGGCTAATGGCAATTCAATCTTGGAATGGGCTGTGAGCAAGACATGATAACGGAGACACCGGTGGTGGAGACGCAAGATGTCTTGGCCTGGGCGTGCTAGCCCGAAACGAACCCAAGGTACCCAAGGTAGGTACTCCTTCCCTCCTTCCCTCCTTCCCTCCTTCCCTCCTTCCCTCCTTCCCTCCTTCCCTCCTTCCCTCCTTCCCTCCTTCCCTCCTTCCCTCCTTCCCTCCTTCCCTCCTTCCCTCCTTCCCTCCTTCCCTCCTTCCCTCCTTCCCTCCTTCCCTCCTTCCCTCCTTCCCTCCTTCCCTCCTTCCCTCCTTCCCTCCTTCCCTCCTTCCCTCCTTCCCTCCTTCCCTCCTTCCCTCCTTCCCTCCTTCCCTCCTTCCCTCCTTCCCTCCTTCCCTCCTTCCCTCCTTCCCTCCTTCCCTCCTTCCCTCCTTCCCTCCTTCCCTCCTTCCCTCCTTCCCTCCTTCCCTCCTTCCCTCCTTCCCTCCTTCCCTCCTTCCCTCCTTCCCTCCTTCCCTCCTTCCCTCCTTCCCTCCTTCCCTCCTTCCCTCCTTCCCTCCTTCCCTCCTTCCCTCCTTCCCTCCTTCCCTCCTTCCCTCCTTCCCTCCTTCTCTCACATTGTAAACTATACCTTAGGTGACAGGAGCTGCTCCGTACAACATTGGTGATATAGTGGTGATGAAATGTGAAAAGTCGGGGTATAACCTCCTAACCTCAGCCCAGATCACGTGTTTATCAACACAGCGCTGGAGTGATCCCAGGGTGGGTTACTTAGTGTCAAGACACGACATTTTAAACTACATTTATCATATTATGTTTATATTTGCATCATCAAATATAGCAGGCTAAAGATGGGCTGCTATATCAATAACCCTGATTCCCTCCAGGTGCCGCTATGTTTGCCGCTTTCTGCTTGATTACATCTTCACAAAACATATTCAGACTGATTCCCTCCAGGTGCCGCTATGTTTGCCGCTTTCTGCTTGATTACATCTTCACAAAACATATTCAGACTGATTCCCTCCAGGTGCCGCTATGTTTGCCGCTAGCTGTCAGCTCGGGCTATCAGACGAGTCACCTCCTACAGCTGATCCTAGTAGTTGTAGCCTGGCTCCCACAATGGCAGATTTAAAAGATTAAAGATGTTTTTGGATACTATTATATTGAGTATATTAATTTATATTGATTATATTAATGACAGTTACTGATTTAGACAGACATTAAATTGTTAAATTTTATAATTTGACAGCGGTGTGGCATGTAAGAGTTATAATAGTTTCAATTGTATAACCATTATACTTCTCGAAGTATGATGATGTATTTTTAATGTTTAATTTTGAAGTTGCACTTTTGACTATTTATAAGACAAACGTAGGATCTTGCATGAAAATCTTTAAGCAAAATAAAATGGATCAATATTTGAGAGTACAGTTGTACTGATATAATTTCCATATTGACTAAAAATTTAAATTAAAAACTCATAATTTTAATGTCAACTACTATTCTACCAAAATGGATCACAATTAATGGTAGAGTGACAATAGCTGCGTAGTGTTATCATTATTTTTAGTCTCGTCAGTGCAATTAATTCAATTATCAATTCAGTCTTCGATCGTACGATATGCATATGTCCTGAGTATAGAATTGTTACGGTCCATTCTATTCATGTTGCCTGGGATTCCTTCCTCTAGAAGCACCTCTTACCCTACCTCCGCAAGCATTGCAAGACAGCGCACAGTTGTCCCTCATGAAGGTGAAGTATTGTCCGCTGCGGCAGTATCCCTCCTGAGACCAATACCTACAGTCCTCAGCGTGTTTCTCATTATCAGTACAACCGCTCACCACTCTCCCCTCCTCGCACAGCCCGCACGACTCCGCACAGTTCTCCTCCATCCACTCTCTGTAGGAGGTGGCGTCACAGAACCCCTTCTCCGACCACTCTCCACAGTTAGAGGCGTGCTCTGCCACGTCAGTGCAGCTGGTGGAGGCACACAAACCGCAGGACTCTCTGCAGTGTTCCTTCATGAAGGTAACGTACTCTCCCCTAGTGCAGTGATCACTTGACCAGGTAGGACAGTCTCTAGCGTATTCCTCTGAGTCGCTGCACTCTCCTCCTCCGTTCTCCTCCACGTATCCAGGCTGGAAACACTCCCGTTTTGCTGCTGTCCAGGCAAACCTTTCTCCAACCACATCCTCCCCTAGGATAAAACATTGTCTATCTGCCCAGTAGGCGGGACTGACCATGATACCGCGGCAGTTTGTTACTCTCTTACAGAGCTCCTCGCACTCATTGTAGGTGGTGAACTCGGGCTGGCTGAGTATCACGTTGTCGGAGATGCCAGTGTTGATTAACCAGCAGTCGGTGGTATCGCTAGTTTGTTCTGTCGAACTCGGCTCTGCCTCAGTGGTAGGTTTTGAGGTGGCAGAAGGAGTGGTGGGGGTGTTAACCTCCTCGTCCTTTTCAATATCTTCATTTTGACAGATGTTGATGATACTGTGACAGCTCTTTTTGCAACTCTGATGCATGAAGGCCGTGTACTCACTCCCGTACTCACAGTAGCCCAGGTCAGCCCACTGGGGGCAGTCGTCAGTATACTCTACTCCATCTACACAGTTCATGTCTACTTCTTCTCCCTCGTCCCTGCAAGTACCGCACGTTTTCCCACAGAAGTCCCTCATCATATCAATAAAGTCAGGCTCGTAACAATATCCTCGAGCGCGGAGTTTCTGGCAAACATCAAACTCGTACTTATCCTGACACTCCTCTTCTTTCTCGTCGGAGCAGAACCCGCAGCTCTTAGCACACCTTGCCTCCATAGACCTCCTCCTGGTCTCACAGAAACCGTGCGGCACGTAGGTCATACACCACTGCTCTGAGGCTGCGTCCTCGCAGGCTGTTTCTCTGTTACAGTTGGACACGTCGGTGGAGCCTTCTGCGCTGGAGGATCCTACCGGGCAGGTTTCACACCGGTTACTTTTGTAAGCACTGTAGGTGTTTGCAGGACAGATGAGACAGTGACCAGTCTCAAAATCTCTGTAGTAGCCAGCATCACAGTACTCCTCACAGAAGTAGCAGGACAACCTGCAGTCGTTCTCCATGAAGGAGATGTATTCTCCGTTAACACAGTACCCGTTCCTGGCCCACTGAGCACAGTCATCATAGGCATCCTGGCACTTCTTCTCCTCGCAGTCATCAGATGAGTCCGAACCCTCCTCTGAAGATGTCCCTTCTGGGCAGCTGATACAGAACTGAGCACCGTGACCACTGTACGTGTTCTCCGGACACAGCACACACTCGCTCCCAGTCCAGAACTGGCCCGGGACACACTCCACCTTAGGATCAGTAACGAGAGTTACGAGCCTTTCTGTGGCGGTGACAGTGGTTCCTCCGGTGGCAGTGGCAGTGGTTAGTGGGTCTGTTTCAATAGCTGATGTGGTGCTGGAGCCGACCTCCTCTGTGGTACTCGGGTGGCTTACTGTGGATTCTGGGGTTGGTGGGTCAGTGATTGGTTCGGTTGTGGGGCTGGGTTTGGAGTTGGTGGTTGGGTGTGAACTGGTTGTGGCAGTATTGGTTGTCTCTGTGGTTAGACCTTTGTCATCGTCCCCGGAACCTGTGACGCTGTTGTCGACGAGGTTTTTGTATGTAATGTGAGAAGCAAAATCCAGAAGGAAGCACATTTTAGCACCTTTACCTCTGACGAACTTCCAGAATCCGTTGATTCCCCAGTCAGGACCCCAACTGTTCCTCACCTCCCAGTAGTTTGGTCCGTATCCAGTCAGTAGGACAGCATGATCTGGTTCTTTGTGTTCTTTGTTACACCCATCATATATCCCTACACTGTACGCGTACAGCTCCTCCTCCACTCTGATAGCCACAGCCAGGGGCATCAACTGCACTGCGTCCAGGATCCCAGTGGAGCTCGGAGACACAGATTTGTAGCCCGTGATCTTGATGTTGTTCTCCAAAGTGTTGGTGTATCGCTCAAAGTCACACTTGTAGTCATGCTCCCTGTACTTGTATCTGGCTAGGGGGGCCATGTGCTGGGTCTTAATGACCATGTCCCAGGCGTGCTCATAGAGTCCTCCTTTGCACCCGTCATGTTTCCCGTACTGTTTGTTGAACTCGTATGTGCAGTCCAGGAGTTGCTGGTTGGACAGCTGGACAAGTTTTCCAGTAGCTTCTTTAAGAGCGAACTCCAGGAGAGCTACTGCAGGGAAGGTCCAGCAGGAGCCACAGTCGCCCTGATCAAAGGAATCTGATACGTATCCCATACTGTGCCAACTCAGAGTGTCTGGGTGGGGGGAGGTCATTGCTCCGAGTAGTTTCTTCTTGCCGGTCTTCTCTACGTCTGATCTGGTAGCATTGATCGCTCCCAGACGTGCCCTCTTCTCTTCTTCGTCCATCACGGAGAAGGAGTTCACTGTCATCTTGAACCTGGGATAAAAAGTAGTAGTTATCACAAAACTTATTTTCAGGATTAAGTATAATCTTAATCCCTAAATACCAGTTCCAAAATCTTCATAACTTGCCTAATCACTAATAACACGTTATTTGTAGAAATCATATATTCTAAAATTCCGATCAACCGAGATTGGGTTCATGACGAACATTTTTGAAAAAGGAAACGTTTTTTCAGAGTAAAAAGAAGAGATCATAAAATAAAGTTTTGCGATAAGTTTACTATCGTGTAGGCAATTGCAAATGATCTGAGCGAAACATTAAAACATTTAATGTCGCAACCATGCCTGTTAAAAGTTAAAGTTTATGGCAAGATGACTGAAAGCTGCATGAAAGCTGCATACCTCTCCTAATTCTATTGGCAGGCGGGGCTCTTACTAATTCGCTCGCCCAAAAATTTCACGTGACTTTGGTTTTTATGGTTTTGCAGCCGTACAAAAGTGAAAACGGTTAAGTTTTACATAAACCCTAATCCCAACCCTAACCATTACCCCGAAGCTAACCATAACCCTTACCACAACCCTAACCCTAACCCGAGCCCTAAACAATCGAATTCATGTTTTACTAGCCTGTCACGTGACCAAAACGGTTTTTTGCCCATAACTCTCCAGGGTAGCATTTTAACCCTACGTCATGGGGGTTGATTCGAAATCAGCGTCAAAAAATACACCGAATTATATTTATATCAATTTGATACCCAAAGGGTCTTTTCACAAGAATTTTCTTAAAATCTGGGCGAGCGATTTAGTAGGCCGGAAGGAGCGGGCAAGAGGATAGTAATGGCATACTATACAGTTACGTATACAGTTCGAAAAATTGTTTGAAAAACTTAAAGATTTTGCCTGTAGTAGTGTAGGAGGGGTCCTATTTCTCCTATTACTCTTGTCTCATAATATTAATACATAATGTTTATATTTATAAGGTTAATTTCTTTCACTGCGAGTGATATTCCTGGCAATTCAAGATGTATAAATCTTTAGAAATTCCCTCATGGAAGGTTTAATTCTTACACAATGTGTGTTTATGCGACAAACGAGCCTAAAATAAAGTCTGGTGACTCAATTTCAATCTGTTGAGGGATTGCTATTCAGCTTAATAAGTTGTTCATTTGCCAAGATTCACCCTCTTTTGTTTTTTAATCAATTATCGATAATAGGAAAAGTCGATACAGTATCAATGCAACTTGCTATCTGGTAATAATGATGATGAACTTGCTCTATATGTTTTTTTTCTGATTTAAAAAAGTAATTCTACTTTCCGATCTTTTTAATTTTACGTCATGAGAACGTGTGACCTTAACCACAGTTACAAGTTATGGGCATGTCGATATCATCTAAATGTACACAGCGATACCAAATTGATTTGTCAATAGTGAGCTTCCGTACCCACCGCACTTATATGTTGCCTTTGTAGGTTTACAACCTACCAGGACGCGCGTCGAGTTGGACTCGTCGACTGTCCTATGGAATATATGGAACAGATATTTTACGAGTATCACCCGTTAATGTTGCCTCTTCAGGGGACAAAGTTAAATATGTTATAGATTCTCGAAGAGGGTGCAAGGAGGGAGAACCTAGAAAAGTTTGTTTTAAGGAATAAATTGTAGCGATGAGGAGTAAATTTGGACTACAAGGGCATGACTAACAGTGCAGTTAGTCATACTCTTAACTGCTTAATTCAGTTAACTTTGCTACAGATAGTATAACTACATAAATATCACAGTTTCTTAAAACTATAGACTTCCATCTACCGTCCAACTTTATTGGCCCCTCACTGCAGATGGTATAACTGCACTGCAAATTTCTTAACTTAGCTGCAGATGGTATACTGCATAGTTAGCTGAGAAATATTTGTAAACTATGGCTGGGTGGCCTAGTGGTTAGAGCTTCCGCCTTCTGTACAGAAGGTTCAGGGTTCGAATCCCAGTTTCACTCAGAGTCAGTCTAGGGAGTAGCTTAGGATTCATTGGATCTATGCGATCTCCTTGGTCGACTCAGCTGAATGATAGGAAACTTGATTGAGGGTTAAATGAGGAGGGGTGCCTGTGCCAAAAGATCAAGAATCTTAGCATACTCCTTCAAAACATCTACAATGTAGTGTACTGTAAAACAAGGGCGGTCGAACTATTCGATGAACCTGTAGAGGAATCTACGAACTTTACAAATTATACAAATTAATTATACTAATGAGTTAATTACTGTTAAAGCGATAACTTTACCTCGATTCTCCGTTCTCAAACTTCACATTGTGCGCCTTTGCTTTTGCCAGAGACGTCATAAAATTGTTTTTCTTTCTCTCATTCTCCCTCTCTTGTGTAACTGGATCAACCATTTTGAGCATGGCGGGCGCATTACTGTCTAAGTCTTGGTAACTCTTCAGATACATTTGGTAAGCTGAGTCCACGTCATCTGTGGAAAGGATCTGATCCTTGACTTGAACAGAGACTCTGACACTGCGGTCCCTGCCACCTAGCACTGCACTCAACTGGTAGAGTAGGAAAATTGAAATCGCAAACATTTCGACCAAAGGAAGCAATGAGGGGTGTAAAGTGAAACCCTGTCTTAATTATTCATTTTATTCCGTTACAGCAACGATAAGGAAATTAAATTAGTAATTGTAGCCTTGCTGATTTGAGCAGACTTGAACTCAGTATTCCTGATTTAAAAGTAAAGTGCAACAATGATCTTTCAAATTAAACAATTTAGCAAGTCCCGCGACCCAGGATGAACAAACAACATGGCCGACTAAAATGACGTAGTTTGACAAATAACTAGGGTGATTTCTTTTTATTACATGTCACAGTTGTCGAAATATTTCTCGCTCCAGTTAAATTTGTAAAATGAGGACTGAGTCCGCACGAGACAGACAGCTCAGAGCTCCTCTCATCTCCCACACCTGTACATGAAGAAGAAAAATAGGCTCGTATTCAAAGAATTGGCAGGAGTTCCTCGCCTTCAGACAATACAAAACGGTTTATTTATATATTTATGTAGTTAGTAGGAGAATTTAATAAGAACCGGGACTACTACCAGTACCTTATCAATATTTTTACTACAATAAGTCATACAGTGGGTACAACTCTTACTTACCTCGTGTTCCCTTACTTCTAGGGTTCGCTCCCACTAAATCTAAATCGCTCGCCCAAATTTTAAGAACATTCTTGTGAAAAGGCCCTGAGGGTATGAAAGTATTCTACTTCAGTGTATTTTTGGACGGGTAGGATTAGGGTTAAGATTAGGGTTTATGTAAAACCGTTTTGTTGCAAAAACATAAAAAACAAAGTCACGTGATAATTTTTGGGCGAGCGAATTAATAAAAGCTTCTAGGGTTACATATAGGTCCACCATCAGACTAATGAATCATGTTTGAAATCAGACCTTGTTAAAATCTGGTCTAGTTCTAGAAGATTAGAGCCGTCCTGAGATGGACTGTTGAGCGGCTTTAGACTGGGCAATTATTATTAAGGATTAAATTTAATTAGGATGTTGTAACAGAAACCACTAAAATCACAAACTTGAAGTACGAGGTATTTGACCATCTTCTCTTATCAGAAACTGCAGTTCACCTCAACTGTAGTTCACCTCAACTGCAGTTCACCTCAACTGCAGTTCACCTCAACTGCAGTTCACCTCAACTGCAGTTCACCTCAACTGCAGTTCACCTCAACTGCAGTTCACCTCAACTGCAGTTCACCTCAACTGCAGTTCACCTCAACTGCAGTTCACCTCAACTGCAGTTCACCTCAACTGCAGTTCACCTCATCACGGGTCACTGCGGCTTAAATTAACACCTTCACACCATTTGCAAATCAAACACTAGTGCAACACGTCATGTGCGGCGACGAAAAGGAGACTGTCTCATGCACTTCCTTGGACAGTGTCCGGATATTGCCCAAATAAGAGGTCAATATTTCCAGGACTACTACCTCTCTGTCAATGACATATTCGACAACCAACACATCACCACGATTGTCAATTTCGCAAACCGCACCAAACGCTTAATTGTGCCGGAAGAGCTGGATCAGACCGGGGTGACTTAGTTATTATGTTAACTCATATGCTGTCTCGTCTCATTTTACTTTTCCAAACCCAGCTGGCACTTAGGCGTATCATTTTTACTCATGTCACTTTTTACACCATACTCCACCATTCACTCTGATTTCACCGGCAACCTTCCCCAGGGTTGCCACACCCCAGAGGTAGGCAGAGCATCTCAATGCTATACTCTCGTGGGCTAACTTGGCCCAGCCTCTCTTTAAAAATTTTTTAAAAAACCCTGACCCTGACCCTGACCCTGACCATGACCCTGACCCTGACCCTGACCCTGACCCTGACCCTGACCCTGACCCTGACCCTGACCCTGACCCTGACCCTGACCCTGACCCTGACCCTGACCCTGACCCTGACCCTGACCCTGACCCTGACCCTGACCCTGACCCTGACCCTGACCCTGACCCTGACTTTGACCCTGACCCTGACCCTGACCCTGACCCTGACCCTGACCCTGACCCTGACCCTGACCCTGACCCTGACCCTGACCCTGACCCTGACCCTGACCCTGACCCTGACCCTGACCCTGACCCTGACCCTGACCCTGACCCTGACCCTGACCCTGACCCTGACCCTGACCCTGACCCTGACCCTGACCCTGACCCTGACCCTGACCCTGACCCTGACCCTGACCCTGACCCTGACCCTGACCCTGTCCCTGACCCTGACCCTGACCCTGACCCTAAACAATCGACGTAGCGTTTATTTAGCCTGTCATTAGCTCTTAATTAAAGCAGTTTATATACTTTATAGTCTCCTATTTCTCAACTTCAAATTAGATGAAGCCACACAGTGTTATTAAAAATTACCAACTATTATTGATAGTACCTGCTATTGCAGTGTATTTGTTGGCTGAGACACACTTTCTTGGCTCTGTTCCAACTATAGCATATTTAAGATTTCAATGTCTAATTCCAACAAATTACATCGTACATAACTTGCAGTCATCTAGCGTGAGTACTTAGTCAACTTATACAACATAATATGTAGTACACATAACACACATAATAGTTATATAACTTTGTACCTTTGTAGTCGGTAAAATCTGTCTTTTTCTCTTTGATAACGGACGTCTGCTATTCTGCAGTAAGTGGTACAACATGACAGCTCGCAACAACAGCTCGCAACAACAGCTCCCAGTGAACTGTATCATAAATGTTATCTGCGAGTTTTATATCGATATTATTATTTTGACTTTTAGCGTTGCAAATTTTGTAATTTAAATCGTTTTTGAACTGCAGCCGTTTACTAAATACTTAAATAGTACGCTATATTATATTTATATTTACGTTTTTCAAGCACGTCTCTCTCTCTCTCTCTCTCTCTCTCTCTCTCTCTCTCTCTCTCTCTCTCTCTCTCTCTCTCTCTCTCTCTCTCTCTCTCTCTCTCTCTCTCTCTCTCTCTCTCTCTCTCTCTCTCTCTCTCTCTCTCTCTCTCTCTCTCTCTCTCTCTCTCTCTCTCTCTCTCTCTCTCTCTCTCTCTCTCTCTCTCTCTCTCTCTCTCTCTCACTCTCTCTCTCTCTCTCTCTCTCTCTCTCTCTCTCTCTCTCTCTCTCTCTCTCTCTCTCTCTCTCTCTCTCTCTCTCTCTCTCTCTCTCTCTCTCTCTCTCTCTCTCTCTCTCTCTGTGATTGGTTGAGCTGGCAGCCTTCCAACTTATCACTGAATCACTTAATGATGTGCACCCCGGTATACAATTATCTTTGTTGGCAGCGTTATTTGTTTTCTGTAAGTGTATAATGTATATTGAGTGTGGTATAAACAAAGATAGGCAAGGACACCACAATAATATTGTTGTCTGAAACTTTAAGGAAGAAAGTAAAATCATATAAACATCTTTAAATCACTCATACTTTTGGAAAAAAGATAGGACTTCAACAAAGTTTCACTTTATGACTTACTACTGATATGAGGTCTTCTTAAGATAACGTCCCTTTAATTAATGTCTCTATGTTGAACATCATGAGTTCTTCATTGTATTGTTGATATTTTTAGCTACGGAAATGGTGTGCTTAATTTTACTTTATATTGCAGTTTATTGTTACACGCTTCTGTGTTTGTTCATTTCAATAGTTCGTTTAGTCAGCCTGTTTTTTCGCCGCAGCTTCAATGTGTTCATGATCACTATTAGCCAGTTAAGTCCTTCAGACTTGTCTGAAGGAAATTAGTAGCAGTGAACTCATCCTCCTGTTGTTTCCCCTATACAATATATACATGCTATAAATATACCTACATGCTACATACATACCTACATACCTACATACCTACATGCTATAAATATACCAACTACAAAATATACAATATACAATATACATGCTATACAATATACGATATACATGCTTTAAATGTCTTTCTATTACGTTGAAGGTACTTCTTCCATGTAGTGACGTTTTAGGGATTGCCTTTCTCCAAAAAAATCCATCAAAGCATAGATGCATCAGAATTAAATAGGCTAACTCACTTAGTACATATAACTCACTTAATTAGTACATAATATAAGTTATAACGTATTTACTATTGTAATGTATAAAATAGTTAATGACAATATGCTATAGTAGAAAGTGAATCCTTGTACATGACATATGTATGTACTACTATACTACTATACGGCCGTGATTTGACTATAATCAGTTAGGAATGTGCTCGCTGCACAGCTTACAGCGGTTAGCTGAAGATAGGTATTTGTATTGGTTACTTTGTGTGTATAAGTGTGTACAGTGAGAGTTTATCCTAAGAATTAAGTCATCTGTTGAGTACCATACTAACCTGGACTAGTTTATCCTCTGATTTGCTCTGAGACCAGGTCTTTCTAACAAAGGGTCCCTCGCGTAGGTACCTATTTACTGAGGTAGCTTCACTCACTCATAGTTGGATACTATATCAGTAACACTTAATAACTACCTGTAGGGAGAGGCTGTTGGTCCAGGGTTGGGCTTCCTTTGACAAATATTATTTACTTGCCGATTCTGTTTCTGAGCTTAGTTGTAAGCTACTTTCATATCATCGTCTTGCAAAGCTGCTCGTATTTCTTAACCAAGTCAGTGCGTTTAGCGATTATTACATGATTGTAACTCAATCATTGCTATCTAACCCTAAATATTATCTTAAAGAATATGTTTTATTGTTCAACCTTGTTCAACTTCCACCAATTGTTTAGTGAATGTTTAGAGTCCCAAATTAATTTCGATTCATTTTCTCGACTGCTAAACTATTCCTACAACACAACACTATTGAAACTTTGTGTGATAAACCTACCTTCGAATCACTTTTGGTAGTGATGACTTAAGTGTTGACTTAATATATTTAAGAAAGCAGTAGATGGAAAGAGAGAGTGAAGTAGGAAGTGGATCTGGCGAAGTTAGTGGGGGTGGTGAGGCCCCGGACACACCTAATGTCCCTTCAGAACCCTCAGAACCCTCAGAACCAGAAGACCCCCCGGAAGGACCGAAAGACCCCCCGGAAGGACCGGAAAACCCCCCGGAAGGACGTTACGGAACAGTTTGTGTAGAGGACAGTCCTGAACTATTCCCTTTCTTAGTCGAACAGTTCTTTCAGCTAAAGTCCCAGTTTCCTAGTATCTGCTGTGGTTCTATCTACGACGATGTCGACACTTTCTGCAGTGAGTAACTTAGTAACCTAGTAACCTAGTAACCTAGTAAATCATATTACGCTCAGGGACGTTTGGGGAGAGACTGCTAGTGATGGTAGATTGGACTAGTAACTTAGTAACCTAGTAACCTAGTAACCTAGTAACCTAGTAACCTAGTAACCTAGTAACCTAGTAACCTAGTAAAATAGTAACCTAGTAACCTAGTAACCTAGTAAATTATATATTACGCTCAGGGACGTTTGGGGAGAGACTGCTAGTGATGGTAGATTGGACTAGTAACTTAGTAACCTAGTAACCTAGTAACCTAGTAACCTAGTTACCTAGTAACCTAGTAACCTAGTAACCTAGTTACCTAGTAACCTAGTAACCTAGTAACCTAGTAACCGAGTAAATTATATTACGCTCAGGGACGTTTGGGGAGAGACTGCTAGTGATGGTAGATTGGACTAGTAACCTAGTAACCTAGTAACCTAGTAACCTAGTAACCTAGTAACCTAGTAACCTAGTAACCTAGTAAATTATATTACGCTCAGGGACGTTTGGGGAGAGACTGCTAGTTATGGTAGATTGGACTAGTAACTTAGTAACCTAGTAACTTAGTAACCTAGTAACCTAGTAACCTAGTAACCTAGTAACCGAGTAAATTATATTACGCTCAGGGACGTTTGGGGAGAGACTGCTAGTGATGGTAGATTGGACTAGTAACTTAGTAACCTAGTAACTTAGTAACCTAGTAACCTAGTAAATTATATTACGCTCAGGGACGTTTGGGGAGAGACTGCTAGTGATGGTAGATTGGACTAGTAACTTAGTAACCTAGTAACCTAGTAACCTAGTAACCTAGTAACCTAGTAAATTATATTACGCTCAGGGACGTTTGGGGAGAGACTGCTAGTGATGGTAGATTGGACTAGTAACTTAGTAACCTAGTAACCTAGTAACCTAGTAACCTAGTAACCTAGTAACCTAGTAACCTAGTAAATTATATATTACGCTCAGGGACGTTTGGGGAGAGACTGCTAGTTATGGTAGATTGGACTAGTAACTTAGTAACCTAGTAACCTAGTAACCTAGTTACCTAGTAACCTAGTAACCTAGTTACCTAGTAACCTAGTAACCTAGTAAATTATATATTACGCTCAGGGACGTTTGGGGAGAGACTGCTAGTGATGGTAGATTGGACTAGTAACTTAGTAACTTAGTAACCTAGTAACCTAGTAACCTAGTAACCTAGTAACCTAGTAACCTAGTAAATTATATTACGCTCAGGGACGTTTGGTGAGAGACTGCTAGTGATGGTAGATTGGAGTGACTTGAGTGTGGTTGCTGGAATATCCTTCAGCTTGTTCCCTAAAACCTCGTCTCTCTACGTAGGTTACATGATAACAGAGCACAGACTTAGAGGAAGAGGCTTCATGAAGGTATTACCTGTAACTAGTCAGTAACATTCACCCTGCAATGTACTTGCATGTAATTAGAAAGTAGTTGTTCTAAAACACTAGAATACGTAAACAATCTTTCCCAGATACTGTTCCAAGAAATGAAAGACTATGCTGAGAAGTTGTACCCATGGGCCTATAATAAGGGGTTTTGTTCAATAGTTGCGGAGACGTTAGTACACCCTCTACCCGAGTACAAGGATTACTTTAGCACCTGGGAAAACATTCATAACACCCACTCTGCACTTAACAAGATAGGTTTCTATCAGGTGAGACATCTTGCTTTTAATGTAGACTATCGTCATTGCTTTCTTGGACGAGGACACATTGTCCTGATTAAAAGTTTAGACCTAAAACTGTAATACTGGTAAGAAGTAGTTACAAGTGGTAACAAGTAGTTACAAGTAGTTGAATGTATTTAGTAACACTGAGTCCCCCTCAGTGTGCCTTTAACTACGTGATGTACGGGGAGGTGGAGGACGATGGTCTGATAACAAAGGGCTCCACTGATTACATCATGATGGTACACAAGGACAGTACCAACATCTCCAAGAGCAAGCATCCCAACTTTAGTTTGGAAATTGACAGGTTCGTCTCTATTTTCAGAACTGTTATTTAATGTTTATCTCACTACTCAACTACTACCCTTAATTCAAATGCAAAATTTCGCAGCTGGTTTTTGGAGTCGGTGATGTATAACTTTGTGAGAATGGATCTTAAGACCTGGACACCAGCTAATTTGGGAGAGGAGTTCTTAGCCTCACTCTCTTCTATTCCTGCCGACAAATGCTCCATTCGACAACTCCTCCCCTTTTACAGGACTGATAAACTTTATCCGGGTAAACAGAGTAACTTTATTTATTTAGAATACATTTAAAACTTTAAATCAGTGTTTTTTAGTGGGTTATATTTTGAAATGACGCATTTTCTGACGAACATTAATCGTTCCTTAATTTGAACCGCAGATCATCTGAAATGACTAGCACGGAGCAGCAACATTGATATGACCTATTTCCATGACAACAAGGGACCACCACCAAGCAAGCTGGTTACAAACAAGTGCAGTGAACCTACCTCCTTCAGTGAAATTAAAACTCAGGTCAGTTTACAGCGGGGGGGGGGGGGGGGGGGGGGGCTCCCCTTCACAGGCTTGATAGTAAGGCAAGTTGGTCGTTTAGCTCCGGACAGTCTATGCACGGTCCCTGCACGGTCCCTGCACGGTCCATGCAACAACAAAAGAACACTCCATGCACGGTCCCTGCACAATGAACACTTGAAGTTGATGCACACTCCTTGCACGGTCAGTCCCTGTACACTCCCTGCACGGTTTATGCACAGTCCCTGCACAGTAACATATGAACACCGGCTACTAGCCGGCTACTAGCCGGGAGGGGGGCTCCCCTTTACAGGCTAGATAGTAAGGGAGGGGGCGCCAAATCGTCGTTTGAATGTGGGACAATTTCAAAAAACTTAACTACGGTTTTAGCAAAACTGCGAGTTTTACTCTAGAAACACTTTTAAAGAGATTTTTGCCGGTGTATCCTCTAAAATCATATAATTTGTTGAATTTTAGGGAGGGGCTCCGAAAGGGGAGGGGGCGCCAACAGGGGTGCACTTTTTTAGGGGGGGGGGGGGGGGGGGCGCCAACAGGCAACGTTACGCCACTGAGTAAGGGGTCGTTCACATATTACGTAATCACGTTTTGGACAATTTTTAACCCCTCCTCCGTAATCAGTTTTACACATAGCTATTGTGTCAAAATTACACTAGTGTAATATCATTTGTAAACCCCCTCCCCCTCAGCTGATTACGTAAGGATTCAATGTGGACAATGTGGATTGGGGATATTTGGGGCGAGGATCTCACTTGTTAACATTTCAGTCACTACAAGCACTGTGCGAGTCTAGGAGGTCAGCAGAGACCCTGCTTAGGAGCAAGGTGACCCCACTCGTTAACAGCATGAGGATTGGTGGGAAATCTACTACAAAGTCCTGCGGAGTGAAGATGAAACAGAGAGAAAGAAAGAAAGAGAAAGACCGTTTAAACTCGTGGGGTTCCAGTAGTAGCGACTCCAGCAGCAGTGAGTTAAGCTGCAAGGGAGGTACCCGGGGTTACACATTCAGTGATTCTCTGTGATATATCGGACCTAAAACAACCACACGTCTGGGTAACAAGACTCTCTGGTGTTAGAGGCTGGTGATGTAATAGCGAGGTATTACAGACCACATGTGAGCCGCGCAGAAGCAGCAGCATGTGCAGACACCACGCTTAATCCTTCTGTTTATACGCAGCCTCATAAGAGGAGTAGTGTGATAACGCTGCTTTGCAAGTATCACGTGTAGTGTGAATAAGTATTAGTAAGAAGAGAATTTTGAAATGGATTAGAAATGAACTGGAGATGGTGTATAAACAATACAAACAATATTATTATGTAATATCATATTTTACCGTAAAACTGATGTGAGATAACTGAACAGTTTATATTCAATTTGGGCAGTAAATGAGATGAAAGAGATAAGAACTCTCCGTAGCGATGCCAAGTGTCCTCGACACTGGGCAGTGGACAATGGGCAGTCCCTTCCAACAGAGGTGCTCTTTTTGCGGGGGACGAAGGTGCGCGTGGGGACGAAGGTGCGCGTCTTAAGCGCCCACGTGAACAATGCGATTCAATAGATAACTACGTCAGGCGATCACAAATGAAAATAATTTCTCATCTTTAATAAGGATTAATCTTGAAAATATTCATTAACTGTAATATACATTCCTGAACTGCTTATTTACATAAACTAAAGTACAATATTAAAAAATTAAAAACTAAAATAATCTAATTCTGTAATCTTGACATTGTATATAACTCTCCCTACATTTACAAAATGCAAAAAAGATGAAATACAACCGAAAAAGTACGGACAAAATGCTCACTGTCATCATATCATCCTATAATGTTTTTTTGGTTTACTCAGTATGAAATCTGTAATAGATCTGATTTTGACACATCATATTACGTTTTTATCCTTAAAAATTCTAGTCCTAGTAATTAAGAAGTTAATGAACACCTCCTTATCCAAAAACTTACAACTTAAAAACCGTATGGTGTTAACTCATGTGATCCTTTTGGTATGCCTCTCTTATTTGAAAATAAATCTTTTGGTAGTGATCCTTAAATTATTCTATCCTCTATGCAGGGACTAGTATTATATTCACTACTAGTTGGGGCCTCACAATCCCCCACATGGCCCACAACCGAGTGCTTTTCATCCTTTTGTGAATTAGACTGTTACTATTTTTCATGGTTTAAATTTTTATTGAAATGTTTATTAGAGTTTTAACCCCATCTTATCTTTATAGGTACTGAGGATGGGCGAAAATATTTTACCGATATTATAAAGATTTTGTTGGAAATGTTTAGAACTCATTCGTTGTTTGATTGCGGGAAACATTGATCTTGAACAGTAAAATTGTGTCCGATTATTGTTGTCCGTTATTATTGAGTTTACATCTGGTGACTGATAGCCTCATCATAGGTGGGAGGGGGAGGTAAGATGTCGTCATTGTTGAACCCTTCCTCTCCATGGTATTGAAGTACGAGATTGTTCCTAATAACAGTTCCCTCAGTATCGATAGTTTGGTAGCTAGGTGGGTTTATACTAGGAGGTGGTGCATGGGGCCGGGTATTAGGGGGCGGTGTGGTGGCGGAGTGGGTGTTAGGGGGCGGACTAACTCGGGGGGTATCAGTTTGTGCAATTACTTGTATCTGGGGGGAGGCCGTGCTAGGAGGGGAGGCTGTGCTCGGAGGAGGAGACAGTCTGTCTCTTCCTCCACTCTTCTCTCACTTTCTTGTATAACCTGGTTAATAGTTAGGTAGATTAGAATAGGGAACAGAGTTTATTATTATAGTTAGGTTACGGCCAGGAGTTTATTATCTTTCCTCGGTTTCACACTAACAATCTGAGTTATTCATCGTAACTAATGTAAAACTACAAATCATCATTAATACCACACTTACCAAACAAGAGGGAAGAAGATAGAACCAGCTGTTCTGAAAATATAAACTGTAAAATTAACGGAAACAACCAGACAAATACTGAAATACCGCCCCCACCAGTACTACTCGTTTCAAAGAAGTCAACATACCCTGTACCTATAACATACCCTACCAATAACAGTACTTACAGTAGGGTACCTAAAAGTGCGTACTTACAGAAAGTCTATTGGTTCACCAGGGCTCACGTTGAAGATGAACTGTCCAATAATAACACGTACAATCACAAAGAAGACGAAGTTAACAAGGTACACCACCATGAAGAGAATCTGCAACAGGAAAGTGGCGAACTCTCTGAAAAGTGTTGTGATTACAAGAGAAGTAAAGTTCCTAATGTAGACAGACCGTGGGGATTTGGGTTTGAAGTTCAATAATACAAATAACTATTAAATATAGTTAGATAAACTAACAAACGCAGTGGATTACTCACTTGATAGGACCATCGATATCGTACTTCGTAATGAGGAATAATCCACCAACAAAAGCAAGCATCGTTACAACGAATGGTATTATCAACAACTTGATGCCTCTCTGAGATGAAAGATTTATAATAATCACAGCACATACTACATAAGTCAACTATTAAGGTTATTGTTAAAACAATATCAAATAACGGAGTAGTTCGCTGTTTATTAGTCTCATGATTGAAATACTGATATCTGGATATTATCCGGTTTGAAGAGACAAGGACAAATGAAACAAGGAAGTTAGGAGTAAAGGCAAATTTTCGGCGTCAACGCCATCATCAGGCTAACGCCATCTTTTTAGCCTGAAGATGGCGTTGACGCCGAAAATTTGCCTTTACTCCTAACTTCCTTGTTTCATTTGTCCTTGTCTCTTCAAACCGGATAATATCCAGATATCAGTTAAAACAATAATGCAACTAACTGGCTAGTTTCTTAAATAAAGTGTTTACACTCCTAAATCAAATAAAAAGCTGAGATGGTAGAGGGACAAACCTGATAGTCGATAAAAGCGGAGAAACCGTTCAAATGGTTGGAAGTACAGTTGAAGTAAGAGCCAGGATAGTAAGACAAAGTGTGGACGGTTGTAGAGTCAACGTTTAGGATACCCTAAACACGATGAAATATTACTTACAATAATATCTCAGTAACTATTTGCCAGATCGACATTTTATTTCGAGATTTCTTATTCTGTTTAGATTACAAATAACTTGATTACTTAACAATTTTAGAGTTAGACGATTAATGAATTCTCCCATTTGTTGCTGGGAAGCGAAAAGTACGCGTACCTGAAGTATTGGGAGGTATTGCAGGAGAAGTTGTTTAGTAGATACGATGTTAGCAGAAGTGCAGTTGATCGGCGGGTTGTCTGAATAGTCATCATAAAGTGTCGCCTGAAAGTTATCTGTTATCTATGTTATGTTAACTAAAAGTTATAGAGGGGGGGGGGGGGGGGTTATAAAGTCGGTTAAAAACAAATTTATAAATCTACAGAAACAAGAGATACATTCCTCAAATAGCATCAAACATTCAAACAGTTAACATGGGGGGGGGGGGGGGGGTGCAGTTAACAGAGGGGGGGGGGGGGGGGTGGGGTGCAGTAAACAGAGGGGGGGGGGGCGGGGTGGAGTTAACAGAGGGGGGGAAATTAACAGTGGGGGGGGGGCGGGGTGGAGTTAACAGAGGGGGGGGGGGGGGGCGGGGTGGAGTTAACAGAGGGGGGTGGAGTTAACAGAGGGGGGGTGCAGCAAACCCTGCTGTTATCTTTAGCGGTGTTCTTGTGATAGGAATTGTTGAGGAAGAGGGCTTCATACTTTTGCGAAGTTACATTGTTGAACTTTTTTCCTGGTAAAACGTCAGGTCGACCATCTAGTTTTACAAAGATACCCTGAAGAAGTATGCGTGAGGGGCAGAGAAAAGAAAATACCACAATAGTTACAAGTGATGGGTCATGTCGTCGGCCACTAAAACAGTACACTATACACTGTATAACAAGAAAAACACATTATTACAACAATAAACATTCTTACCGCCACGACAGGAACGTCGTACAGAAAATAGAAAGTATTATCCCGCATACAGGTTGCTTTCACCCAATAAAAGCTAGTGATGTTGCAGACTCCATCAGATCTGTAAGCATCTGAAATATATTGAATTTTTAATTAGACCCCACAACTCCATTTATGGTATCCAAATCTTATATACGCTTTATTAGGGGAATTAGTCTTAAATCGTTTTATAAGCGCACTGTGAAGTGAACAGCGTATCGAGGTAGGTGCAGTGTGCAGAAGGTAGGTGCAGTGTGCAGAAGGTAGGTGCAGTGTGCAGAAGGTAGGTGCAGTTTGCAGAAGGTAGGTGCAGTGTGCAGAAGGTAGGTGCAGTGTGCAGAAGGTAGGTGCAGTGTGCAGAAGGTAGGTGCAGTGTGCAGAAGGTAGGTGCAGTGTGCAGAAGGTAGGTGCAGTGTGCAGAAGGTAGGTGCAGTGTGCAGAAGGTAGGTGCAGTGTGCAGAAGGTAGGTGCAGTGTGCAGAAGGTAGGTGTAGTGTGCAGAAGGTACGTGCAGTGTGCACCACCTCCCCACAGAAGGTAGGTGCAGTGTGCACCACCTCCCCACAGAAGGTACGTGCAGTGTGCACCACCTCCCCACAGAAGGTAGGTGCAGTGTGCACCACCTCCCCACAGAAGGTAGGTGCAGTGTGCACCACCTCCCCACAGAAGGTAGGTGCAGTGTGCACCACCTCCCCACAGAAGGTACGTGCAGTGTGCACCACCTCCCCACAGAAGGTACGAACCACGGTTAATGGGATTCACTATCTTCACTATCTGAACAATAATAGCGGCTAAAACTGCAAATGTGAACAGTTTCGAGATCCAGCCTTTCGTCTTTTTTTCCATCCCAACACGTGGCCGGTAAACATTGGCTGGTACTTCGGGCCCAACAACAAACAAATCGTTCTGTTCCAATATGTAATCTTTTCACATGACTAGATCCTAAAGAAAAGTGATTAGTCAGTGCTACTATTAACTATTAATATTAAATTGAATCATAATTGATTTTTTGGGACAAAGTGAGAGTCCCCACTCAGTTTTCCAAACAAATAGTTGTCAACATTTCGGCCCACGCCTTTGTCATGGACGAGACGTTACATAGCTCAATAAATGTAATAGATTTGTATTTTGTAGTGTTGTAATTAGTTTACAGAGGGAAAATAGATTATTATTAAATTGAATAATAAATTGAATTATTAATTAATCATATTTATTTATTGCGCGCGTGCAATTTTGGCGCACTTAAAGCAAAAATAATATTAGCGCCGCTTACATACAAAATATTGTGTAGACCTTGTCACAAATGTAAACAAAAATGTTACCCTGGTAAGTATACATCAACTTCCTAATCTAACTATTGTTCATGCATAGAAACAAAGGAATTTATGAGGCAAAGACGAATACATGTCACAAAGTTTTAAAAATATCGAGCTAGGATCTTGTTAGTTACATTGCGTGAGGGAAGATTGGATTTTTGATAGCGCCCTAGCGGGGCCCCGCACTAACTTACGTTAAGTTAGTAAGTGTGTTTGGAATAATGCCCTAATGTGCAGTAGTATCTATGACGATAATATCTTAGGTTTTATATAATGTTATATATTATATAATATATTGGGGGTTATCATAATAGTTACCATGTTATATTCTGTTAGGGAAATGAGAGAAGGTTAATTGAATTAGTAAAAATATCGTATTTTAAGTATAAAAGTGTGCAAGCAAATCAAACAAATGGTTTGTATAATGAATAACAGAGCAGTGCTACTCGGTAACTGTGGTTATAACGACGGCCAGGGTAAAATGTAGTAATATGATGAAGGGTTGAAAATTAAGAATCCTCCAAGTCTCAAACACGTAACGAAATCTTTTGCTTGAATATTAGGAATTTGAATGTTGAATTTGCAATTATACACGCTATTTCATTTATGATATATTATACGAAACTAGTATGATATTTAATTATACTTTACACAATATAACAATTAATCGCTTTATAACTTCAAAAATCAAGAAATAAAAAAACTTCAATTATCTGTATTCTGGACAATAGTGTAAAAAATAAACCTAAAATTAAAGTGCAAACATCAAAGCTAAAAAATTAGATTATTCTGTTCCAAATTAAGGCAGACTGCATCATAACGATAAACCATAATATTCAGATTTTTATAAGCTAGGTAGTCTAATAAATTGTTGCAATACCTGTACTTGAGAGTAGTGATAACAAAGTCTCAGATGTAAGATATGTGAGGAATTTGCCTATAAAGAACTGTGATATCTATATTATGTGTTGTTGCGTATTCTAACTGGAAGATGAGTCGCTCGGCTTGATACACCTCTTTATCTTGTCTCGGATCCTGCGTTATTAGTTTGTTAGTTACCTCCAATCTCGGGGGGGGGGGGGGGGGGGGGGGGGGGGTTAAGATAATCCCAAAACTTCTGTACTAAGTTACATTACAACGATAAGCCAAAGGTAACAAAAGAATTGTTACTTACCATCTGAAGATAATTAAAATAGACCCTTTATTGCTGAAAATACAAACGTGTTAAAAACTCAGCAAGTTAAAATTAAAAAAGATGTTACCTAAATGAATTGCTGAATATCATGTTAAGGGTACCGGCAGAATTTCAGAAATTAGTAAATTCCAGAATTTACAGACCGCAATCTAACAAAAGCAAATTTGGGAAATGGGAAAACTAAAGAAAGTACCATGGTAACTCACAAGGATTCCTCTAAATTTAAAGAAGGTTCGATGTTAAAGATAGACCAGCCGATGATAGCGATAAAGATCACATAGAGTACGACATGTATAAGAAATGCAACAAGGTACAGTGGCATCACTATCATGGTGGAAAACGCCCTGAAAGTTACTTTGTGTCATTAAACCTTACTACTATATTTTGTAGGTTATATAAAGTTAGATTCTAGTACTTTAACTGTACTATAGATACTACATTCTAACCTTTATCACAGTGGTTCCCAACAATTAATTGTGATGTTTGTGTCTTATAACAGCTCCTCTCACGTGAAAATAACAATTACCTTATCTATCTCCTTCTATCTCTTTTATCATATATATATTATATATATTACATATATATAAGAGAAAAGATGAAAACTTACTTTATAGGACCGTCATCATCATGATCGATTATGTAGACTAGTCCCAACCCAATCAGTATAAAGTTGAGAAGAAATGGTATCATCAGAAACTTGCTAACTCTCTGAACAATATTTCATGATTAGAAACTACAAGGGGCATTCAGGGGGGGGGGGGGGGGGGGTACAGAGCAATTAGTTAGTCAGAACAACAGGAAGTTTAAGTGCTTCAAATTATAACAAGTCTAGCTAGAGAAATTAAACTTTAATGTAAACTGTAATGTAAACTGTAATGTAAACTGTAATGTAAACTGTAATGTAAACTGTAATGTAAACTGTAATGTAACTGTAATGTAAACTGTAATGTAAAGTGTAATGTAAACTGTAATGTTTATCGGCCAGGTAGCGCAGTTGGTTAGCCAGCTTTGCAATCGTGAGGTTGCGGGTTCAAATCCCACTGCCTGCCTGGTCGTGGGGTGAGTGTCGTTGACATTCAGCTAAGGATCGTGAGTGGTCTATGCAGCCCCCCGGTCTACTCAGCCGAATACTCGAGAAATCGGGTGTGAGGGTTAAATGAGGAGCTGCACATTGCAGCAAAGTCTCGGGCGAAGAAAGTATGGTACACACTACCTTAACCGTCACTGGCTAAAAACAAATCCTTCGGCTTCCTGTAATTGGCTGGTTGCACTTGTGTAACAATATGGCTGTTGGAATACTCCGAAGTAAAATAAGTGTATAGATTTAAAAAAAAACTGTAATGTAAATTGTAATGTAAACTGTAATGTAAACTTTAATGTAAACTGTAATGTAAACTGTAATGTAAACTATAATGTAAAGTGTAATGTAAACTGTAATGTAAACTGTTATGTTGACTGCATTGTTAATTGTAATGTTAAATAATAGTACTATGTTTACAGTATGTACTGAAGGGGTATCCTAGGAAGTTTCTTGAACTTTTAACAGGTACCCCTCCTCATTTAACCCTCAATTAAGTTTCCTATCATTCGGCTGAGTCGACCGAGGAGATCATAAATGTAATGTTAACTGTAATGTTGACTGTTATGTAAACTGTAATGTAAACTGTAATGTAAAGTGTAATGTAAACTGTAATGTAAACTGTAATGTAAACTGTAATGTAACTGTAATGTAAAGTGTAATGTAAAGTGTAATGTAAACTGTAATGTAAACTGTAATGTAAACTGTAATGTAAACTGTAATGTAAACTGTAATGTAAACTTTAATATAAACTGTTATGTAAATTGTAATGTAAACTGTAACGTTAACTGCAGTGTAAACTGTAATGTATCCTCACCTTGTAATTCAAGTAAACATGTGTAGAGTTGAGGTAGGAGCAGTCAATGAATTTATTTGGGTAGAGTTTTGGTAGGTTCTCAGTTAAGGACTCCACGTCCAAAACGTCCTATAAAATATAACTATATTATATAGTTTTACACGGTTACTAGTCAACCTCTATGTGTTAGTTAGCAGCAGCTACACGTATCCTAACAAAGAAATTATCATTAAAAGATAATGTGTTATTAGAACTCACCTTAAAGACAGGTAAATAGTTCACTAATTTCTGTTTTGTTGAAATAAAGCTGGCTTTAGAGCAGTCCAACAAACTTTTATTTGTTAAATCGTCCACTAAAAACCCCTGAAATGTTATTTTTAGAACAGCTTTTCAACGAAATATCAAGCTGTACACAGTACAGTGTAGTTAGACAGTATCACATCAGCCCAGAATGGGTATCTCTTAGCGACTGCAACAAGACACTTACTTGTGTAGGTAGAGATAATTGATTGTTGTTTACGAAGAGACGCACAAAGTCCATGCTTGCAGGGTCCATATGTCGCCAGAACCGACCCTGAAATGGATAATTAATCTCAGAAAGTTCAAGGTTGTTACTCTAGCTTAGTAGCACTACATTCGATAGTTAGACATTTCAAAACCCAATTGGAAGAAGACATTTGAATAGCAAGGTTGATGTACCGATAAGGAGGGAGAATAGTATAGTGTATTTACCGATAAGGAGGGAGAATAGTAAAGTGTATTTACCGATAAGGAGGGAGAAGAGTATAGTGTATTTACCGATAAGGAGGGAGAAGAGTATAGTGTATCTACCGATAAGGAGGGAGAATAGTATAGTGTAATTACCGATAAGGAGGGAGAAGAGTATAGTGTATTTACTGATAAGGAGGGAGAAGAGTATAGTGTATTTACCGATAAGGAGGGAGAAGAGTATAGTGTATTTACCGATAAGGAGGGAGAATAGTAAAGTGTATTTACCGATAAGGAAGGAGAAGAGTATAGTGTATTTACCGATAAGGAGGGAGAAGAGTATAGTGTATTTACCGATAAGGAGGGAGAATAGTATAGTGTATTTACCGATAAGGAGGGGGAATAGTAAAGTGTATTTACCGATAAGGAGGGAGAATAGTATAGTGTATTTACCGATAAGGAGGGAGAATAGTAAAGTGTATTTACCGATAAGGAGGGAGAATAGTAAAGTGTATCTACCGATAAGGAGGAAGAAGAGTAAAGTGTATTTACCGATAAGGAGGGAGAATAGTAAAGTGTATTTACCGATAAGGAGGGAGAAGAGTATACTGTATTTACCGATAAGGAGGAATAATAGTATAGTGTATTTACCGATAGGAAGGGAGAAGAGTAAAGTGTATTTACCGATAAGGAGGGAGAATATTATAGTGTATTTACCGATAAGGAGGGAGAATAGTATAGTGCATTTACCGATAAGGAGGGAGAAGAGTATAGTGAATTTACCGATAAGGAGGGAGAAGAGTATAGTGTATTTGGTGTGGTCCTATTACACTGTGTTAGAACCCATGTTAACAGTGTTATGTGACAATACCCGTCTACTACAGCTGCATCTGGAAATATTACAATAACTGTAATTACATTATAATAACTGTCATTACATCTACTTAAAGTCTGAACTTTAGTCGTCAGTAATTAATGATACACAGAAGGGGCTACAGAGAACTAACAGTGTGTTTCTTACCGTGTGTCATGGGGTTTATGACATATAAACCTTGGCAGACAAGTGTTACTATGGTAACTGCAGTGAACAACCTTGCTCCCCATACCTTCAGACCTGCCATCTCACATCCTGTTTTTATGTTGTGTTTACATGATCTGAGTAGTTATATGTTAATTACCTAGTTACACATCATGTAATTAGGATCTGAGTAGTTATATGTTAATTACCTAGTTACACAGCATCCTTGTCACACAGCATGTAACTAGGATACCAATACTAGCATTATCAACTTCATTAGGTATATCGGATACATTATTACGTAATATTATGAATAAATATTGGCAATATCGATAATTAAAATAAGGTATTGACTTTGCTTTCTTTAGCTGTACAAATAACAGAAGTACACACTACAATGATACACATTACAGTGTATACACACTACAGTGTATACAGACAGCACTATGTCTAGTGTCTACATCAGAGCACTAATGACATAACAGGTGGTTTGGTTTACGTACTGTGCTCTCTATTATATATTATATAGTGTCTATCTATACACCCGGTGTAGAGGGTGTGTGAACCTAATGTAGTACATAATATGTGTGTTATTTTATGTGTGGAGATGTTCACCAAACACCCTGTGCTGAATAGTTCAGATAATAAGGCGAGGTGTAGCACTGCATTTGTATTATATCGTATACCATTGTTTTCAGTATAAGACATGGGGCACACAATAGATGAGATTAATTGTCAGGCGGGAGTGTCCCCGGACAATGGTAGGACAATGTTACTACTAACAATGTTACAATAGAGCACGTGCTAGTAGCTATAGAGCTACAGTGCTACAGCAGCAATCAGGCTGTGTCATCCCTAGCAGAGGTCTGTGCTTTCCTCTTATTACTAGATTGATACCGAGAGTGCTGCTTCTTATTATGTTAGTTGACTCGAGCACAACTTCCCTCGCCTCTAATATTTTTTAACACATAAATTGTTAGCAGATTTATATTTATATTTTGTTTACAACAATCGAATAACAACAATCAAATATGGTCAACCCACTCACAAGAGTGAAAAAAGATATCTTTGGTGACAGAATTGTTTTGTTTAACTCCTGAATTTCTCCTTTCTTTTGATTAAAATTACACATTGTTTGCCCCAGCACATCTTAATACAACTCATTCAGAGTTTACTACAGATGGCAAAGATCAAGCTTTTCAAGCCTATGGATATTCCATATGAACACTTTGAAGTGAGCGGTGTCCCTATGAGCCTACTTACAGGTGAAAACTAAGATTATACAACCTCGGCCGCGCCCAGTACATAAAATTGATAATCTATACGAAAAGATTCTTTACAATGATGTCATAAGATCTTGAGTGTCATAAGTATAACCGCAATAACATTTTCTCACCTAAAATTCTATTTTAAAAGACTTTTGATTTGAAGATAAGGTGAGGTATTGTAGTAACTCAATTTTAATTGTCTTCAGGAAATGCATACTCCTACAACCTGATGAAGAATCTGGTCACTTCTGAGCAAGATACCTTCTTGGCATCTTTTCCGAAAAGTGGCACAACTTGGCTCCTAAACATAGTGTTCCATTTGATGGGAGAAGACAAGGACAATCAAAGAGTGGACGACATTATTCCCTGGTTGGATTGTGATCCATACAATGTCAAAGATTGTGATGTTAGGCGCTATTTCAAAACTCATGTTCAATTATCATGGCTGCCCTACAATGATAAAGCTAAGTACATATATGTTGCAAGAAATCCTAAAGATGTTGCGGTCAGCTTCTACTATTTCCTAGAAAACATGCAAGTCCAGGCCCTAGGATACAAGAAAGAAAATACTATTGACATGTCCTCATTTATTGATTATTTTGGAGAAGGCAGAGTACTGTATGGTTGCTGGTGGAGACATGTAATGAGTTGGTATCAAGCGTCGCTTACCAACAAAAACATACTATTTGTGACTTATGAGGAAATGTCACAAAATATTGAAACCGTGATCTCTCAAATAGCTACATTCATGAACCAAGGTGTTGATGACACGAAAATATCAAGTATTGCCGAAAAATGTTCATTCAAAAGTATGAAGAATGACAAAAAGTCAAGTATGGCTTATTGCAAAAACTTCTGGAGAAAAGGAACTTGTGGAGATCACGTTAACTTCTTCTCAAAAGAACAAATCAAGAATTTTGATGCAAAGTCTGAAAGTTTGCTTCCCACAGAGTTGATGAAAAGGTTATGATGAAAGAACAAATAGGGAGATTATTATTATTAAATCTAAAATAGCTAATAATTTATGTAATTATTAATCGTCCCCTCCAAGTGGGTGATAACATAATCTAAATATAATTACATATACAAATTGTATTAGTTAGTGTTTATCAATGAAACAATAAGTTTTTGTTGACCCGGGGTGGACATCCCGATACCAGTGCGTCGGAATATAGTTTTGGGCTGTTTCAAGATGCATTAGATCATCGAAAAGCCCCCACATCCTTTACTGCTTTAATATATGTTTCTTTCGTTAACATTTTCGATTGTTTCTAAATAGACTGAGTGAAAACAAATTCTAATGGAAACCAATAGTTGAACAACGTATCAAAATTTTTACATCATACTCATCAATATTATTAAATTGATAAAATTTATTTTTTGTATTTTAAGATGATGTAGAGTTTAAAATATGACGTAGAATTATAGCTAGATCCGTATGGCCTATGTATGCACATTCGAAGGACCATGAAACCAGCTAGTTTTTATTTGTTATTCAAGCTTATTATAACCATTGATACAAAGGCCATAATCTTTCGCCAGCTCTCCAATATCTACCTTGAAGCTGCATTTTATATCTTTGAACTGCACAATATAAACTTAAGTATGTTTTAGTGTAGACTTTTGAATGAACATTTGCAACCTATAGTAACAACTATAAACAAAACCCCATATGTCTACTAACAATTTTCTTTTAGTCCTAATATTCACCTAGCCATGAGTCTGTGTGTACTGCGTGACGCTCTACTGCAAGCGAGAGGGCTCTGGATAGAGCAAATCCTAATATGAGCCTTGTCTCTAAAAATTTAACTGAACTAGCATTTCGGTGTGTGCACAAGCTTTCAGGCACATGCATTCATTGCCCCATTAGTTACCTGTCCTTCCAAAACCAAACTAGCAGTCAAGGACAAAAAGTCATACACCAAATGAGCATTATATTTTATGAATTGTTTCGCATCTCTTTACTCTGTAAAATGCGCTAAAATTAAATTTCATTGCAAATATTTCTTGGTTCATTAAGCATCTTGGGCTGTACTGATTCTAATCAAAGTTCATTATAATGGTATATTATATAATAAGGATATTCAAACAATATACACATAATATAACAATGACCCTATAAAAAAATTCAATAAAAAAATCAATAAAAATCTTGTTGTAGTTGTAGTAAAAGTAGCCAATTCAATTTGTTGGCTCTAAATTAATATCTAAATCTGATATTTTAACTATACTACCACTTTTTATCCCTCTTTCTCCTCTAAGAGCAATAATTGTCGTTCTTAATGAGTCAAATCTTATTCTTTTCCTGATAAAAGTCATCGCTTCACTGTATCTTTGACTTGATTTTTTAGACATTCTATCAGCTTACTTTTTGAAGAACGTATTTGTTTTTCTTCCCATTCCACCTGTTGTTGACAGGACTATTGGTGTAAATGTTCTACTTCGACAATCCTTTTGTTGTACACGTTTTCTTCTGTCTCTCAAAGTTCATTATTGGATGTTTATTTATATTTATTATAATATTAATATTCATTGTAATGGCAGTAAAATTTAAATTTTTTTCCTTGAATTTTGTTTTCATATTCTCATTAAATATAATTGATTCATAATGTTGTAATTATAATTAGTTTAAAACTCTAGTTAGAAACTTTAGTATAGTATATGTGAATTGACAACCCACTACCGCTGAATTTCGTGGTGCCGCTACAAAAATCCTAAAATCCTAAAAAGCACACGCACGCTATATAATATTTTAACAAAGGAATATGTCAATAGCGTTGTTGAGCTTGTTATTCTCTTTGGAAATTATTCCAAGTGATTTTAAATATTCTAAGAAATAGCTTTTGTTTTTAAATTGCAAAATTCACGTGGATTTAAAAATTTTGAAAGTATCAACATAACAATAAAAGTATAAAACTAAACTGATTACAATCATTAAAAATAATTAAAAATATTGATTAAAACGCAAACGTTATTATATCGGAGAACTTCGACAAGCCGCGCCGCGAAAAATCATCGCGTTTGTTTCGTTTCGAAGACAGATTAATCGAAATTTGATTATTGCACAGGCCACAGCTACGATTTGGAAATGTTAGTATTATTAATTAATAAATTATACAGACAAAAACTGGAAAATTGCAAATATTAAGTAAAAGAAAAAGAACTGCATTTTTATTCACTACAAAAAAATCAATATATAATGTTATATTCATAAATATATGTTGCAAGAAATCCTAAAGATGTTGCGGTCAGCTTCTACTATTTCCTAGAAAACATGCAAGTCCAGGCCCTAGGATACAAGAAAGAAAATACTATTGACATGTCCTCATTTATTGATTATTTTGGAGAAGGCAGAGTACTGTATGGTTGCTGGTGGAGACATGTAATGAGTTGGTATCAAGCGTCGCTTACCAACAAAAACATACTATTTGTGACTTATGAGGAAATGTCACAAAATATTGAAACCGTGATCTCTCAAATAGCTACATTCATGAACCAAGGTGTTGATGACACGAAAATATCAAGTATTGCCGAAAAATGTTCATTCAAAAGTATGAAGAATGACAAAAAGTCAAGTATGGCTTATTGCAAAAACTTCTGGAGAAAAGGAACTTGTGGAGATCACGTTAACTTCTTCTCAAAAGAACAAATCAAGAATTTTGATGCAAAGTCTGAAAGTTTGCTTCCCACAGAGTTGATGAAAAGGTTATGATGAAAGAACAAATAGGGAGATTATTATTATTAAATCTAAAATAGCTAATAATTTATGTAATTATTAATCGTCCCCTCCAAGTGGGTGATAACATAATCTAAATATAATTACATATACAAATTGTATTAGTTAGTGTTTATCAATGAAACAATAAGTTTTTGTTGACCCGGGGTGGACATCCCGATACCAGTGCGTCGGAATATAGTTTTGGGCTGTTTCAAGATGCATTAGATCATCGAAAAGCCCCCACATCCTTTACTGCTTTAATATATGTTTCTTTCGTTAACATTTTCGATTGTTTCTAAATAGACTGAGTGAAAACAAATTCTAATGGAAACCAATAGTTGAACAACGTATCAAAATTTTTACATCATACTCATCAATATTATTAAATTGATAAAATTTATTTTTTGTATTTTAAGATGATGTAGAGTTTAAAATATGACGTAGAATTATAGCTAGATCCGTATGGCCTATGTATGCACATTCGAAGGACCATGAAACCAGCTAGTTTTTATTTGTTATTCAAGCTTATTATAACCATTGATACAAAGGCCATAATCTTTCGCCAGCTCTCCAATATCTACCTTGAAGCTGCATTTTATATCTTTGAACTGCACAATATAAACTTAAGTATGTTTTAGTGTAGACTTTTGAATGAACATTTGCAACCTATAGTAACAACTATAAACAAAACCCCATATGTCTACTAACAATTTTCTTTTAGTCCTAATATTCACCTAGCCATGAGTCTGTGTGTACTGCGTGACGCTCTACTGCAAGCTGGATAGAGCAAATCCTAATATGAGCCTTGTCTCTAAAAATTTAACTGAACTAGCATTTCGGTGTGTGCACAAGCTTTCAGGCACATGCATTCATTGCCCCATTAGTTACCTGTCCTTCCAAAACCAAACTAGCAGTCAAGGACAAAAAGTCATACACCAAATGAGCATTATATTTTATGAATTGTTTCGCATCTCTTTACTCTGTAAAATGCGCTAAAATTAAATTTCATTGCAAATATTTCTTGGTTCATTAAGCATCTTGGGCTGTACTGATTCTAATCAAAGTTCATTATAATGGTATATTATATAATAAGGATATTCAAACAATATACACATAATATAACAATGACCCTATAAAAAAATTCAATAAAAAAATCAATAAAAATCTTGTTGTAGTTGTAGTAAAAGTAGCCAATTCAATTTGTTGGCTCTAAATTAATATCTAAATCTGATATTTTAACTATACTACCACTTTTTATCCCTCTTTCTCCTCTAAGAGCAATAATTGTCGTTCTTAATGAGTCAAATCTTATTCTTTTCCTGATAAAAGTCATCGCTTCACTGTATCTTTGACTTGATTTTTTAGACATTCTATCAGCTTACTTTTTGAAGAACGTATTTGTTTTTCTTCCCATTCCACCTGTTGTTGACAGGACTATTGGTGTAAATGTTCTACTTCGACAATCCTTTTGTTGTACACGTTTTCTTCTGTCTCTCAAAGTTCATTATTGGATGTTTATTTATATTTATTATAATATTAATATTCATTGTAATGGCAGTAAAATTTAAATTTTTTTCCTTGAATTTTGTTTTCATATTCTCATTAAATATAATTGATTCATAATGTTGTAATTATAATTAGTTTAAAACTCTAGTTAGAAACTTTAGTATAGTATATGTGAATTGACAACCCACTACCGCTGAATTTCGTGGTGCCTCTACAAAAATCCTAAAATCCTAAAAAGCACACGCACGCTATATAATATTTTAACAAAGGAATATGTCAATAGCGTTGTTGAGCTTGTTATTCTCTTTGGAAATTATTCCAAGTGATTTTAAATATTCTAAGAAATAGCTTTTGTTTTTAAATTGCAAAATTCACGTGGATTTAAAAATTTTGAAAGTATCAACATAACAATAAAAGTATAAAACTAAACTGATTACAATCATTAAAAATAATTAAAAATATTGATTAAAACGCAAACGTTATTATATCGGAGAACTTCGACAAGCCGCGCCGCGAAAAATCATCGCGTTTGTTTCGTTTCGAAGACAGATTAATCGAAATTTGATTATTGCACAGGCCACAGCTACGATTTGGAAATGTTAGTATTATTAATTAATAAATTATACAGACAAAAACTGGAAAATTGCAAATATTAAGTAAAAGAAAAAGAACTGCATTTTTATTCACTACAAAAAAATCAATATATAATGTTATATTCATAAATAAATTCAATTTGAATTTCATAATTTCAACCATGTATACAGCCCGCCGCGCACACAGCCACATAATGTTGAGAAATGCTTAGGTGCGGCTGTATGTGCCGCGCACAGGATCTATTTGATTATAATTATCTCACAATTAGATGTCACATTTATTTCCTACATCTAGACTTTAAAATGTTTTATTTATTGATATATTTGTAGTATCTATTTGTTAGACGTCATAAATTACCTTAAAATTCATACTATACTTCAAACTTTAAATAATTATGTTTGCTAATAATAAAAGAAGCTGTGTCATTTTTTTCACTAATTTATCGTTGCTCTGAGTCTTACGTAATCGATCTAAATGACGATTGTTCATTTGATTGATATTCGTCTGTTTTTGACATGTTTCTTTTCATACCCTGTACGAATACTATTTACATGTGTGATTTGTGTGTACTATTTACTATGCCAGGGCGCTTATTCATAAAATAAAATAATCTAACATTGTCAGTCTTGTGCTCCTGAAACTACTTTTTGTTATCACTGACAAGATCAAATAATCTAGCAAATGTTACGAGTTATAGAGTTGGTTGTAGCTTTAAACATTGTGACTAATTTTAGGTGGAGTGCTTTACCCATGTCAAGGTCTATAGAGAAAGTGGTGGAAAGCAAATGGCAATCAGAAGGACGTGGTGCGAGAGTGCGCAGGTCTATTGGTCTACGTGACATAGGACAGATTGACCCTTTTTTAATGTTAGATGAGTTTACTGGATCTTCTCTCAAAGGAGCAGGCTTCCCTGATCATCCTCATCGTGGATTTGAAACTGTCACTTACGTTCTGGAAGGCGAAATGTACCATGAAGATTTCCTTGGTAATTCTGGAACTTTGAAACCTGGTGATATGCAATGGATGACAGCTGGACGAGGAATTATCCATTCCGAGATTCCCGGACGTGAGATGGTCAGAGGACTTCAGTTATGGTTAAACTTAAAAAGTGAGTTTAAAATGGTGGAGCCTATGTATCAGGAACTAAGTTCAAATCAAATGCTAACAGTCAAAGAAAATGGCATAAAAGTCATTGTACTAGCAGGAGAAGCACTTGAAAGAAATCAGAAGTTCAAACAAGAACACCTGCATACTATTTAGATGTCACTCTTCAGCAAGAAGCTAACTTTAAACAAAACATTCCTGATGGTTGGACTACATTTTGCTATACACTAGATGGTGATGTTGCTATTGGTCCTGACTCTAGAAGCATTCCTGCCCACCACACAGTTGTTTTCAACCGAAGTGGAGACTTTGTAGAGTTTGCTAACAAGAGTAATAAGGAGGCAAGATTTCTAGTAATTTCAGGTGAACCAATTGGTGAGCCTGTAATTCAACATGGCCCTTTTGTCATGAATACACGTGAGGAGATTGAGCAAACATTTGATGATTATCGCAATCACAAAAATGGCTTTGAAAATGCTAAAGATTGGAAGTCCGAGATTGGATCAAAATTTCTTGAAGGAACATTGTGGAGTGAATAATCAGGTTATTCCATTATTTCGACCTGATAGAGATCAAAGTGTGTATAATTATATTTCAACCAAGCTTTTGACGATCTTAATATTTGTTCACATATTCTGAACTGATATAAACATGCGTGATTTTAATATTTCCTTATTAAGCTACTTACTTATTAAGCTACTTACTTAGCTACTTGCATATTTTGTATCTTTCTTGGGTATGTTTTCGATATTATATCTTAAATACTAGAATTTATTTATTCATATATATATATTTAACAGCAGATACAGCTGTATACATGTATACAGCTGTGGCTTTGTTTGAAATATTATAATGATAGTGATGTTTTAAACTAGTTACAACACCACAAATCTATTACATTTAGATTTGTGGTGTTACAGAAGGAATTGATTTAATGTAGTTGGAGGAGTCCTAACTCTCCTCACGTCCGAAAATGGCGTTTCTCTTGTATCAAATATGACTACTATATGTGTATATTGAATTAAGTGGTCATATAATATGCTAATATAATTGCTACTGTTATTATAATGATATGTGAATAGTTAGCGCAGATATTTTTAACTTTAGATGCATTTTAGAACTATCTTTATGAAATTAAGATACAGAAAAGACATTTAAAAAGTAATCATGTTAATGTATATATAATTGTATATTGTTTAGTGCGATTTATCATAATTGTAAAAATGGTGCAATTTGTGTTAAGACTTGAAGCTGAATATTAAGATTTTAACACCATCATTTAAACTTGCCCCTCTTTTAGATAACTAATTGTGTATCAGCTCATGGCTTTGTATCTTAGGTAACGGCTACTACTGGCTGCTGCCCCTCTAGAGATCATGTCTCTCATTGACCACTATGATACGTTTCTGTTTGATTGTGATGGAGTTGTCTGGCGAGGTCTGGAGCAGGTTTCCGGAGCTTCTCATGTCCTAAATCATCTCATTTCTCTTAACAAAAATGTGATTTTTGTTACTAACAATAACACAAAAACAAGAAAAACATTCAGAGATTCAGTAAAGAGTATTTTGGGTATTTCTGTGTCACATGATAAGTTGTATAGCTCAGGCATAACAGCTGCCCTCTATGTTAAAAGAAGATTAAAGCCAGGAGAAAAGATATTTTTGATTGGTACTAAGGGACTTTCTGAAACAATGGAAGAAAATGGAGTGGACCACATTGGGTATGGTTGTGATATAGATGGTAATTATTTTACTGACTTTGTAGACTTCGTTCCAGAAAGCAATGTCAAATTCGTGGTTGGAGCATTTGACAACTATTGTAACTATGCCAAGATGGCACAGGCATTTATCTACATCAAAGAATGTGGCGCAGAATACATTGCTACAAACCTGGACCTGACTTGCAATATAAGCAAAACCAGACAGCTTCCAGGCACAGGGAGTGTTCTCGCGGGACTGACTCAGAGTTTGGGTGTGCAACCAAAGGTTATAGGTAAACCCTCCACTATCATGTTTGATGTGATAAGTGCGGATCATAATTTACAAGATAAGTCTAAAGTTTTGATGGTGGGTGACAACTTATCCACTGATATACAGTTTGGTATAAATGCAGGAATAGACACTGCACTTGTGTTAACTGGTGTCACTAGTAGGGATATGTTAAATAAAGAGGGATGTGTAAAACCAACTCATGTTCTAAATAGCATTGCTGATATAAAATAGTTGTCCTTATTTTGTACAAATTACAATATTTCATCAGCTTCATGTTTAGACTTAAATTAATTTGTTATTAAATTAGGGGTCGTTCACATATTACGTAATCATTTTTTGGAACATTTTTACCACCCCCCCGGCCCCCCCTCCGTAATCAGTTTTACGCATAGCTTTTGTGTCAAAATTACATTAGCGTAATCATTCGGAAACCCCCCCCCCCTCCCCTTACCTGATTACGTAATATGTGAACGACCCCTTAGTAGGGATAATCGATTATTATGAGAATAGTTTCTGTGGTTAGTGTGTGACAGTTATGTTTATTTTTTACCTGTTCTTTTAATCTTCATTGTGTATAAAAATAGCTTAATTTTAAAGTTGATTTTATCAAGTGTACTACTTTTGTACTTTTATCATCCTGTAAATCTAAAGATTTCAACATGACAATTGCTCATAACGAAATTGTTAAATATTCTACAGTTTCTCTAGTTCCCAACATTATGCCAGGTTAATATCTATGACTTACATGTGATGCCCTTATAAGGAGTGAAAGCCACATGTCCTTTACAGATCGTTACAACACATTTCTCTTTGACTGTGACGGTGTTGTTTGGCGTGGTAAAAATCCAGTTTTAGGTGCTCCTGAAGTGTTAAAACATCTCATTTCTCTCAACAAAAATGTGATTTTTGTTACCAACAATACTTCAAAAACAAGAGCGGCATACAGGGATACGTTTAAGAGTGTTCTTGGTATTTCTGTGACAGATAACCAAGTTTATAGTGCTGGCATAACAGCTTCCCTCTATGTTAAAAGAAGATTAAAGCCAGGAGAAAAGATATTTTTGATTGGTACTAAGGGACTTTCTGAAACAATGGAAGAAAATGGAGTGGACCACATTGGGTATGGTTGTGATATAGATGGTAGTTATTTTACTGACTTTGTAGACTTCGTTCCAGAAAGCAATGTCAAATTCGTGGTTGGAGCATTTGACAACTATTGTAACTATGCCAAGATGGCACAGGCCTTTATCTATATTAAAGAATGCGGCGCAGAATACATTGCTACAAACCTGGACCTGACTTGCAATATAAGCAAAACCAGACAGCTTCCAGGCACAGGGAGTGTTCTCGCGGGACTGACTCAGAGTTTGGGTGTGCAACCAAAGGTTATAGGTAAACCCTCCACTATCATGTTTGATGTGATAAGTGCGGATCATAATTTACAAGATAAGTCTAAAGTTTTGATGGTGGGTGACAACTTATCCACTGATATACAGTTTGGTATAAATGCAGGAATAGACACTGCACTTGTGTTAACTGGGGTAACCAGTAGGGATATGCTAAATAAAGAGGGATGTGTAAAACCAACTCATGTTCTAAATAGCATTGCTGATATAAAATAGCTGTCTTTATTTTGTACAAATTACAATATCAGCTTCATGTTTAGACTTTAATTAATTTGTTATTAAACTAGGGGTCGTTCACATATTACGTAATCGTTTTTTTGGAACATTTTTACCCCCCCCCCCCCTCCGTAATCAGTTTTGTACACATAGCTATTGTGTCAAAATTACATTAGCGTAATCTTTCGGAAACCCCCCTCCCCCCTCCAGCTCCCCTTACCTGATTACGTAATATGTGAACGACCCCTTAGTAGGGATAATCGATTATTATGAGAATAGTTTCTGTGGTTAGTGTGTGACAATTATGTTTATTTTTTACCTGTTCTTTTAATCTTCATTGTGTTTAAAAATAGCTTAATTTTAAAGTTGATTTTATCGAGTGTACTACTTTTGTACTTTTATCATCCTATAAATCTAACGATTTCAACATGATAATTGCTCATAACGAAATTGTTAAATATTCTACAGTTTCTCTAGTTCCCAACATTATGCCAGGTTAATATCTATGACTTACATGTGATGCCCTTATAAGGAGTGAAAGCCACATGTCCTTTACAGATCGTTACAACACATTTCTCTTTGACTGTGACGGTGTTGTTTGGCGTGGTAAAAATCCAGTTTTAGGTGCTCCTGAAGTGTTAAAACATCTCATTTCTCTCAACAAAAATGTGATTTTTGTTACCAACAATACTTCAAAAACAAGAGCGGCATACAGGGATACGTTTAAGAGTGTTCTTGGTATTTCTGTGACAGATAACCAAGTTTATAGCGCTGGCATAACAGCTTCCCTCTATGTTAAAAGGAGATTAAAGCCAGGAGAAAAGATATTTTTGATTGGTACTAAGGGACTTTCTGAAACAATGGAAGAAAATGGAGTGGACCACATTGGGTATGGTTGTGATATAGATAGTAGTTATTTTACTGACTTTGTAGACTTCGTTCCAGAAAGCAATGTCAAATTCGTGGTTGGAGCATTTGACAACTATTGTAACTATGCCAAGATGGCACAGGCCTTTATCTATATTAAAGAATGCGGCGCAGAATACATTGCTACAAACCTGGACCTGACTTGCAATATAAGCAAAACCAGACAGCTTCCAGGCACAGGGAGTGTTCTTGCGGGACTGACTCAGAGTTTGGGTGTGCAACCAAAGGTTATAGGCAAACCTTCCACTATCATGTTTGACGTGATAAGTGCGGATCATAATTTACAAGATAAGTCTAAAGTTTTGATGGTGGGTGACAACTTATCCACTGATATACAGTTTGGTATAAATGCAGGAATAGACACTGCACTTGTGTTAACTGGTGTCACTAGTAGGGATATGCTAAATAAAGAGGGATGTTTAAAACCAACTTATGTTCTAGATAGCATTGCTGATATAAAATAATTGTCCTTGTTTTGTACAAATTACAATATCAGGTTCATGTTTAGACTTAAATTAATTTGTTATTAAATTAGGGGTCGTTCACATATTGTGTAATCATTTTTTGGAACATTTTTACCCCCCCCCCCCCCCCCCCCCCCTCCGTAATCAGTTTTACGCATAGCTTTTGTGTCAAAATTACATTAGCGTAATCATTCGGAAACCCCCCTCCCCCCTCCAGCTCCCCTTACCTGATTACGTAATATGTGAACGACCCCTTAGTAGGGATAATCGATTATTATGAGAATAGTTTCTGTGGTTAGTGTGTGACAATTATGTTTATTTTTTACCTGTTCTTTTAATCTTCATTGTGTTTAAAAATAGCTTAATTTTAAAGTTGATTTTATCGAGTGTACTACTTTTGTACTTTTATCATCCTATAAATCTAACGATTTCAACATGAGAATTGCTCATAACGAAATTGTTAAATATTCTACAGTTTCTCTAGTTCCCAACATTATGCCAGGTTAATATCTATGACTTACACGTGATGCCCATATAAGGAGTGAGAGCCACATGTCCTTTACAGATCGTTACAACACATTTCTCTTTGACTGTGACGGTGTTGTTTGGCGTGGTAAAAATCCAGTTTTAGGTGCTCCTGAAGTATTAAAACATCTCATTTCTCTCAACAAAAATGTGATTTTTGTTACCAACAATACTTCAAAAACAAGAGCGGCATACAGGGATACGTTTAAGAGTGTTCTTGGTATTTCTGTGACAGATAACCAAGTTTATAGTGCTGGCATAACAGCTTCCCTCTATGTTAAAAGAAGATTAAAGCCAGGAGAAAAGATATTTTTGATTGGTACTAAGGGACTTTCTGAAACAATGGAAGAAAATGGAGTGGACCACATTGGGTATGGTTGTGATATAGATAGTAGTTATTTTACTGACTTTGTAGACTTCGTTCCAGAAAGCAATGTCAAATTCTTGGTTGGAGCATTTGATGGTTATTTCAACTATGCCAAGATGGCACAGGCCTATATCTACATTAAAGAATGCGGCGCAGAATACATTGCTACAAATGTTGATATGAATCACGCTCTGAATGAAGCAAGACTGCTCCCTGGTACAGGTGCAGTTCTAGAAGGACTAACTCAGAGTCTCGGAATACAGCCCAAAGTTCTGGGAAAACCATCTCATTTAATGTTTGATATGATAAGAAGTGAGCACAACCTACAGGACAAATCTAAAGTATTAATGGTGGGAGACACACTTGAGTCTGACATTCAGTTTGGGATTAATTCAGGTGTTGATACAGCTCTAGTGCTGAGTGGTATTACATCACGTGATATGCTGGATCAGGACACTTCAATTAAACCAACATTTGTACTGGACAGCATTGCAGAGTTACTCAAATAGGGAACGGTTTCATTACCTTTACAAGTTTTAGAAAGACTTTTCTCAGCCGAGGCGATCCAAGGGTGTAAATTTAATTGTTAATATTTTTTTATTTAAGGGAATCTCTAAATTATTATTTTATTCGTTTGTTTAATATTATGTACATAAATTTTACATTTAGATAATTTTACCTGTAAATATGTTGGTAGATCAACTAATTAAAGTTTGAAATTGTGTCAAATATTACTGAAAGTAAATTTGTAAATCGGATAAAATTCATGGTTCTGTCATCATAACAATATACATATTGCACAGTTAGGTTATATTCAGCTGTAGTGTACTAACTTAGTTACTAGTTACTAGCTTACTTATTACTAACTTAATTACTTAGTTACTAATTACTAACTTAATTACTAGTTACTAACTTACTAACTTACTAACTTAGTTACTTACTAACTTAGTTACTAATTACTAACTTACTAACTTAATTACTAGCAATGGTATCGACTCAGACATCTCTGACATGTGCTAGAAGCGACAACCTTCTCCCCCAGTCTCTACTCTTCAACATCATTACCTCCAAACTAGCTGAGGCTTTCGAGATCACTAATCTTCACGCTAAACTCTGTGATTACACAGATAACTTGAGGTCTATCAAGGTTTGTAGCCGTCGTCTAAACAACTTCCGGACTTCTTTTATTATTTAAAGACAGACATGTTTAGATTTTAGCTAGTTAAACGTCAGATGAGATCAAAATTGTTTTGTTTGAAACATCTTTTTAATATACAAGCTATAGAAGTAATATTATATAGTAATATATAGCTATAGAAGTAGTACATTATTATTGAATAACATATTACTTATTGTAACAATGTGAACAACTTCAGAAGGAGCCGAATCAGCCGACCTACCAGTTCACCTGTAACTATCCAGACAGACCTCACTTGGACCTGGTAATCCCCACTAGCTGTGATCACAGCCCCATCGACAGGGTAATGTTATTTTTAGTATTCCTTTAGATTCCTGGATTTGGAAATATCGAACCTACAAACTGTATAGTGTATGAGGGCCAGGGGCCTAACAAAATGCACCTAAGGTAAAAAGTATTATATATTGTGGTTAGCAGCGCACTGTTAACATCATATTTTATTTCAGGGATGTTTTTCTCCTAACACCTTCCTGCCAAGAAAGCGCCAGCGCTTGCACTCAACTCTATCACCAGCCAGCGCTATCCAAGAAACTATCGGACTATCAGCACCAGCCTCATTCACCTGTCCTAACTGCAAATCAACCTACAAAAGTTTAGGAGGTCTGAACTACCATGTACAGAGGTGTCAGAATATGGTATACAACAAGCCTCTCACTACAGCCTGTAAACAACTCTCATTCGAGCCGGATAACCCTACATTCGCGGGGGACGAGCCTGTTGGAACAGACACAACTCATAGTGACCTTATAAGTAATCACTCCAAACTCAAGTCAACTGTTATAGATTCTCAGAGTGGAATCACATTTATAACTGAAAGAGAACAAGAAACTGAAGATTGTACAGATGAGGTTATGGTCGCGTATCTGGTGGGAAATTGTGATACTTTAGTGCAGGATAAACAGCTCAACTCCACAGAAGCTGAGGAGATGGGATCTGATGAAGTGGGATCTGATGATTCGTCAGACAATGCGACTAGAAATGATGATTCGTCAGACAATGCGACTAGAAATGATGATTCGTCAGACAATGCGACCAGAAAGTCAACAAGGATAAAATCAAGGACACAGCGGCAGATAAGAAGCAAGGTGCTTCTAGACAGGATAAAGCAGGCTAAAAGACAGACTGCTACTAGAAATCATAAGAAAGATAAAAATGCGCGTGGCAGGCCAAGGAACTCCTCGACTTCCAAAACAACAAAAAATTTGGTTGAAAACAAACTTTCAAAAGAGAGTCCCAAGCTAACCTTAAAGAAACGTTTAAACGAGATAAAGAGTAAAGATTTACCAAGTCAGGGAGCCTCAAAACGTTCTGTTATTAACAAGCCGAATAAGAGGTTAAATGTCAAAGTTGAAGTACCCTCGAAAGAAAAGATTGCTTCTAATGACAAGCCTCCTGAAATAAAACCTAGTGTACCCTGCAAATATTGTCTCTGCGTGTTTCAGGTATTTTCAACAACTTACCTTTATCTAATTGGGGGGGGGGGGGGGGGGGGGGGGGGGGTGCAACCCCATACCCATTTATTCCTAATAACTTAATTCGAGAATCACGTGATTCATATCTTGATACTCAGATGAAATATAAAATATAGGTAACATTTACTCCCCTCAGTCGAAGTGGAACACTAAGAGACACGAGTATACGGTACACGGTGTCGGCACCCCACTAACTAGCGACGATCTGGCATCCCGCCAGACCGGGTCGGAATGCCAGGAATGCAGTACTGGGAGTGTTACCATGGTAACTGAGAGCACTGTCTCTTCTGCTAACATACCAGGTAAGCAGGTACTGACAGGTGTTAGAATCTTTAATTAATCATTATCTTCACTACATACTGTATTAGCTATTACATATAATATGCTAACTAATGTATAATGTATAATATGGTAACTAATGTACAGATGACGAGACTACGTGGGTATGCGGAATATGTGGTAAGAACCTCCTCCACAGGGACCAGTTAGTGGAACACAGGAAGATACATGAGAAACTGCAGCCTCCCATACCTCAGGGACAAGGTCCGTCACATTAGTTAATAGTAACAGTAAACATCACTTCACTCTATCATACTGTCACATTAGTTAATAGTAACAGTAAACATCACCTCACTGTATCATACTGTCACATTAGTTAATAGTAACAGTAAACATCACCTCACTGTATCATACTGTCACATTAGTTAATAGTAACAGTAAACATCACCTCACTGTATCATACTGTCACATTAGTTAATAGTAACAGTAAACATCACCTCACTGTATCATACTGTCACATTAGTTAATAGTAACAGTAAACATCACCTCACTGTATCATACTGTCACATTAGTTAATAGTAACAGTAAACATCACCTCACTGTTAATAGCAACAGTAAACATCACCTCACTGTATCATACTGTTGCCTCAGGGACAAGGTCCGTCACATTAGTTAATAGTAACAGTAAACATCACTTCACATTAGTTAATAGTAACAGTAAACATCACTTCACTCTATCATACTGTCACATTAGTTAATAGTAACAGTAAACATCACCTCACTGTATCATACTGTTGAGTTCTTATTTTTGGACTGCAAGAAAAATACATAATTAGTTATTGTTCACCGGAAATGTGCTCAACTGACAAATAGGGCCCCCCCACCCCCACCCCCGGCCCCCCCACCCCCACCCCCGGCCCCCCAGTCCCCACTCCCACCCCCGCCCCCCCCCCCACCTCCGGCCCCCCCCTTAAAATCCTCAAAATAATTGATAACTTTATTTCAGGGATGTTTGTGTGTCAGGTGTGTTTTAAGAAGTATGAAAGTGGAATATCTCTAATGAACCATGTTAACAGACAGCACAACCCATCCCTTACTTGTTCTCTTTGTTACAAGGTTATTGTTACACTGTTATTCTACTATTAGACTGTCTTATTATTAAATATATATCCATTACCAGTCCATTACCAGTTTATTAACAGTCCATTAACAGTCCATTACCATTAACTAGTCTCTCCCCTGAGTTCCTAATAATACCTTATTTCAGATATTCTCCTCCCAAATAGCGCTGAGCTCTCACAGCTGTAGCTCTGATATCCAGATATCGTGTAGACATTGTCCCAAGACCTTCAAAAGTCACTCCGACCATATAAAGCACGTACGGAATGTACACGCCTCCCTCACACATTCCTTAAACCAGAGCGCTTGTAAACTGTGCGACTACACTTTCTCTTCGGCTCTTAAGTACCGGGTAAGATGTTTTATTGTCATTCGAATGTAGCATGTTCGGTATTTTGTGATTTGTATTTAAATAGATGCCGAAATGATTATTAGAACTAACGGTTAAACCAGATATATTCGTAACACCCCTCCCCCCAGGTTCACCAGACAATCTCCCATCCGACCCACGACATGCTGTGTCAACTATGTAACACGACTCTACTATCACGTGACCAGCTTATAGAGCACGTGCACAAACACCACGCCACCCTTCCTTTCCTCTGCACTGTCTGTGAGAAAGGGTTCAGTAACCAGGACAGTATGACCAAACACAGGAGCGAACATTTTAAGTGATCACGTGTTTATGTTTTGTTGTTTGGACGATTTATTGCAAAATCCTGAGATTTTTGTTTTATTATGTCATCCGACAAATGTGATAGCCGATAAATTATACGTATTTGTTTTAAATAAATCATTAACTATATTATTTCAAATATTATGATGTTTTGGTTAGTTTTTGTTTACATGCATTCTAAGACCGGAGTATTTGGAGTATTGCAGTTTCACACTAGAATTTAAATTTTGCTAACTGTAGCGGACGCCAACAGCATTTTAAATCACTAAAAGGGTCTTCGATCTTGACATTTTTGTGATGTGCAAGCACTGTGCGCACGCGCGTTCTCTTGTCTAAACTTCTGGAAACCACTATACTAGTTGACGGATGATACGGTCTAGAATTATTAGAAATGACCCCAGGTACCAGCCACCAGGCCAAGGTGTGCGAAGTAGCGTGCTCCGGGTCAGTCAATTTGACACCCTAACGGACGATTCCAGGCTATTTCGAGATATATTGAGGACACTTTAAATTCGAAATATAGTATTCCCACGCCAAATTTGTACCAAGAACAACGCCTCTTAAACATTTGTCTGAATAGGAAAGGTTACTGGGCGGCGCTCAGCTTACTGGGCGGCGCTCAGCCTGTCATTCCGCTGAATCTATTGAACATAAATATAAGCTCTTCTCAAACACAAGGATATAACTTGTAAACTCGGCTAGTATATATGAAACATTTGTCATGGAGTTGTAGAGGGAGTTATGTGCCTCGCCGGGCTAAAGTAGTGGATGACCTTGCTGTACGGCAAGTTAAACAAGGATCTGAAACTACTAGATTCCGTACAGACTCAACTCTGCACCCGTGTCAATATGTTCATTATATGCAAGCCTCTTGATTTATAATCACCGAGTCTAGTAATTGTTTAAGAGAGTTCTCTGGCAGTTACGAAACTCGAGAGACTGTGGGATACTGAAGGGAAAGGAAGCAGTTCTAACGAGCTCTTCTCAAACACAAGGATAAAACTTGTAAACTCGGCTAGTATATATGAAACATTTGTCATGGAGTTGTAGAGGGAGTTATGTGCCTCGCCGGGCTAAAGTAGTGGATGACCTTGCTGTACGGCAAGTTAAACAAGGATCTGAAACTACTAGATTCCGTACAGACTCAACTCTGCACCCGTGTCAATATGTTCATTATATGCAAGCCTCTTGATTTATAATCACCGAGTCTAGTAATTGTTTAAGAGAGTTCTCTGGCAGTTACGAAACTCGAGAGACTGTGGGATACTGAAGGGAAAGGAAGCAGTTCTAACGAGCTCTTCTCAAACACAAGGATAAAACTTGTAAACTCGGCTAGTATATATGAAACATTTGTCATGGAGTTGTAGAGGGAGTTATGTGCCTCGCCGGGCTAAAGTAGTGGATGACCTTGCTGTACGGCAAGTTAAACAAGGATCTGAAACTACTAGGTTCCGTACAGACTCAACTCTGCACCCGTGTCAATATGTTCATTATATGCAAGCCTCTTGATTTATAATAGCCTGAGGTCCCCAGGTTAAAGAGAAAGGAACCTATACTATCCCGTTGAATCAATGCTGCCCGAGGTTCATCTTAGTCATCTACAGCTCAGTTTTCTGAAAATCCGGTCGTCCGGAAATTTTGGTAGGATTAACGAAAAAGTCCCATTTATTCCAACTCTTTGACACTAATTACTTAATGTGCTGTGAGTATTTTGAACGAGTACTTAAATGTAACTGTGCTAAACTTGTTCGACACCAAATGTATTATTGTCTATTTCAAGTAACTACACATTTTATTAACAATGAATTTGAGTTGGTTTTATTTGTACTCTTAAAAGTAGCTGGAAATCCGGACGTCCGGGGAGGGGGTGGTTTTCCGTTTTGAAAATTCGGACACACTCGGACAGGGGGGGGGGGGGGGGGGTGGTCTGAAAATCTGCGATCTTGGCGGACGTCCTAAGTAAGTTGCTATAATATTGATTATGTAATATTATGGGTCATCTCAGATATGTCTGAATTATAAGATTAAACACAATTTTCTGATATTTTGATCAACAATTCAGGTTACGTTTAAGTATTCACAAATTTTGCAAGAGCAAACAATTAAATTATTTATATTATTTACACTATAACACAGATTAGAAATCTTACAAAACTACAAATTACTTTAAAATTACCGTCGGATCACAAATATTGGTAATCCGATCCAGTGACTAGTTTGCTGCTTTTAAAAATATAGAAAAATAGAATCACTCTTATATTTATCACAAAATTTGTTGAACAATTTCATCTGATATAGTAATATTTGTTTCTGAAAAATACGGTTCTATTTTCACTTCAATTGTACAACTAGTAACGTCCAACACAAGAGTCTCAGTCCAGAGTCTGGCAGATAATGGCTAGTCCCCGAGTGACCCAATGCTGAGGACTGTGTTCGGTTGGCATCAAGATGGAAGTTACAAAGTTATCAGAGTGTCCGGTTTGGTCGAGTGTTCCACACCGTTCACTCGTTCGGTAGATCGGGCACTCGTACACTCCTGGCTTTGGTGTTTGTTCCATCTGAGGAGTATCAGTCAGGGCTCTGGCAAGGACTAAGTTAGATTTAAAATGATCAGAGACTAGACTATGATTCGTTTCCACTGTTCACAAAAACAATAATCAAAATAAAAAACCCATGATCAATATTTATTTAAAGCAGGGCCCTCTGTCCGTACTTTCCAGTACCAATCAAATAATGAGCCCCTTCACGTCAAATACTAATACATGACAGTATCATTCAATAATCATATAACAAATACTTTAAATAGGCAGGACCACTTGCCTCGAACACAAAAATCATATAACATGGATATAACATAATAGCAACATGTTATTTCGGTGCAATATTAGTGCGAACTACATACCTGCTGGGAACTACATACCTGCTGGGAACTACATACCTGTTGGGAACTACATGCCTGCTGGGAACTACATACCTGCTGGGAACTACATACCTGCTGGGAACTACATACCTGCTGGGAACTACATACCTGCTGGGAACTACATACCTGCTGGGAACTACATACCGGCTGGGAACTATATAGTACATACCTGCTGGGAACTACATACCTGCTGGGAACTACATACCTGCTGGGAACTACATGCCTGCTGGGAACTACATACCTGCTGGGAACTACATACCTGCTGGGAACTACATACCTGCTGGGAACTACATACCTGCTGGGAACTACATACCTGCTGGGAACTACATACCTGCTGGGAACTACATACCGGCTGGGAACTATATAGTACATACCTGCTGGGAACTACATACCTGCTGGGAACTACATACCTGCTGGGAACTACGTACCTGCTGGGAACTACATACCTGCTGGGAACTTCATACCTGCTGGGAACTACATACCTGCTGGGAACTAAATACCTGCTGGGAACTTCATACCTGCTGGGAACTACATACCTGCTGGGAACTAAATACCTGCTGGGAACTTCATACCTGCTGGGAACTACATACCTGCTGGGGTAAGAACAGTATTTCCGGTAGCGGAGTGACTTGTTTGGAAGGAAGAGCCTCTACCACATTACTACCGTCCCACCTTCCACCGTCCAAGTGTAGACCGTGTATCAGTATACCGTTATCTGGCACATCAGCTCCCTGTAGTTTAGGGGAGATTAGTTAGATGTAACAAAGCTGTGGTTAAACATAACATTTCAGTATCACTAAGTATCAGTCATTAAATGCAAAAATGTGAATTGTAATACTTAGAATTGTTAATATATTCACTATAATGTTATATAAGAAAGGATGAAAGAAGGCATACAGGGAAGGCCCACATGGCTGGTGTGAGACCAGCATTCTGAGCTCTGTGTCGATCTTCCTCCTCCCTGCGGCTGGGTAATGGAGCTACAGAGTGTTTGAAAGTGAGGGAGTCAATCGGGATATTGTGCTTCCTGGAGTGGGTCTGTAGAACTCCAGTCAGTAGACCTGGAGAGTGCAGGTGGTTACTATAGAAACAAACTATATGGAGTGAGCTTGTAGTCTACACTGCAAACTATAGGGGTACTTTCTGGAGTGAGCTTGTAGTCTACACTGCAAACTATAGGGGTACTTTCTGGAGTGAGCTTGTAGTCTACACTGCAACCTATAGGGGTACTTTCTGGAGTGAGCTTGTAGTCTACACTGCAAACTATAGGGGTACTTTCTGGAGTGAGCTTGTAGTCTACACTGCAAACTATAGGGGTACTTTCTGGAGTGAGCTTGTAGTCTACACTGCAAACTATAGGGGTACTTTCTGGAGTGAGCTTGTAGTCTACACTGCAAACTATAGGGGTACTTACTGGAGTGAGCTTGTAGTCTACACTGCAAACTATAGGGGTACTTTCTGGAGTGAGCTTGTAGTCTACACTGCAAACTATAGGGGTACTTTCTGGAGTGAGCTTGTAGTCTACACTGCAAACTATAGGGGTACTTTCTGGAGTGAGCTTGTAGTCTACACTGCAAACTATAGGGGTACTTTCTGGAGTGAGCTTGTAGTCTACACTGCAAACTATAGGGGTACTTTCTGGAGTGAGCTTGTAGTCTACACTGCAAACTATAGGGGTACTTTCTGGAGTGAGCTTGTAGTCTACACTGCAAACTATAGGGGTACTTTCTGGAGTGAGCTTGTAGTCTACACTGCAAACTATAGGGGTACTTTCTGGAGTGAGCTTGTAGTCTTCACTTTTAAAAGGTCAAGGGGTGGATCTATGATGAGACTATAATCTTGATAAGTTGGTCATAGAGGAAAACATATTATAGGAATTTGAGCATACAAAAAGATCACAAATATTGAGTACGTGTTCACAGGTCAAATCAGTAGACGAAAGGTTTGAACAAGGTATAGATATAATGTAGCTGAATTAATTTGTAACCTTGAGGAAAGAAGAGAGCATTGATCCAGAAAGATCGCGGTATTTTCTCTACATCAGTCTTGATCGGCTTCTGGTAAGCACTGCTCATCTTCAGTACATCTTGGAAGGAGATCATCTCATCTTTCTCTTTCTCTTCTACTAGCTCACTGTAAATACTTGGGTCTCAGCTTAGTCCCCTTTTATTCTATTATTTACTCCAACAAAGTAACAAATACTCCACTACCAATACTCACTGTCAACTTAATGCTGTAACTAACCTATACTCCAAAAAGATGGTTAGAGACTGTTCCCTCTATATTACTAACCTATACTCCAAAGAGATGGTTAGAGACTGTTCCCTCTATATTACTAACCTATACTCCAAAGAGATGGTTAGAGACTGTTCCCCCTATATTACTAACCTATACTCCACTCCAAAGAGATGGTTAGAGACTGTTCCCTCTATATTGAGGTCTATCCAGTACTGCATAAAGGTTATCCTGTTAGCTAGTAGCTCTATCCAGTGCGACAGTGGTTTATTCTCAAGTGTACTGTTGTCCTGGTAGTGGTGATAAGAGGTGATAACAGTGGTCAGCGTTAAAAAGTGCGTAACTTTACTGTTAAGTGCATCGGGATTATAACTTTTCTTTTAAGCCTAAACTTAATTTAATATTTCATATTATCATCCTATTTACAAGATTGCATTTCACGTTGGGGAATTAAAAGGGCCGCATTTTTATTCTGGAGATGAACAAAAATATTATGCTGAAGTTTAGAACTGAATGTATATATTATGACGTGCTGAAGTTTAGAACTAAATGTACATATTATGACGTGCTGAAGTTTAGAACTGAATGCATATAATATTATGACGTGCTCTAGTTTAAAAGTTGTAGAACACCAACCCTCCAAGCAGCAGGCAGTTTGTTGTCGAGAATATTCTGGTACATGAGATCCACCCCCTCGTTCATTGCCTCGTCTCCCTGCAAACACAGCGCCAATGTCTTCAGACTCACGTGTATCACTTCTAACAGTCTGTTGAACTGACGCACCTGGAACACACCACATTTAACGGATTAAAGTCAGGACTGTAAAAAGTCTGGCGACTATACTGGAGGCTACTTCCTGATAAACGAGAAAAATAAATCCTTATATGGGCATCACGTGGTAAAGTGCCCACCTCATGACGAATAACGTTCTCCATAGGTGTACAATATCTAGTCTCTGTTATCTTGGGTTTAAGATATCCCTTCTCAATGAGCACAGAAGGGGGTCTCTCCGAGCCCGCCAGAGCGTTGTGGACCATGTCCGGTATAACGTCCATGAAGGGAGGAGGCACTATCTTCTGGGGCAGGGTTTTGTGGATGTGGATCAGGAACTCCATTACTATGTTGTCCTTGTTCGAGTGCCCACTGTAAAAAGATAAATATCAAGTTCTACGACTTGATGAGAAGTGTAGTTTTTTTGTCAGACTGGATTATTTATATAGCCATAAAGGTTTCTTGATCAACAATCATCCTCGAATGATTGACCTTGAAATCATTAATAATATGCTTTACTTGTACAAATGCGTTTGTGCTCTTTTTTATCTCAAAACTAAAAAGACCATAAGTTTTGACTTTACAACCTCACTTTTGCTAAAATTCGGCAATATACAGTAAAACTCCGATTTACCGCGGAGTTTGGGGGAACGAAACCGCCGCGGTAAATCGAGGTTTGTGGTAAACTGGGCGCGGTTTTATTGTTCTTCACAAAACGTGTTCACTCCTCATAAACTCCACAATGTTTGTCTGAACCTCTCATACCACTTCAACTTAATACCAGGTACAGATACTGAGATACTAGTAGTAGTAGTAGTAGTACCCGTACATCTCTTACTTATACTATACATGTGCTAAGCCACTACAAACTTTCCAAACTCAAGCTTATCAAACTTCAAACAGATTCAATTTTACCAAAAAAGTTCGTCCAAATTAAGAGACTTTCTATCTGGCTGGGATGTGTGAAGATGTTGACTGTACTATAAAGCTGTAGTACATACATATTACATTACACTGGAGCTTACACAGTGTAATTTCCTCCAGTCTGCGCCGCGTACGTTTATATAGGCGCGCGGCGCAGCCTGGAGGAAATTACACTGTGTAAGCTCATCCAGTGTAATGTAATATGTATGTACTACGGCTTAAAAAGGCTGCCAAAGTGTGCTAGGAGTGCTCTCATTCACAGCCAGCTCAGCCCACATAACTTAACTCATGCTCGAGTACCCCCTATGCAGAGTTTGTACAATTTGCAATGAATATTCCACTCGGTACCCATGATCTAGCTGGTGGGACGGCTGGAAGACGTGCAGGTAGTTCACCAGCTCCTTGCTTGTGTGCTCGTTGTAGGTACGGTCCGCGTTCTGGTGCATTCCGAACAGTTCTGGGTTATCGTAGTTGGGGAGGGACGAGATATAACTTAGTGTTTCTTCTATTGACAGGTTTTCTGGGAGCTGGTACGACTGGGGAGAAGTTTATATTAAATAAATTAAAAAAACGCAACATTTTCATTTATTCAGTTATGGGATGATTTAAACACTGCACTACAGTTAATTTAAAACAAAGTAACTACCTCTGAAGCAGTGAACCTGTGGCCAGGTTGGATGGCCTCTCTGTTGAAGAACTTGCTGAGTATAGCGGAGAGGGCTCTCTGGTCCCACTTATCAGTGACCCTGCCCCCGTACATCACAGTGCCTGCCAGTTGGAGGAGAGCTTCCCACGGCACCGTCACGTACTCGCTCATCAGCTGATGCAGCACGCATATACAAGCCTGATATGTGGGCTGTTATCATTCATCATACTAACAGATTGTATTCAGTCACGTGTTCAATGTTGCGATAAGTTCAGACTGGGGGTGATCAGAGGGGGGGATCAGAGTGGGGGAGATCAGAGGGGGGATCAGAGTACATGATCACAAACTCTAAAACTTGCCTCTAAATCGGAATTAGTAAACTCGTAAGAGATGTTCCAGCCGAGAGATCCATACTTCTTCCGCTCCAAGATGACACTGTTAAACAGGCAGAGATTGTAGACTAGTTTCCTAAAGTCAGGTCCAGCGTCCTGGTCCGAGTACATCTTAGGGGAGATAACTCCGGAGATAAAGGCCTGGTGGAGGTTAGCCTTCACGCCTCGTGGCTGCTCCATCGCTACCTTCAGACTGCGCTGGATAACAGGACCCGGGATCTCGTCATCTGGCATTGAGCTTAACCAGAGCCGGAAATCAGCGTGGAGTTGGTCTGTCTGCATGCTGAGGTGTTATTAGTGTTACTGAGGTGTTACTGAGGTGTTATTATTGTTACTGAGGTGTTATTAGTGTTACTGAGGTGTTACTGAGGTGTTATTAGTGTTACTGAGGTGTTATTAGTGTAACTGAGGTGTTACTGAGGTGTTATTAGTGTTACTGAGGTGTTACTGAGGTGTTATTAGTGTTACTGTGGTGTTATTAGTGTTACTGAGGTGTTATTAGTGTTACTGAGGTGTTATTAGTGTTACTGTGGTGTTATTAGTGTTACTGAGGTGTTATTAGTGTTACTGAGGTGTTATTAGTGTTACTGAGGTGTTATTAGTGTTACTGAGGTGTTACTGAGGTGTTATTAGTGTTACTAAGGTGTTACTGAGGTGTTATTAGTGTTACTGAGGTGTTATTAGTGTTACTGAGGTGTTATTAGTGTTACTGAGGTGTTATTAGTGTTACTGTGGTGTTATTAGTGTTACTGAGGTGTTATTAGTGTTACTGAGGTGGTATTAGTGTTACTGAGGTGTTATTAGTGTTACTGAGGTGTTATTAGTGTTACTGAGGTGTTATTAGTGTTACTGAGGTGTTATTAGTGTTACTAAGGTGTTATTAGTGTTACTAAGGTGTTATTAGTGTTACTGAGGTGTTATTAGTGTTACTGAGGTGTTATTAGTGTTACTGTGGTGTTATTAGTGTTACTGAGGTGTTATTAGTGTTACTGAGGTGTTATTAGTGTTACTGAGGTGTTATTGAGGTGTTATTAAGGTGTTACTGAGGTGTTATTAGTGTTACATTTCATTATCTTTTTTATACAAACGTTATCGTGCTGGCTCACTTTTAGGTTATCTCTTCCAAGTTGCTCCCCTAATTTTAATCTTAAATGTACCGTTTGACTATAGCTGAAGCTAGATCTTGCCGCAAGGAAAACTTTTAATAGCTGTACTTATTACGATAGACTCATCGAGTGAGTCTATATTCGTGTCAAAGGTTTTCGCACAAGGATGTTTATCTTTTCAATGCATTTTGTATATAATTTATATTTCATTCGATAATTTCTCCTTGGTCACTTAAACTCATTTAATTTATAGTTTATATCATAGGCACGCCCCTGCCGTTCGTGTACGTGACTAGAGCTTGGAATTAGTAACACTAAATACTGGAAACTCAGTTTTCTGAAGTCGCTCAAAAACTGGGAAAAGTAATCGCTTTTCCGCAGAAGACAATCTACTTTTCGCGATAACGAGAATGATCTCGATTGAAAAGAGAAGCTTTAATTTGTGGACTAGGATATATCATGTATTTCTGTATGCAGAAATAATGGTACTGTGGCAATACCATCTTGATGATACAGTATTTTGTTAAAGAACAGATATTTTGTATCGCAGTTCACTGCTGACGTGAAAAAACCTATGCTTTGTCTGTTAGATAGGTAGGTAGGTTAGTAAATATAAACCAGACTTCATAATATAAACAATCATATTCTCATTCATTAAAGGCGTTGTTAATCAGAAATACTTAATTAATCATAGCAATGGTCCCGCTCACAGTTACGACTAGCTCACCCGATTATGGAAAGCAGGGACACTTTAATATCATCTGAATATATTACCACCATCTTATTCTTATATCTATTGACTGTATTTGATCCTCGCTACCTTATGTAGTGTTGTGACAACACTGTGTTCTCCCTTGACTATCTCACTAGCTATAGAGCCTCAGCTGTTCGTGCATTAATTTTTGCGAGGATGTTTTTTTATATTACACAGTTCAAAAATTGAGCAATATAAAAGTTGTATCCTATTAGTTTGGTAACTATTGAGCAATATAAAAGTTGTGTCCTATTAGTTTGGTAACTATTGAGCAATATAAAAGTTGTGTCCTATTAGTTTAGTAACTATTGAGCTATATAAAAGTTGTGTCCTATTAGTTTAGTAACTATTGAGCAATATACAAGTTGTGTCCTATTAGTTTAGTAACTATTGAGCAATATAAAAGTTGTGTCCTATTAGTTTGGTAACTATTGAGCAATATACAAGTTGTGTCCTATTAGTTTAGTAACTATTGAGCAATATAAAAGTTGTGTCCTATTAGTTTAGTAACTATTGAGCAATATAAAAGTTGTGTCCTATTAGTTTAGTAACTATTGAGCAATATACAAGTTGTGTCCTATTAGTTTAGTAACTATTGAGCAATATAAAAGTTGTGTCCTATTAGTTTGGTAACTATTCCCCCAGCTGGTGTGTAAAACTAGAGTACCTCGGCTTATTATATGGAGTGGCCTAAGTGTAGGAGATAACATCCACTTTAATTAAGCAATCTCTCCTACTCCGACTAACTTGAGCTCTGCGACTAAATCAATACAATAATTGAATATTGTATTCAATGTAGTCCGAGGAGTCCTAACTCTCCTCGCGTCCTACGTTTCTTGTATACATTATTCCACTGTCCCTCTTTAACTTTCAGGTGGGTTGTTCGAGACAGCTACTGCATAATTATGAGGATAATTAAATTCTGTCGTAATCTATTACAGTAGACAATCTATTGAGGCACATTACCCTGATAGCCCGCTTATAATACGTATTCAAATTACGTATGTTAACTACACCTGTTGATTGCGTATATTAAATAGTTACGTATGTTAATGATACACATAATGGGCAGCCCTATTCTAAAACGATCAATTGACAGTATATGTCGGTGATCCAGCAAGTATTTCATTTGACTGTTTGTTGGTTAATTTTGTGCAATTCTAATCTTAGTTATTGGAGGATATCAAAATTAAGAGAACTGCTGGATATTTGCGATCGTTGACACTGGCAGTCTGCCAGTAAAGAAATCTGTAGCGTTTATTCTCTAAAATCGGCTGTTAGAAACCATAATTTTAGTCAGCATCTGAAATTGGCTAATAACCTCGAAGCCAGATGACTGAAGTGAAATAATAGAGATAAACGAGAAACTTAATCGCCATATTAGATAAACAAATTAGTTATATATAACAATATGTTAATTGGTAAGACCACGTTTAATTAGACTAATTACGCTTTCTCTTACAATTAATACTGAAACTGTTTGAAAATAATTGACTGATTAGTATTTCTTGAAATTAGTCCTGCTGTGGGCCACCACCTGTCCATAATTATCTTTACATTTCTTTAAATATTACAACAACTTAGCCACCGTAGTTGACTCACCCTATCAAGGGGTGAAACTTAGTTTCAAGTTTTCATCACTAATTTTGTTTGCGATTCAGATATTAGTTGAGTCTTACTTATCATTTCAGGAATGAACGTGTCAAATAGTGTGTCCATAGTTTGGTGCCACTGGTCATTGCTGATGGGGCTTGCTGGAAACAGTTTCGTGCTCTACTCCACCATTTACCACAGAGCCATCAAGATGGACAAGCTCTCAGTGTGGATCATACAGAACTTGGCAGTCACTGACCTCGTTAACTCCATTCTTATCTTATCTCCAGTTATTGTATCTCTCTACGCCGACAGTCAGTGGGTTTTTGGGGAGCCTCTCTGCAAAATAACGTACATTTACAAGTACTTGGGGTTTACTGCTAACGTGGTGCTAATAAACGCTCTGTCCTTCAATAAGATGGTGAGATGTGTCTCCCCACTACGGAACCTAGGGTGCTCCAAAACTAGAAGGTGGTTAGTAACAGCTATCACTGCAGCCACTTCCACCATAATTCCTGTTTTCTCTGTCTACAGATCCACAGTGGACGAGAAGTTTGCCGTGGTTTTCTCAACGTCCCAGTGTATGTGCTCATCGGTCCCTGTCACTGAGATTGGAAGTTTGCAAAAGATCTTGTACCTTGTTTTTGCTGGATCTCTCAACGGATTGCCTTGCTTTACGTTGTGCGCCATGAACACTTTCCTTGTGGTATATGCGCTGAAGAAGTGCAACAGAGTCATGGATAAAGGGAACATTGTGATTGTGCTCTTAGTGACAAGCTCCTTTCTAGTCAGCGGACTGCCTTATTTCTTCTACTCTGTAAAACACGGACATACCTCCAACAATAACGACACTTTCCTCAGAGTTGTTACTTTCATCACGTTCATATCTCTGTGGTCAAATCCCGTTATTTACCTGGTGACGAACAAGCATTTCAGGACATTTACTGCAGATTATGCGAGAGGTATCAGCAGGATAACCATGGCAGTAGTGCAACCTCACAATCAATCGTTATCAAGAGTGTAACTTGTTATCAAGTGTTTAACTTGTAAATCACTGGTGACTTGCGAAGATCCATACTTTAATTCTCTCTTAGACATTATTACATTATGGTTACTAGCGGTATTGATGAGAATAATAATTTACTTACTATTTGTCTATTTGTCTCAAAACTACAAAATGATGAACAATTACGCGAACAAGTGTTTTTTAAATATATATTTAGTTTTGACTGATGTTTATTTGCTGACTTTAAGATTAATATTAAGATATCTGGTCTGTGTATATCTGTGAAGAGCTAAAAGATAAGAGTAATATCTGCCAGATGCTTTCTCCTCATTTCGGCGCGTTCATGTAATTCTAATGTGTGCGCTTATCCCCCATACGCCTCATGATTCCAGCTGGTTAACTTAATCTCCCACATAAAACAAAAGCTCCTAAGAAATGTTACATTCAGCTAAACTCTGGATTTGCTCTTACAAAACGTCTTATTATGTAAATCAAACCGAGCCATTCAGCGCATCTATACAACCTCATACACATTACATAGGACCTGCTTAATCATGAATGAGGACATTGTCATTGAGAGACCTACCTCTAACCTGATTACACGTCACAACATTCTTAGCTTCTTAGATTGCGAGTTACTCGAAATAGTGTGGTGTTGTGATTATCTAAATAATGATAGATGTTTGTTTGAATATAAAATGCTATTATGATAATAACTAATCTTATTATGATATACAATGCTATTATTTAGTTGAGCAATGCTTCGTAACTCTTTTGTAAACCTAATACTCGGCTTCGGAGTATTAGCTTTGATACGTTGATAGACTTGGTTAATAGAATATAGAGCTTAACTTATCAGCAACCAATCATGTTTACCCTCCGTGGGTATAAGCAGCTCTTTAAGCCTTGTGACACTAAGTGATAAGTTTACCTTAACTTGGCGCCAGTTAGCATCTGATATTTCCTGTTCATTGCTCGTTATTCAGGTAACATGACATTAGCAGACATCTTATCACAAGTTTGGTGTCATTGGTCCTTCATAATGGGAGTTCTTGGTAACAGTTATGTGATTTACGCAACAGTTATCAGCAAAGCGATCAGATTGGATAAGATGTCAGTATGGATCATACAGAACTTGGCGGTAATTGATTTGGTGAACACGTTCCTTATCTTGGTTCCTATCATTACATCTCTTTATGCTGGTGATCGATGGATTCTCGGAGACACTTTCTGCAAAGTGTTTTACGTATATAAATACGCGGGGTTTACTGCTAACGTAGTACTGATAAACGCTCTATCCCTCAATAAAATGATGAGATGTTTGTTTCCACTACGGAATTTGGATTGCTCCCGAACACGGAAGTGGGTGGTAACAACAATCACAACCCTCACTTCTACCATTATTCCCGTGTACTCATGCTACCGAGCAATTTTGGACGACAAATTTCTGGTGGTATTTTCAGCATCCCAATGTATGTGCTCTTCTATACAGATCGCAGAAGCAGGAGGTTGGCATAAAGTTGCTTACTATTTCTTGGCTGGATCTCTGAACGGGTTACCGTGCCTTGTTCTGTGTGCAACAAACTCTTTTCTGGTAATCTATGCTCTGAAGAAATCCAACAGAACTGTAAACAAAAGAAACATTGTGATAGTGATTTTAGTAACCGCATCTTTTCTTCTTTTCGGACTGCCTTATTTTGCTTATTCTGCAAAACACGGTCAAACTGCGAGCAATAACGACACTACTTTAAGAATTGTGACCTTTACTACGTTCATATCTCTGTGGTCAAATCCTGTCATATATTTGGTAACTAACAGAGGCTTCAGAACATTCACTGCAGCTTCAGCAAGGAGGCTAAGCCGAGCCCACAGAACTTCCATCCATCCAGCCCAGAGCGCTGCAGTATGTCAATAATAAAATTGTGAACAATCTTCCGAGGAAAATTCAAGTCATCTAAAATTCATCTGAATTATGTTTTATTACTTTGTTGCAAAATCTTGTTTATCTAATATGTATTTTAAAACATGGCTTTTACTGTCCAATGTACAGTTACACAGATGAAAGTTTATTTCATAACCTATATCGCAAGTAATTTGAATCATAAGTTAAAGTGGCACTGTCAGTGCATCATGAGCATGAGCATGCAGCATACGACAATCTTATTTCACCATGAAATGTAAACTGTGTTCACTTTGTCCTATTGAAGGCTGTTTATGCTTACACAAAATCTCAGAGCTTAGAATGTGACATTCTTAAGAGACTTCTCACAAAGATGCAAATGTTTATTCACAAGTGACAGGTTATATGGAGACTATCTGGAGGTAACCAAACAAGCTAATTTCCATAATTATACTATTATTCAAATCTCATCACACACGCTAGATCCTAACAACCCAGGTTCTTTGAGCACTATGCAGCCAAGTTGTCATAGCAACCACGCCACGTGACTGCGCCAAAATATCAAAATTTTAAAGAGCGCGCGTAACATCTGCTTCGCGCTGTAGACCTTTTCAAGGTTAACGCATTTGGTGGTAAGTTTACAGCTGCTTACTGCTACTATATTTACTGCTACTAGACTTCCAAACGCGACAGTTCAATCCCGGTTGATTTACCTGTGAATAACTTTTTGAAGGTTCTGGAGCCACGAGTGTCCAAGATGACAATTTTGTAGGAAAACCCACTTTCCACGTTGCATGGCGTTTCGGAGAATCTCTTCGATTCGAGGTCCTTGGCCGCGTCCAAGTGACAACATTTCTAACATGTCAACATTTTCGTTCAGGTCTTTTAGCAGTCTTTGTAGCTTCGTTGTCGGATCAACGCCTGTCACACAACAATGGTCATGAATTAGGAATTATAGTCTGATAATTAACCCGACAATGATAACATCCTGTCCATGAAAAGATGCCAATACTAATATTCAAAAGTACTACATTTCAACAAACCAGGAGAAAGAATAAAGAGTATGGGATTCTGAGGCTTGCTGCTTTTGTAGATATTGTTCAGACTTTGTTCATGTGAGCCGATGTAATGTTCTCCCAGGGTTAAACTGACAAATGTGCTGCTACTTTCAGTCAGGGCATCCATCCTCAGGATCTTTATCAACATCAGCTTTTGAAATGACGTTAGTGTCGACCATTTCCAACTTGGGCGTGTCTCTGAAATTTAAAAACTTAACAAAAACTGAAATGTTCTATTTAACATCTTACTTATATAGATTAAGTTCAGCTAATAGTTACAAGTTTAAGGATTACCAGCGATTTGTGAGGCACTGAGAGAGTGAGGTTCCGCCTCACTATCCTCAGAAATATGTTCCAGTGAACTGTCTGCTCTGCAAGATTTGAGAGAGCCTATAGAACTGGATCTGGATCTGGTTTGTTCGAACATGTAGTACGGGTTATCTGACGCCAACATCGCCTGCCTGGATTAAGCAGGGTCAATAAGTCAATTATGCAATTAGTCAATTAATTAATAGATAGACCTCGTAAGATAGAGCGTGAGTTATTAACATCGAAGTGTTTAGTAAGAATTAGATTGCCTGAATAATTCAGACAATTCCAACACTGTTGATTTAACACAGTGGCGTAACGTTGCCTGTTGGCGCCCCCCTGTTGGCGCCCCTTCCCCTTTTGGTGCCCCTCCCTAAAATTGAACAAATTAGGTGATTTTAGAGGATACGCCGGTAAAATCTCTAAAAAAGTATGTATCTAGATGCAAATAACGTAATATGGAGTTGCTAAAACCACCACCTTGTTAAGTAAAATTGCCACTATATATTATATATATATTATACTCTATATACTAACCAAAACTCAGGTTTATCGATCATGTTTTTAGAGAGGCCCTGGAAAGCGGGGACGGTGTTTTCCAACATATTAGTCGCCTCCCACTGGGTAGTGGTCAGCCAGCAGGGTTTACCCAGGATCCTCTTACTCCTCACTTTGTTCATCCTCTTAGCTTGGTACGTGACTCTGGATATTAAAGTTAATTAGTTATTAAGTGCTGGAGAACTGTTATGGAGTATCAGGCTGAATGTCCAGCGTACACAGCGCAATCAAATGATTGAAAATATATATATATCTAATATCTATACAATATTTTAAACTGGACGAAATCTCCTCGGCAACGGCTAAAAAGTTTTCGACTAGCGGGTGTCTAGTAGTAAATAAAAGCACGTAAAGAAACTCTTACCCAGAGCTCTTCTGGAAAGGTTGTGGTATGATATCTTCTTCCATTACGGGCACGAACTCGGACGACTCTGAAACGTATTATCATAATTATTAAATGATCCTTTGTATAAACGAACATAACTGTGATCTTTAAAAATCTTTCAGGCAAAACTGATATTTTTAAAGATTTAAGAACACAAGATTAAAATCTTACTGAATGTATAAGAGAACAAGATAACAATCTCAAATAATATCTTTAAACACACAAATATTGAAGAATATCTAAGAACAGAAGATAATAATGTAATTGTTAGAAACGCACTGCTCATAAGTTTGAGGGTGCCGCCGTGTAAGAACACGTCCCATTCGTTATCAGTGATAACGGTGGAGTTCCTCAACACCTGTACACAAACTAACACCGAGTAAACGAGATGATGCCGAGAGTACAGAGAACATACCACCTGAAGTAGAGTCATTTATGAAGGAGTAACTCGGATATTATAGCTGGAGAGATAAATATACCTATTTTGTGGTGATGTGGTCAACAAGAGATATATATTCTAAAGTTCTAAATAACAGATAGTCAATAGTGTAAACATACCGCTGCTATCTAATCTTTTCCTAAAAAACAGAATCAGAAGGTTTGCATTCTGCGCCAATTTACTGTTTTAACAGCAACAAGAGATGCTAGATGTTGTTACTATGTTGTTACTATGTTGTTACTATGTTGTTACTATACCTGTTTGTGCAGGTTCATTGTGATGTGGTCAACAAGAGACGCCACATGTTTGTCGACCTTGAAATCGAGCTGTCTGTCCCTGTTAACAGTGTTAAAGTTGAACTCCAGGACAACATCCTCCTGATCAGGTGACAGATAAGAGTTTCCCAGACTAAAGACTGTGGTCTTAAACACGCTCATAAACATTTCCAGAGAGAAGTTGTACATGCAGTTCAGGAGAGTCAGATCCGATATTATGAAGTAGATTATCGCACCACGTGTTGCAACCTGGGGGTATACAACTACTTAAAGGGAGAGGTTCTGAAGAAACTGTTAAACAAATGGTTATCTAAACAAAGACTTGAACTTTCATAAAATGAACTGTAATATTCAAACACGTTTACTTACCGGGAGGTACTTTTTACGGGTAGATTCTATCTTGTTCTGCATTTGTTCTGATTCTGTAACTCGGCTCTGAATCTCCCTAGCAGTCTTTTTACACTTGTCTAGAGTATGCACTAGATCCTGATCATCTAAAATGTCAGTTTGCACGGAAGACAGAGTGGTCAGGATATCGTCCTCGAGCTCACGCAGCTTTCTGTTGTCCTCAAACAACTGCTTCAGAAGTGAGTCCTTCTGCTGCTCAAGCCACGGTCTCTCCTGTAATAAATCAAGAGTAGTGATAGAGAATAGATAATAACAATTAACAAGTTAAAAGTAGACACAATCTCAATCAGTAATGTGGGGTTAGAGGGGGCCGGGGGAAGGTTAGGGAGGGGGGAGGGTTAGGGAGGGTTAGGAAGGGGTTTAGGGACTAGGGAGGGGGGTTACTCACCATCTTAACGACCCGACTCAGCAGTTGCTCCTGCAGCCCAGTAAAAGTAACAGTAAAGTTAATGATGGTGAGCTTGATACAATCCTCTGGAGGGTACTCAGGATTACTGAGACTGGTAGAGAGGTAAAGTTTAAACTCCTTGTTGTACTCTATATCTATATCCACTATTGAAACAACGCCTGTCTGTTCACACTGTCTTCTGTTTAGAATGGGGTACAAGGTCGCGTCTATGTAGTCCGGTACACCCTGAACAGGGGGAGACACTGGTGAAAGATAAGTTTATAATTATTGAGCTGTACTAGACGCAAATCAGATGATAAGAAACAAGAGTGCTCTAATCAAAACTATAAGTCTAAATACCTCAAGTAAGACACTAGTGCCGAGTCTGATCGCGTTCTCAATATCAGTCAACATGTGCACACTACCGTAGGGTATAACCGCCAGATTCTCCTTCTCCAGTCCCAGCAACCAACATTTGCCCTGACCTTGTGGGTCTATAAGCAGGGGCCAGCGGTGACAGTTCCTCAGCAGCACCGCGTTCTCAGTGGAGAAATGGTCACGTGGGAGCCCCTGAGTGAAGTACTCCTGGACCTCAATAGGAGCTGACAGCAGGCTGATGTAGTCCTTCTTGGAGACAGATATCTGCTTCTTCAGACAGATGTCTAACCAGGAAGACCAAAGACGGTCTCTGTAAGTCTGGGTAAACGGTCCTATGTACACTGAAATTGGAACATTTGTTAACGATTGAGGGTGACAAAATCCAAACACAATGATGAAGTCAAATACCAAATGATGCCACCAAATGAACCTATAATTGTGGGGTGCAGGTGTAGAGGAGAAAACATTACCTATTGCGGCAGTAGAGACGAGAGTGTCTCCCATAAGAGAAGGGGCCGCCACGTTCAGACCCGCCACAAGGTCTGTCCACCGATCCTTCTCCCCAGACAGCGCTTCAATCAGCACATTAGCTCGGTCCAGTCTCTTCTTTGTTTGTAGGATCCTGTTCTCTAGTTTATCACGGTCTATTCTAGTGTTGTTATACTTTGTTTGTAGGGAGGTCAGTTCATCCTGCACCTGTGCCAGTTCCTCTTGTTTCTTTAACAGTTGTCTCTGTGCAGCTTTCAGATGTTCCATTGATTCCTGAGATATGATTTATTGGTCGTTGCTTTATATGTTGAAATTTATCCTAATCAAAAATAATCTATGATACGAAAAATAACCCATATCAAACTTCCAGCACCTCAAACGTGTCATATATGCCATGAGTCATCTATAGTTGACTATCTAGTTGGTTGCGGGTGAGAAATTCAGTCAAAACTGTAAAATTTCGGCCCTGGATATTTAATCTTCAAAAACTGAAAATGGGACAGAAAATGGGACAATATGATATTATTAATTTTCTTCGGAATTTTGAGTTCCAGTACCTCAATTTGATTTTATACTATCATTAATTAACTGACTAATTGGTCTTTGGGGCACAAATTTCATCCAATCCGTCAAATTTGTGTTCAGAAATTTTCATATTTAAAAATAGGACAGAAATGGGACAGAAAAAAAATATGAATTTTCGTTTTGTTAAGCTTTCTGTTGTGAGCTCCCTCCGACCCATCACAAATTTCTCCAATAAAACCATAGTAAATGAAGTAATCCAGTTTAAATTATCTCTGCCACCCACCTGGAATCTCTCCTTTTTGGGGAGCACGTATCTGTAGACTTTAGCATAGTTCTCGATGGCAATAACCCACATACACATGCTCTTACAGGCCACAGATATCTTCCCTACATTCTCTGGTGTAAAGTCTGGACTCTCTGTGAATTGTTGTAGACGAGATAACGACTGAAATAATACTTGGTTACAGGTAAGGTGTGAGCTTAAACTCCCAATCAGAGATTAGGTGTAATCAGAGATTAGGAATTAATATCACAAATTAAAAGTGGTTTAAATTCCACACTAACCCCCCCCCCCCCCCCGCACTAAAACTTATTAGTCCTGGAAATTTTTAAACCCCTAAAAATCAAACTCTTAATTACATTCCAACAAGATGTTATCAAACCTTCAGAGGGATATTATCTTTATCAAAGTTGGTGAGACGTTTGAGAAGGCCAGGATCCCCGAGAAGCTGTTTTGCAGAGTTCCAGTTGGGTTTCTCTTTAAGCAAGACACACACCGCTTCCATAACCTTCCGTACCATCTCCGGGGGGGAATTGTACACTCTGTACAGGGTTCAAATATTAACAATTCATCTGTTGTATAAAATAAAGATTTCGTAAATATTGTAGTCAGCCGTGATATAGTTTGGTACAGCATTTCGCCGTTTTATGGCTAAGATTAAAAGCGACTATCGCACCGTATTTTAATCAAATAATTACCGTATTTCAGAAATGTCCTGTTTGTCTAGCGCATCTAATGCAGCAATGGCGCCCTCCAATGAGGGTAGAGCAGCTGCTAGATCCGACTCTGCTTCAGCGGCTATTTTACCTGAAATATTGAATTATGATACGCAGAACTAACCAGATAAAAAGGAGGTTAGCCGAGCATATTAATGATATGAATGCCATTATTTCAATTTTACTATTTAATCTTTGAGAGAATCTTTAGAGTCCAGTGAATACGACCAGTTTTACAACGATACCAGATTTATGTTACTGTGCGCCGTATTCTATAAAATGCATCTGTCTCAAAATTTAATTTGCTCGGTGACTCAATTAATAAACGTTCTGGCTATTTAGAAACACCTGCTTCATGTTCAGAAAATTTAACGCACAGAAATTCTTTCGTATTGTTTCTCGAGCACAGTTTTAATATTTCAAGTCTACTTTACCACTAGCCTCTCAGTTGTATAGTTGTAAGCATGCCGCCTCCAGACATTGGCCTGTCATATCAGCAGATAATATTTGGGACAGTAGAAACTGTGAGTATTCTAGTTGGAGGAGTAGTGAACCTACTGCTACTGACATTCCACACGAAACAAACAAACAAGACCACCACAGTGCTTCTCTACTGCCTCATGAACGGAACTGATCTTCTCATTTGTTTCCTCATGATTCCAGCTGTTATATCTTGCTGGTCTGGTTCTCAACCTCTTCTCTTTAAAACCAGGCTAGCCCGGGAAATCTGGCTCTTTATCTGGGAAGTTTCTGGAAGAACTTCAGTTTTTCTGATTGGACTTCAAAGTGTACTCAGAACGAGGGCCCTACTCTTCCCTTTCTCAAGACGACTCAATATAAAGGCCCTAGCTTCCATAATATTCGTCTACATGACCATTTTATGCGGTATCCAAAGTGTTCACTTTTTCTACAACGTATACAGCGTATTTAGTCCTAATACTAACCGGTCTACTATGGTGATGCAGTGGATTCAAAGAGCCATGGGACTTGAAAGCACAGCGTCCATATCATTTCTAGTTCTCAACAACCTCTTTGGTTACGTCGCTCCTTTCCTACCCATAACAATATCCTGTGTAATCTCCGTGTATTGTATCAGGAAGTCCGGGAGTGGAGTAAGGCGGTGTGGCCCAGCAGGAACGGGCCGACAACACCACCAAACTGCAACGATCACTGTAATACTTCTAACTCTTGTCTACATCGTAACAAATGCACTGCCATTCGTTTTGGAGCTCAATGAGATGTTGGTCAGTATCTCAAAGATTTTGAAGAAGACTGTCCGCTTTATAAATTGGAACTTAATAAGTTCTCTCCATTTCGTTATTGTTTATGTGACATCTTATAACGTGTGTATTCTCCTCAACTCAACTCTCAATGGTTTTGTATTTCTTATCCGCACAGCTACCATCAAGCATTTCATAGTGAAGAGTTTTCAGAACATTATGCGAACATTACACCTAAATAAAGATGAGGCAGATATGGTGCTGTCTAACAGGTCAATAGTCGTGGAGACACAAGTCTCTAGAACAGACACAATGGCAGAGACCTTGGCTTAGTCGTGGAGACACAGGTCTCTAGAACAGACACAATGGCAGAGACCTTGGCTTAGTCGTGGAGACACAGGTCTCTAGAACGGACACAATGGCAGAGACCTTGGCTTAGTCGTGGAGACACAAGTCTCTAGAACATACACAATTGCAGAGACCTTGGCTTAGTCGTGGAGACACAGGTCTCTAGAACAGACACAATGGCAGAGACCTTGGCTTAGTCGTGGAGACACAAGTCTCTAGAACAGACACAATGGCAGAGACCTTGGCTTAGTCGTGGAGACACAAGTCTCTAGAACAGACACAATGGCAGAGACCTTGGCTTAGTCGTGGAGACACAAGTCTCTAGAACAGACACAATGGCAGAGACCTTGGCTTAGTCGTGGAGACACAGGTCTCTAGAACAGACACAATGGCAGAGACCTTGGCTTAGTCGTGGAGACACAGGTCTCTAGAACAGACACAATGGCAGAGACCTTGGCTTAGTCGTGGAGACACAAGTCTCTAGAACAGACACAATGGCAGAGACCTTGGCTTAGTCGTGGAGACACAAGTCTCTAGAACAGACACAATGGCAGAGACCTTGGCTTAGTCGTGGAGACACAAGTCTCTAGAACAGACACAATGGCAGAGACCTTGGCTTAGTCGTGGAGACACAGGTCTCTAGAATAGACACAATGGCAGAGACCTTGGCTTAGTCGTGAAGACACAAGTCTCTAGAACAGACACAATGGCAGAGACCTTGGCTTAGTCGTGGAGACACGAGTCTCTAGAACAGACACAATGGCAGAGACCTTGGCTTGAAGGGTAACAAAGTGAATCTTAGACCTGTCATATGTTCATTTCCCGAAGCCAGTTTCTAAAATGCTTAAGTGAAACGAAAGCATTTGCAATAATGTTACGCACAGGGTACCGTATTATATTTAATTTGATAGTTGGAATAATTTGCTTTAGCACGTGTTTATAAAGTTTAAGTTATATTATACTTTAAATTAAATTGACTGATTCAGATACAAATGTCTTGTGTAGTATGTGTAGTATGTGTAGTATGTATACAGATGATCATCATTAATTTTATAACATAAAGACTATCGTTTGTCACCATTGAATCAAAATGAACTAAATTACAGTCCATAAAGTTGATACAAGAACATACCCTCAATTTAAGAGGTCAGATAGTGTCTCTAACTCTCTAACTCTCTTACTCTCTAACTCTGTAACTCTGTAACTCTGTAACTCTGTAACTCTCTAACTCTGTAACTCTCTAACTCTCTAACTCTCTAACTCTCTAACTCTCTAACTCTCTAACATGGCAGTAGATTGTGGGTGTTATTCAGTTATTGCACCTAAATCTAACAAGTCACAACACACTGCTTGTTTTGTGGCGGAATCTGCCCACTTTTCATGTATAACGAAGTAAAGATTTATAATACTGTACCACTAAAATATGACGCCCGCATAATATTATCATAATTAAGTGAAAGGATCTGTTAGCAGAGGACGCAGCGGTTAACAACTTATACATAATATTATGTAGTTTATTTATTATTTTATAAACTTATTAAGAAACTGTTTGCACCATTAAAATATTCAAAACCCCTAAAAGAAATCAAGTCATCCTAAAATGGTGATCAGTACAGATCAAGACAGCTAGAGTTAAAATTTGTTTCTCCAAGCAACTCTATCATCGGCTAATATCTTAAGCTTATTAAGATCATTCAAAGAGTTAAGTTTTAAACCTCTACGGGTCAAATCATTCACAATAATCTTGAACAAATTCTTACGATGCGCACCGACGCGCCCTTTACAGTTTGTTGTGACAGCAAACTTTAACGCTAATGCAGCGGGGGAGTCATCAGCACTACGCAAGATATGACCTAGGAGCTTCCACCTTGCTTTAGGGACACGATCTGATAGCTTAACTGAGTTACATCTTAGGTATAAGTTTGCATTGGATATTGTTCCATGAGGCCAATAAATGTTCAGTAATGATCTAAGGTGTTTTCTATGGCAAATGTCTAGTTTTTCTAGTGACTTTGCAGTAGGACACCAACTTCTGCAATTGTACATGATGATTGATACGATTTGGGCTTCGTAAACTGCTATCTTTCTGGTAACGGAGATATTCTGCTGAGACCAGATCTTGGTGAACTTATAGAAGGCATTGTTCCCAGCAATGCATCGAGCAGCTATATCACTTTCACTACACAACAATGACCCAAGAATCTTACTCTTCCGCCAATCTTCATTTCCACGTAACATGGTATCATCACGACCAGGGATTGTTTCTCCAACAGGAGCGAGGAAAACATGGGTAAATTCTGTTTTCTCTGTGTTAATGAACAGGTTAAACTCCTTGAAGACTTCCTTAGCTATTGGTAGGATAGCTTCTAAGGATTCTTTTTCCACGTTCATGAAGTTACAATCATCTGAATACGCTGACTCCAGTGGCATACCTTCTTTTGAAATAGGGGGATTGGGTATGTGTGGGGGAGACTCAGCTAGTCGATGGCGTAGTTCTATAAGAGCTCCTGCTAGGACAAGAGTGAAAAGCTTGCCGGAGAGACTGTCACCTTGAAAGGACTCAAGAAGACTCTCGAATACAGCAGATAGTTCTCCTTCCACTCTGACCTTGAGCATGGTGTTGGTTAAGAGGAGTCTTACTAGCCTGAGGTCGTCGTCTGTGCATCCAGCTTTGACAAGAAGGTCAAGTATAGTCTGGCGTTTGATTGTGTCAAATGCTCGAGACATATCTATGCCCATCTTGTGATACTGGAAGTGTTTACGCGTGACAACCGATATCAACATCCGCTCAGCCCACACTAGATCACCACAACTTCTACCATGTTTGTACCCCGCCTGCGTGCTACCAGTGAAAGCATCAACTTTGTCTTCAATTCTCTTCAGTACAATCATGGATAATATCTTACGAGCACCATTTGATAGACATAGAGGTCGTAGACTAGTGACAGGACCAGCTGGTTTGCGAGGTTTCGGTAAGGGGGTGATGATGGCTTCACCTATAACATCAGGAAATGAATTGGTCTCCAATGCGCTATTGATGATCTCGGCATATTTTGACCAGAATTTTGTACCAGCATTTTTCAACCACTCGTTGTAGACTTTATTTGGACCAGTGGCTTTGTTGTTCTTGAGAGATTGGGCGGCTTTCTTTACTTCATCACATGTGATGGGTATGTCTAGGCAGCGTCCATCCCCTATAAATGCTTGAAGTGGTTCATCCTCACACGTGAACTGCTTTTCGTAGTAGTCTCTGATCACTTGAGCTTTACCAGCATCTGTGGCAACAAAGTTACCTTCTTCATTGTGGACACTGATAGTAGATTTGGGCTTAGTGTCAGCTAGAGTACGCACAGCTTCAAACATCTGCCTTGTGTCATCTGTTGACATGATGGTTCGAGCGATGTCATCGGCACGTGTGTCAGCAAGGTTCTTGAGATGCTTACGGATGTCTTTCTGTAACCTGTTGATCCTTGTACGGACTTGAGTTCTGTCAGCAACTTGGTTGTTACAGTTAAGTGCAGCT